AATTAATTTTTCAGGAATCTGTCACGATAAACTAACTAAATAACTTTCATTCTCATCTATTATTCTTCATTGAGGCTTCTACCATTGTTACCATTCTATTCTTGCTCATTAAAAATACTTACTAGATTTAATCAAATTGGCCAAATTTAGTAAAATTTAATCAAATTTAGCTTGGTCAAACTTAACCAAATTTAACTAAATTTAATTAAACTGACTAAATTTAGTCCAAGCTGACTAAATTGGACCAAATTTAGCCAATCTGGGCCAAAAATAACTCGACTTAACTTACTTCAAATTTTTGTTTGAAAAAAAAAAGTTTGCCCAGTTTAATAAAATTTGATTATACGATCACATTTGGTCAAGTATGGTCAAATTCGATCAGTTTAATCAAAATCAGTCAAATTCATTCAAAATAAATTTGAATAATTTTAACCAAGTTTGGCTAAATTTGGCCAAGTGTGTTCAGATTGGCCTAAATTTAATAGTTTATTAAAATTTAGTAAAGTTTGGCTAAGTTTAACCAAATTTGGTTAAATCTGATTAAATTTAGTGATTTTAATTAAGTTTAATTAAGCTTTGGCTAAATTTGGTTAAATTTGGTCAGGATGGACTAAATTTGGTTAGTTTAAACATATTCAACTAAAGTTAAATATTTTAATCGAGATTGATATTGTTTGGCCGAGTTTGGTCTAATTTGGCTAAGTGTGCTCATGTTGAGCCAAGTTTCAATTTAGTTAAGTTTGGTCCAATTTCATTAAAATCGAGTTTAATATTGTTAGGCGAAGTATAATTCAATTTATTCAAATTTAGATTCGGCTCAATTCGGCTCAACTCGACTCAACTCGGCTAACTTCGGCTCAATTTGACAAACATCGCCTAATCACGGCATAACTCTGCTCATTCGGCACAATTCGGCTAACATCGACTAATCGCAGCTCGATTCGGCTAGAATCGGCTAACATCGGCTAATCTCGGTTAACATCGAGTAACATCGGCTCAACTCGGTTAACATCGGTTAATCTCGGCACAACTCGGTGAACATCGACTAACCTGGGCTCGACTCAGCTCAACTTGTCTTAACTCGGCTAACCTCGGCTCAAAGTGGACTCAGATATACCAATAGATATCGGATCGCCACCGATATCTTTAACACGTTTATGTAAAGTAAATAATTAAATTTTTATTAATTAAGGAAATGAAAAATTGATGACTGAATAATATACCTTATTATATCTATTTTTAAGGTGTAATTTAAATGCCATAGCACAAACTGACCTTTTCGTCTGTAATCTAGATAAGGGCTCATGGCTAAAAACGATTCGGAAACAGATTGCGAAATAATGACCTTATTAAAGTAGACGCGGTTGGGTACACCTCACCGCCCAAGTCACCCCTCACGAAAATTTCTTAGTAAATATTATTTTCTTAATTTCATCCGTTTCAAATATTTCATTTCAAAAGCAAGGTGTGAACCTTTTCATCGGTTTGGGTTTGTCGAAACTATTTCAAACTGAAAGGAGTCGAAACGAAAGTAGCAAAGTAATTTTCAATACGATATAACTTTATGTTGTTAGAAGTGTAATAGCATATTCGTTAAATGCGCCCTTACATTCATATCACGTATATATTTTTTGCCTACGCTTGCGTTATTGGTATATGTCGGTATATAATCTGACAAGGTGTATTGCTTGTAATGGGTTCGCTAGACTTCAACTAATAATCCGCTCCCCCATGCAATCCTATACTGTCATAGTGTAAAATGACTTGTTACTAAATATGACCTTTATCTTATATATATTAATGATAATGATCTTTCACTCCCGATAGCTTAGTAAGCTTTACATAAATTTTCGTGTTTCAAATAATTAATTAAATAAGTTGTGTCCTTTAGGGAGAAGTATTTAATAACAATAAAATCAAAGGGATTTATTTCGAACCCTTTGTATACAGATTTATTATGGCTCCAGTTCAAGTTCAAGTATCTATACTTGAACTTGAAATGTCAGCTAAATCTATATCTAATTAAATTTAAGATTAAACACTTTCATTATTACAATATTAATATATAAGATATAGTTTTATTTATCAAATTGAGATATATTATAATGTTTGGGTGTTTGTAACTCAAACATGCTTAAATAGCATAGCATGGATATACATAAAGAAGTGATAGGTATTCATATATTTCTAAATACATATTATATATATATATATATATATATATATATATATATATATATATATGTATATAAAGAAAATACTCAGATCAATACAAACAGACATACTCATGAATACAAATATTTATATTGTGCGGATATGACACCCGCGACCATCGGAAGGTAAAGTGGTGTGTTGAACCCCTAAACCACCAAGGTCGTCTTTCTATTTGAATAAGATTATGTTTACCAAAATTTACAAGGTCAAAGCCAAGGGTTAGATTAGTTTCTCAATATTTATTTAATCGATTTTATATTTTTAGGAATATATTATGTTCAAATACATGTAAGAAATAGCAATAAACATAAAAAAATAACCGCTATTTGAGAAATATACCGACATTTAATTTATTATTAATTAAATTATGAAAATAAGTGGTAAAAGTAGCAACCTAAAATAGTTTACTTAGTTTAAAGATACTCGTATTATAGTAAAAGTAAATGTTTGTAAATAGTGTTCATGTTTATTTTTGTAAAAAAAAAAAATATTAAAAAAAAATCTAAATAATTTTTAACTGGCCAATCTTTGAAAGATCTTCATATCAGAAGAAAGAGAAATATACTTAATAAAATATGAAAGTTTGTAAAGAACTTAGGATGTTTGTTATTCAATGATGCTTAAATAGTTAAACGGATATGAATGAAACTTGGTGGTCTGGATTAACGCGTACTTATTTACATGACCACGGCTAAAATTACACCTAAAATAAAATTTATTCTAATGTTTTTCGAAATACGCATTTACAATATTAAAAATAATAAGTTCAAAACTATAAATTAGTATGTAAAGTGTACTATCATCGCAAACAATTATAAAAAATGCTAATCACTGACCGACGGCCTGGGCGAATTAAATAGATCTGATCAAGTAGTTTGAATCAATATTAAAGTTGATTTCATCACGATTAGCGACTACGAAAGTTAATTTTGTGACGCTTTGATACATTTGGACGATAATAAACTGGATATTCAAAGCCAGAAAGGAAATTCAACCGCATTATTAATTTTAGATTAAGATAAAGTTATGTTCCAACTAATAATATGGCGTAAACTTACCAAATAAATCACATTTCGCAATTACACGGTAAGAGCCTTTCAAACTTATAAACCGTTAACTTTAAAATTAAAATAATAAATGAAAATAAACAGCGACACGTTCACATTGAAACTTTAAAAAGAACTAAAGAAATAAATAAGGATGTGGTGAATAATAAGAATAGTAAATAAGTTGAGAGAAAACATTGAGACGATTCGAAATGTTTACAAGTACAGGAGAGAGAACGCAGTGTGCGGATATGCCGCGGTGGCGCGTATCCTCGCGCGTTCACCCCTACTGTGGATGAGGGTCGACGCCGCCGAGCCTTATATCCGTGGTATCTACTGCGCCGAAAACCTGCGCATGACAGTGATTCACCTTTTGTGTGCAAGTTACGTACGTTGTTTGTGTAAAATAGCCTTAATATTACATGTAATATTAATATAATATATTTTTAAATTTATATTCTATACATACTAATATAGTGCCATCGGTATCATTTGAACAAATCTAGATAATTATAAACATTCATATTAATTAACATTTTAAAAATAAAAAAAAATAAAAATTATGTAGGTATAATACATGTGATGGTAGGCCTGAGCATCGAAGGTAAGTGACCATCGAAGCTCATAAACGTTTGTAACATCACAATTGACATTTATTACATAAACATTTATTTAAGACGTGAAAAATAAAAGAGAGGAGAGAAATATTTTTTGTTCATAGGTAGCTTGTGAATTTTTATTCAACGGCGTTGTAAATCATGGAAACGGGTGATAAAGAATTTGCGTTTCATAACCTTGAAAGACTGCTTGTACTTAACAAATGAAAAATTAAAAGGAACATAGTTTCTAAAGTTTAAAATCAATCACTATAAAATAAGCTTATAATAACAAATTAATATTTACAGTAGTACAAAGTTTGTAACTTAAAAAATTCCGTGCTGATTATTTTACAATAATTAATACAACCTGATAGGATTTTCCTTCTTTTTACCTGTCTATACCTATATATAGATAACTTCATCTTGTAAGTGGAATGGGATATTAGGAGTTGATTAAATAAATTGCTTTCAATTAAATGCGCTTAATTGCATTAGTAGAAGATACTGGAATAGGAAATATCTCACGTAGCGAGTTAAGACAGAACATTTGAAAGGGCGGTAGACCTTTTGAGATGGTCGGTGCGTGTATCACGCGAGCTAAACCAGCGCCGGTGGTGTGACGGCAAATGTCGAATACAACAGCTCGATATTGGCATACAAGGCAACTTCTAAATTGTGATTGAACAGGCAAAGCGTGCGTTTTACAGCTCAAAGAATTTATACCAAGCTAATTTTCAACCTTCCACACCATATGGCAAATTATTTTATGAATTTCCTGTCAAGAAATACAGTTTAGGTGTATTAATTGATGCTGATATTGAATATTACCGAGAGACTTTCTTATTGGCAGTTAAAACTTTATAGTAATTGAGCATGGAATATTTTACTATGTTGCTTCGTTATAAAATCATAAAATGGAAAACATATGTATTAGTTGGAGACACAGGGTCGTGTCATAACGTAATTCGGTACACGCTGAAACTTCGCAGTGAAGTTAATATCTGTTTGATATTTTTTCCATCATCTTCAATATTTATTTGAAAAAGAAATATTATATATACATATAACCGTGTGAGCAAATGTGTATATTAAAATAATGTATTGTTATCTGAGTTTAAATTAATTAAAATATAATTCCTACCTCAGAATCCTCAGGTATTAGTGGTCGCCTCCGCAAGCCACTTTCTTGGTAACGCGAAGGTAGCACAGGATCTTCTCCGGACACTGCTCTCTGGTATGAGAGCCGTCTACCCTTGTTGTCAGTCTTCTTCTTGCTAATACTGACTAGATCTTGATAGGAATGGCACATGGGTGTCTCTTTGTTGTTTGTGTAAGTATCATCCGGTATAACTTTTCTTAAATAATTGGTCATATTTTCACTCGCCAGCCACGTGACTCTGAAATTTTAAAACTTTATCAAGTATACCCTTTATTCGTATTTTTGTAAGTATTCGTGCTTGAAAATAAAAGAAACTAAAAGAATGCTGTCGTAAGAAAAGGACAAGTACTCCATCAAAATATTTTGTAGCTGAAAGTTTAATTAATGAACAGGATAAATAAGGATGAGTAACTATATAATTATTTGATCAAAAACAAAGATGCGTTGGTAACTTATTTACACTAAAATTTAGAGGATGCTGTAGTAGGCTATACAAAGTTGAAGAAGGTGTAAATTTACTGATAGTAGTTGAATTACTGCCCAGGGAACAATATTTTATTATGATTTTTATATATAATCGGAAATAATGATTACACCATATAGATGTAATTATTGTTTCCGGCTTACATTTGGCAATTTTTTTCAAATCCATGCAGGCCCTATACCTAGTAATTTTATCAAGGTTAATAAAATTGTACTAGACGACTATACAAAGATTGTACATGGAAGATATTTAAGGAAATTTGATATTAGAGATCTCAATAATAGGTGTCGAGGGAAAAACACTAATACAAATTTTTATAAATTTTGTTTGTCTGTATGTTTATTTTAGGTTCACACAAAAACTACTACACCAAATTTGATGCGGTTGACATAGTTGAGTTTCTGAAGATCTAATTTTCAAATTGGGAGATTTTCTTAATACACCATCTGAAAGTGGTTTATTTATTTGATTGTCCTACTTCTGGAATCTACGTATACAAAATAGCGCACAAAAATCTAGTATTTGATAACAGAAAATCTTATCCTAAAATTATACGTTAAAGAAGAAATGGAACTAAAAAGAAAACACAGGTTTAATTTTTAATATACAATTTTTGAACGTTGTATCAAGTTTCAACATCATAATATCAACGCTCGTACTTTGTATATCTACTGTGTCTATAAAATTGACTTTTCAGTGCACTGCTTAAACTGCTGGAGTTTGAAACGTGCAAATTTGAATATAGGAAGGTTCCTTGCATAATATCGGACTCTACCAGGAATGGATTTTTAGAAATTTCAACAGCAACGAATAACGGCTCCCTGTAGATATTATGGTTGTAACTATTTGTCAGTTTAAATATAAAACTCACTCAAATATGGCAGCTTTTCCTCTACCTACAGTACTACTATATATTATATTACTAGCCTGTCCCGGCATCGCACCGTGCATTAATTTGATATATCTCTTAAAGTTTAACCAGGCTATAAAAATTGATTTTTTGCGACTTGATTACATAACATAAAATTTATCTACTCATATAAAACATTGATTATATACACAACCCTGTATACATGTATATACAAATCTTTAATAAAAATATCTAATTAACAATAAAACCTCTATGAAAATTTGTTGATTGATGATTCAGAAGAAATAAGTAGAGAAATAGACATGCATACAATTGCATTTTTTATACTATGCAATGATTAAATGAAGTATGTATTACTTTATACGTAGAAGCACATATAATTATATTATATTATAAAAAAAAAATATGCAGTTTTTAGACCAACCAAGTAGTTCAAATTATCGTCATCATATCAGCCTTTAACTGTCTACATAAGAACACAGCCTCCTCTTGAGGGGTTTTGCCAGTAGTTGCTACGCTTGGCAGGCGGATTAGCAACCGCAGTTAGGGTTTGGAGATGTTTTAAGAGAGAAGTGGCTGCCCATCCCTCGCCCTCACTTAGTCGCCTCTTATGTCGATGGTCTACTTTTTGCTAATATAGAGAAATTAGTCCAAATAAAAAATGTAAATTCTAAATTAGTCTTTATATAATAAATTAATTTTGGTAATATGGTCTACCTACCTAACTTAAATATAGAACACATCTCAAAGATATATATGTACTTCTATCTTAACTTTTTTAACATTCTTCAAAGAGGATACCAGATACCGCATTTAAGGTGCGATACGCATAGATAGATACGACAGGCTCGGCGGTTACGTGAGATATTTGATTGGTTTGCGACGTAACATAGGTCTCAATCTTTATTTAGATCTATGTTGTTACCCAGAATGAGTAATGGATCGGCTTTGCCACTGTTAAGTTAGTAACAAAAGTTTTCTTATCGGTATCTAAAAAGATCCTGACAGATCCGGGCCCCAGTGTTGTCACAGAAGTGTGCTAGTGAAAAATTACAATCCTAGTAAGTATTTCTATAATATATCCCACCGCAAATTATCTCTTTTTAAATATAGTATATAAAATGAAGTATTCTTAGATATTCATTCAATTCAAATCACTCCTCTCGGGAAGATAACTTTCGGTATCGAATCTCTTGTATAATATTAGTTGTACGCGCGGATATCATAAGTAGAAAAACTAATTAAATTCATAGCGTATCAAAATACATACACCGATTTTTAAAATACACTTTTAAGAATACATCAGGGAAAACTAACATTCAATTGGTATAGTAGTTTATGAATAATGTCTAAACAAACATACTGGCGGACAGACAAAATTTCTAAAAATTATTATTCTAGCTTCTATTGCTCCTATTAAAACCACTTACATATATATTTTTTTAATATCTTCTATGCACAGTTGTCCAGTTTATTATACTTGTATTAGTAAGATAAACATTTGTTTAAACTAGACAGAGGAAGAGAGAGCGATAGAGTGAACAAATCAATTCATATTTATATATATTATATTTATATATATTATATTTATATATAGATAAGCGTTAAAATAATAATATAAGGTTTATAAAATAGATATTAAGGTTTTTAAAATAATAATGTAAGGTATTATAATAATAATTATAAAAAAAATTTAAGGAATAACAACTCGTCACAGTTTTATTTGATTATAGGGATACAAATTTATTATTCAGTTTAACAAAAAAATCTTATTTTAAAATTGAGAAGTTAACTTTAATTATTTTAAATATCTACATTTACTAAATAAAGGAAGCTGCAAAATATGTAGTAGTATATTTTGAAAGCATTAGACTAAAGATAGTTGGATGCGGTCAGCAACCATGACGTATAATAGACACGTTTAAAGTAATTCTATATATTGCGTAGGTCAAGAGTGTGTTCTAATATCTCTAAGAAGGTTACCTTATCAAAGGGCTCGACTTGGGTAAGACATGAAGCGAACGTTTTGTTATTTATTAAATACTCAAAATAAACCCGGTTTTTTAATGGTGAATCAAAGAACTTGATATTTAGAAATTAATAATTTTAGACCTTAATGAAATACTTTGATGACCAACAATAAGTTTTATGTAGACGATAAAAATAATATTAGCCGTACATTTTATAGTTTCTTCTCGATTCCGAGGATTACCGTAGCAGCTAATCCATCAAGCGGGTCCAATCATGATGGATTATGCATGGTTAGTGACAAATCACATTGTCAGTTTTTTAGCCGCTACAGAGCTTCTCATCTAATCTACTTCATTTAATTTACTATAGACAAGTATTTCGGCATTGTCGCATAAAGTGTAACGTAGTATGAAATTTGTTATATTTATAAATTTTATGGCAAGCATTCATAAGTAATTCAAGTAAATTTTCCCTTCCCAATTATACAATGTAATGTAGGTAGTATACTACAGGTAGTATACAATAGCACAGGCTATAAAGTAGATTAGGTGTTCATACTGATATTTTCCTTATTTAATAAATCAATTTACGAACTTTTTGATTTCCCACATAGACATTGTTGTCATGGATAAACAAGATTATTTGTTGATGATAATACTGATATTGTTAAACATGTAACTATGTTAATAATAAAATATACATATAAATGAAATAATCAGTTCCACCTTGAATCCATTTTATCTGTACTTTACCTTTAGAAGGCAGCAATCATCTAAATACGGAATAGATATCTATTTTATAAATTATTGTAAAAAAAGTGAATATAAATAATTTTAAAACTTAGTTTCTATGTATCTTAAAATTTGATGAAATCATCAATTTTTAGAGCCTTCGATCGAATCATTGATTAATAACTTTGAAACTTTTCAGCTATATCTATCTTAGACACGTATGTATGCAAAAGATTTTTTGCCCGTAAACAGAAACTGCCAACCTCGGTAAGAAGTCACAAGAGACTGCTGTCAAATAACCCCGCCTAGGAATCTTTATGTTTCTGTCTGAATAAGGTTACTAACATGCCACAAAGGGTTTTTAGACATGTTATGTTGGTAGTAGAGTTCAAGTTTAGCAAAGTGCTTGTGATATTATTCTTGTGTGCACGTATAAAGTATTATACTACCAAATTAAATATTAACAACAATGTATCTTACTATTAGAAATTTCACATAAGTCTATCAAGTATAATATTAGAATACTGATATTTGTTTTATTATATACCATTGTACCGATATAAGAGTGACTAAGAGATATACTAAAGTCAGAAATAAAATAGGTAATCTAAAATCCAGTCCCACCATACACGAATCGATTTATCGCTTCGAGCAATTGAGATGATAATCATATCTCTCTAATACAAAATGAGATTCGATATTGCCACACACATACAATCTACAGTTAGATTTAAAAATCGAATACAGATTCGTTAACCATACACGTGTGTGGGTTCGTTATTAGTATGGTGACGGATTAAGAATACAATGCTTTACCATTCTGTCGTGTCACAAGAATCTTAATAATGTTAATTTGAGGATAATTCAGAAGTTTTATTAAAAGTCAACTATACCTATGAAGTAACTTTTTTTAAAATCTACGTTAGACATTTGAATACAAAACTAACGTAATTTGAATTATTAGATAGAAAATAGTTACTTTAAGACTTCAATTGCGTCTTAATTTTTCAAAATTACTCAAAATGAACATTTCTGACTTATATGAGATGTGCGGATATGACAGCATTTTTTATCCCCAGGATGCTGTAAGTGGCGATAAAGGCAACAAAGTGCAATACAACAATACAAAATAGGTACAACTCAAAAGTTGTACCATATTATAATTATTATTACTACATTATAAACTTTACTGCACATACATAAATACAAATAAATAGTTATCATCATCGTCATATCAACCTTTAATTGCCCACTGCTGAAGTTTCGCCCTTAGGAGACTTTGCCAGTAGTTGCCATGCTTGGCAAACGGATTGGCAACCGCAATTATGCTTTAAAGATGTTTTCAGAGGGACGCTGCTGCTCATTCCTCGTCTTCTCATAGTCGCCTCAACTACTCAATACGACGGGAAATAAGAGATGGCTATTCTATGCCGGGACATCACCGCCAAAATAAATAAATAATAATAATAATAAGAAAATTATATATATATATATATATATATATATATATATATATATATATATATATATATATATATATATATATATATATATATATAAAAAGATGAACTATATAATTCTGTGATAGTTTCTTCCAGTATACCTAAAGTACAAAGGTATATATAGCCATTTAATTTTATAAATAAATAGAATATAATGTAAAGCATAGTCTGCTCTTAAAAATGTAAAAAAGGTTGTCTTTACGAAAGCAAGGAACTAGAAGAAGCTTCTAAATCATGGTTTACAGTGTATATCTTTCTTCTTTTATAGAAAAATGAAATGGTGATATCTAAGCAGGCGAGTCATAAAAATCTATCATCGAGAAGTAGGTTTACATTTACTACATAAAATAAGATAAACATCGGTTTTTACTGTACATAGCGACTTAAGAATCTTTGGAACTACTGACGAGACTTCGAATGGACGAACTGACAACATTCTAGCAGCTTTATAGGACAATGTAACATTTTACTACGTATTAGAATTTTGTTAAACAAAAAACTGTATTTCAAACGTAGCAAAAACAGTATAGGATTGAAACACAGTTCACCGTTACGTCTTAATATATAATAGTCGAACCTAGAACCCCTATTTTGGTTGGAAAAAAGTATAAACTGTTTATATAAATATGCAACACTAAGGAAAAAATAATTAAGAACATGGAATTTGTGGATACCTGTTTGCAAGAGAGGTTTTCCGTCGACGCCGCTTGACTGCCGTGTCAAGACCTGAACTCATGGAAATAGCCCGGGAGTTTAGTAAACTTTCTGAGCCACAAGTATCGTTCAAACCTGAAAGTGTAATAAAAAATTTATATATAATAACGAGCACGTATTATTTTATTAAATTTATCTGATGAAATTTAAACAATTTCCATAATTATTTGTGTTCATACTGATTTCATTACTTTTATTAAGATTATAAGCGTAACTCCTACAGGTATGAACTTAAAATAATAATAATTATAATTCTTTTTTTTTTCTTTTTTATATCACGAAATAGCAAACAAGCATACAGTCCGTCAGATGCCAAACGATTACTGTAGTTTATGGACGTCTTCAATAGTACGGGTGTCACATGTGCGTTGCTGACCCTAAGGAAACCTTAATATAGCCTTTTCGAAAAACCCCATACTATAGTCTGTAAAAAAAATCTCGGCAGGGAGCTCGTTCTACAGCCTAAGTATTCGTGGGAGAAAATTCCTTTGAAATCGCACTGTACGTAACCATTTAGGTGAGTGTGAGAATGAATTCACTGTCGAAAGCGAGCAGTGCGATAATAAAAGGTAGCTATAGGCACCATTTCAAACAATTTCATAGAACACAATCTGTTATACAAGCAGTAGAACACGCAAACGGAGGTAAAATCTCGCCTTAAACTTAAGACTTAAGGCACGATACCGCCTCTGAGCTTGAAATCGTCGACTGTTCTATGAGAACATCTTTGAACCGAGTTAATCAACAATACTAACAGTCCAGTCACAACACCAAAAATAACAAGCAAATAACGCCTCTTTTATAAACTAATAGCACTTGTAATAAATTAAGGTTTAAATTGTAATTTGGACAGGATATTATCTGCCGGATCAACTAGTTTTTTATAGTTTACAACTGCGTATTACGAGGATTGTTTTACTTAAGTTGTATGTACACAGAAATCATTAAAGTATTAACCCTTTTGAATTTAATATTCAATTATGCGATGGCGCATTTAAGTTCTATTTTAGTACGTGAGGCTTTATGTAGACGTCCAATTTGAGTAATCTTTTAGTAGAGAATACCAACATAAACTATGGTAAGCCCAGTAGTCCAATTATTCGTTTTAACTTGAAGTTAGATCAACCGAGCGAATGCTTGTTTTGTTCCTACTTTGTATTAATATACAAAGTAGACAACACACCTCTCAATGAAAGATTTATATGTTGTTCTCAGGTTGTTTTTATTTTTTTATTTTAATTCAATATGGTGTATGTTCTAGGCTTTAACTTTTTTCCAGCTCTTATTCCGTGCTCTTTGATCTTTTAGTGTAATTCTACCTTATAAATTGCACGGAGGGATCATCTAATGACTTGTTATAAGATCCACGAAAGTCTGCGAGAGTGCGACAATAGTTTATTTTTTTTTTCCTTCAATTACTCACACTATTTATGACTTTTTGATAGTGTGTATATCAGCACTGCGACTTTATTTGTATTTCGATAACAGATCATTTTCTTCAACTTTGTACATCTTCATATGTTACAAATTTATGTATTAAAAAATCTCGCGGTACAAAGTGAAAAAGCGAATTTTGTTTTCGCCAGATATTGTATTCAATACTAAGTGTATAATTTAATTGCGAAAGTAGAAATTTATTCATTTGAACTAAGCAGATAATAATAAGTTAACTTAACTGAGCAGATTAGGGAGAGTTCTCTAATAAACTTATCTTTGTAAGGTGAAATCGAATATAAGAAAGAAATTTTTACGTTTAGGATTGAGAAGTATTTAGTTTATTTATATTATTAAGATTTTGCAAAATGACAATTATACCTACGATATTAAAAATCCTATAGTAATTATTACTAATCTCTTTATTAGTAATTTATACTTTAAAAAAAGTTTGTAGGCAAAATTTTTCACCTTTTGAAAATCCATCTTGTTTCTATTTTTAGTGGTTGATATAATTGATAATGTCTATTACAATTAAATTGTGATATTGAAATCGTATAATTTGATATTAGAATAGGATTTTATATTAAAATCCATTTTGAAGTGCCGACGTACCAGATGTTGCGAACCATTTTATTAAGCTATAAATGCTAGTTTTATTTCAAATTATATCTCCAATGTATGGAATGTTTTATTAATATAACCTACTTATTATAAATAGCAAATACGGCGATATCTGGGAATACAAGTAGTTACTAATGAAATAAAACTGTATCAAGAGATTTTAACTTATATAAAGGAGATGTCTTTAAAGCTTTCTATTTTAAGATGTCTAACATTACATTATCTTGAATCTTTAATCAATTAATATCTAATCTAATAAAATAATTCAACAAAGGGCTTTCATATAGCTCTTGGCCGGAAGTATACATCATAAAATAGCTATTTATCATATCGATCAATAACAAAAAAAATTGAGGGAGAAAAGCCGTGGGTATCAAATGGAAATTGTTAAACTTACAATTTATACTCCCTGTAGACATCCCTCCATTAGGTAAACTTCCTGGAAGGCAATTTTGTTCCCCAGGTAAGGGACTCAAACGCTCTCCCTGATTCACCGATAGGCTGGAGCTGCTTTGTCCCGCCGCTGATGACTGTAGACTACTAACACTGCCCTATATAAAAAGCAAAATTTGTTTATTAACATATAATTTAATACATCGAATTAGTAAAAACTCGTTTAAATTTTTTTTTCATTATAATTGTCATATAATTGTTCATAACATTCCAAAAGAGTTGGATCACTAGTTGTTTCTAACACTATGCTATCGTCATGTTAATAATAGCATTAACAACATCCCGTTTGTATATATATATATATATATATATATATATATATATATATGAGATATAGGATATTGAATTAGTGCCTCGGGTGTAATTCCTAGTAACATCTAGTCAAACAATTTAATTACTATATATATATATATATAATAATTTATTTATAACTAAATATGACTTTCCAATCCATATTAGATCTCATGATCGCAATCCAAGATTTAGTTGGGCTCGTTGCTATTGGATAGAGGGATAATATTATAAATAAATATTTCTAAAAAAGTTTCCCTTAAGCGGGTGAGCGATTTAAATGACATTTGACACATAAGATATTTTATATACTGATGAACGTGGATAAAACATGCAAAATAACAAGTCATGAATAAAGATACATTGAAGCAATTGAGTTACGAAATTTATGTTATACCTAGGATAATTTATATTACACACAACTAGTCATATACTTAATAGTTTTAAAGATTTGGATGAATATAATTTATTGTTTAAAAAAAGTCCTTACTTATATTATTTGTTTGTTTCTAACATTTTAGCGCTATAATCATATTTCAGTATTCGAAGTAGAGGCAATATTTTTTTTTACAACATAGGGGCAAACGAGCATGCGGCTCACCTGATAGTATGTGAGTACCGCCGCCCATGATCACCCACAACACCAACGGCATTACAGGTGAGCTGCTGGCCTTTTAAAAGGGAATATGCTCTTTTCTTGAAGGTTATGTTGTCGTATCGGTTAGAAAATACTGCTGCTGGAACTTGATTCCAAAGAGTGGTGGTGCGTAGAAGAAAGTGCTTTGGAAAACACACGGTGGAGGACCGCCACTCGTCCAGATGGTTGGGATGAAATTTTAGTTTACACCATCGTACAAACGTACGATGGTGAAAGTCAGCAGCAAGTATCAATCCGAACAATTCCTCAGAACACTCCCCATAATAAATTCGATAGAAGATGCACAAAGATGCAACATCTCAATTGGTCATTCAACAATTGTCAACAATTTGAGCTGCCCGAATTTTTTTGCGTATATATAATACACGCAAAATGTTAATATATATTATCCAAATTACTCACTAATCCGTTTAAAAAACTAACTATTTATTATTTAAATATTGATGCAATTTAATCCTATTTAGCGAGTAAAAATCGATTGGCGGCTGTTCCCAACAATTATAAACCGCAACAATGAGTATATAAAATGTCCTATGTATTAAGTTAGAATATAATCTACCCGTGCACCAAATTTCATTCAAGCCATTGTACCATTTAAACGTGTATTAGTAATAAATATTTATATATCCAAACATTTTTCCAAACATTCTCTTTTATAATAATAATAAGTAATGATGTTTTCAATTCGATTACTAGTGAATAACGATTTAATCAGCATTTATGAACAATCATCAACACATTAGAAATAATAGTAAAAAATCACTTACATCGTTATTGTTGTTCAAACAACAATCAGTGTTATCTGATTCAGATTTTTCGTTCAATGATTGCATAGAGACTGACACTGACCCACATCGATCCAGTTGGGATTGACTTCTCCCTAGCGATTGCTTTTTAAATGATTCAGAAGCATTTTTTTTAAAACTCTCCCACTTCTTTCTAAAGAATGAAGATTTTCTTTCTAATGGAGATTTTCCTATAGAATGCAAATCCATTTCAGATTGCGATAAACTATCACGTCTCATTAACATTGTGTGATCTAACGATAATTTTCGTTCTCGAGACTTTAAATTTGAATATTCATTTGTTATAGATGTTGTTGGTGTAATTTGATTACTATTTGACCTGTCAAGATCACCATTAACTAATTTACTGGATGAATTATCTAATTGACTATTCGTCTTATTTTCGGTCGTTTCACTGACATCTGCTCTTATAGTTTTGTCTAATTCGGCACCTGTCTTATCTGTATTGGACTCCTGATTACAACTTACGCAGTTCTTATTTGCCACCTCGATAATATTAATTATGTTATCATTTATGAGCGAATTTCTTGTACTTAGAGAATCAAGACACTGTTTGCCATCGTCATTTATAACGGCACCGAAACTATCGTTGTCACTGAAATCTTTATTTTGCATTACTTTACTTCCCCGTGGTGCTTTAATACGCATACTGCTATTCATTTTAACTGTTCTTAATATTTCTGTGATCTTGATATTTTCTTTAAGCGTTTTAGCATCGGAAATGTACATGTTGGGTTTTTCTTTATCCATATATTTAATCGGTTTGTCTTTTTTCGACTTTTGTCGAAGTCGATCCATGATTAGGTATAATAATTATCACTGACATTCAAACGTCACTTTAACACACATACATATTATAAAATTCCAAGACAAACTCCATGGCACAAATATAGTGTAAACATTTTATCACTCGCTAACTTTACACCTGTATAATCACCGTGAATATTGACGATAACGATTTATCGACTAAACAGGGCAAACGTAATGGCGCGAACTAGTAAAATATCACACCGATTCACAACTGTACATATTCACACCACCTGCTGTACTTCTGATACGGACATCTTTACTTTTAAATATTAATGTAATATACATGGCGGATCTGTCAACGATGTCGCTACGAACTGAAATTCGTAACTGAAAGTAAACACGTCGTGGAAAAGAGCTGCCAGTGGACTGATTAGGCAATCAGTAGGTATGTTGATTCCTTGGGTATTATCTTTTTGCAGATATCTCAAGAAGTTGATAAGTTTTGATAACAGGTTGCGTACCTTGGTCAAATTTTATTTTATCTTAAGCCCGTGGGTTCACACAAGTACACAACCAACACCAACACACACAAAATATGTGAAGTGTCAACAAAACATTTTAGGTTTTATATGTGCAGTGTGATAAATATGCAGTTTATCGTTTTATATACATTCCATTAAATATATTTTTATTGATAAATTTCTTGCGAACGTTCATCGATGCTATTTATAACCATTCTGCTACCTAAAGATCTGCGCATCAGCATCTATATTTGCCAATCATTAATGTCATATATGTTATATTGTGATACTTAAAACGTGTTAAAATGCTACTTAATAGGATTATACCTCCAAATTTCTCAAAGCAAGTAGCAATACATCGTATACACGTGTTGTAGACCTTCCTTATTGCCTGTATAAATAAATAACAAGTTAAATTTATAAAGGTAATAGCTGTGTCATATTATTTTTACTACAATGATTTTTGTAGTTTTGATATTATTTATCTTTTATTATAAATATTATAGTTACTATAATAACGAATCAAATTTCTAAAAAATATTTTAAGCCAATATAAGGAATAGAATTATTAAATCTTCTTTTTTATAAAAATAATCTGATTTTCTAAAAATCAATATTGGATCAACACTAAAGAGCAGCTGAACAAATCACGAAGATAGGTACCTATTTGATAATATGCTCATAAAAAAAAGAACTGAGAATATTTCTAATATCGTTGAAAAAATTATATAAAAGATGTTACCTATTTATGCAGGTAATAGTATTATTTCATGGTAGTTTGAACTATGTCACCTCTGATGAGTTTGTATTGTGTTCGGAAATTTTAAATTAATTCGTGAATGTTAACAACGCAGTTTATGTGACAGAATGCAATTAACGCAGCTATGGGAATGTCTATATTTATAAATTTTCGTTTTATACTATTATCCAACGATTCCCACATTATGTATTAAAACTTTAATCAAATTTATTCATCAGTTTAAACGTGATTAACATATATGTGAATATAAACGACGTTATGAACTTAAAGGTTTACAATATTAGGGGATTAGAGTTTTATATTATTTAAAATGTATATGTAGACTTTAAAATAGGTTATATTATGATTTAAACTGTTAACTCGGTCAATAATAAATAATGCAAAGTTGATGAGGCCTAGACCCTACATTAACCTATCACGATGAGGTACCATTTCTATAAATGTATCTGAAAGAAAATTAGGTAAGTATTTTCTGAATATATTATTATTATTATAAGTAGACTAAATGTAAGAATAGATGATTTAGACTAATAGTTCAATCTATCAATGCCGCAGGCAAAAGGCCTCAACACTAAAAGGAAGAAAGATACACCTTCGTTACTTATTTGGATATCTAAAGAGTCCAGAGGGAGACTATGTACAAAAGTCGATTGTTTGGGTATCTCTGTCCTATTCGTGTTTCAGCTGTGATTGCATGGCTGTGTTTCGGTTTGAAGGGTGGGATATGGCGTGAATTTACTGGGTACAGAGGAATAACACCTGAGTCCTCAGGAATGGCAACGCATGGGGGTATCATGGGCGAAACAGTATACTCTGTTATGTCCATGCTACTGCTCTTGTCCATAGGCGACGGTTACCACTTTCCATCAGGTGGACCGTCAGCTTGTTTGCCATTCTAAGTTGTATAAAAAAAAAAGTCTTAGATAAAGTTATAAAAATGAATCCAGTGAATTGATTTTAAAACGCAACAGCATTTTTCTAGTTAGTAATGTCGCGTCAGTGCTGCACTCACTTGAAATTGATTTAAATGGCAGTAGCGGCTCGGCACTTACTGCAGGCTAACTTTAGATGCAATTGAATTAAGGTAGTATAATTGCAGAGTTTACCTGACGGCCATTCGTTGCGATTCTTATTTATTTCTGTTTGATTATTTAAAATATTAGCCAGCTATTTTAAGTTCACAGTTAAACTTATTTACACCTAGAAATTAATCTTTTTATTTAAAAAAAAAGTCATAAAATATAAGTGAATTAAAAAAATATATCATCCAAACGATAAAGCTTATTTTGTTGTTTAGATAATTATTAAAATAAAATAACTATACTCAAGAAGTCTAGATAATTGTATTATTTAAAAGTAGACTTGCTTTTATCCGCGGCTTTCTCTACAAAGTTGGAATATGATCACTAGCCAGGATAGTTTATGTTCTTATTCATCCACTTTGTGTATATTAAATTTCATAAGGTTGGTTAAGCCGTTACGGCGCTAAGAAGCAACAAACAAACATATACTAACACACTTTCATATTGAAAATATTAGTAAATATTCACATTTGCACATAATATATTGTGATACCTATCTATTATAAATAGTTTACAGCGGCAATAACTATTAGATCCTACCTATAACCTACATACATTAGTTGAGAATAAACTACAGTTGTTTGAAATTCGACATAATGACCCTAAACTTTTGGAATACATGCGATCGTGAGGGTATTAAGGGAATTGTTTCTTTGATAATTATTAAATTGTATTTCACGACTGTTTCAGTTTAAAGCCCAAGGCGGATTTCGATTAAGTAGTACCTAACCGGTAAATAATGCTACGTAAAATGAAGCTCCTTATTTAAAACCTGTCGAAGTAAATGAGTTTTTAATGTTTTAATATACCTCTATAGGGTTAGGACATTTTTAAATGAGACATTTTGAACTTGAGCATTAGTGCGTAGTTTACGTGAAAATAATCACCTGTTATTATTGTTATTAATGATTTAAATATTATCATTTAAGGTTTTCTAAATAACTTCTTCACAAATAAATTAAGTAATTATGTATGTCCAAATGTCATGATTGACATTGTGGTCCCGGCATAGAATAAGCCACCCCTTGTATTCCTGTGCGTGTTATAAGACGAGATTAAAGGAACTTAATGGTAGAGAGATGGACAGCAGCGTCACTCTTAAAACATCTCTAAAGGCCTAACTGCGGTTGTCAACCCACCTGCCAAGCATGGCAACTACTGGCAAAACTCCCCTTATAGGCTTATGTTCAGCAGTGGACATTTAACTGCTGAAATGAAATATCATGATTATTATATAGCCAATGCTGTGTACATTTATTACTATTGTGCATATATTACTATGTTTATATAAAGTGTTGTATTGTAACGAACTATATGTAACGATGTACCAATAAATAAATAAATTTTAGATGAGATGGATATTTTGATTAAAATATGGATTCTAATTGTAATAAATTATAAAAACGGATTAAAATATAATACAAGTAGTATTTATACACTCTGCTTGAAACAAGATGACGTTATGTTAAAATTTCAAATCTCTTAGAAGATATTATTTCGTAACCTTGATTTCAATTACAATGTAAAATTTTTATCACTTTAACTGCCTTTTACGATTTTAATTTTACTTTTAATTCGAGTATTGTTATCGTTTCTTGGGTTATGATTGGAAAAGAATGAATGAAATATATATATATAATTAACATTATAACAGTTATAATTACAGACTCAGAGTACAACTACATATATGTTAACGAAGCGACTATGACGAGGGTTAAATAGGGTTTCTCAAAGCATGGAAAACCTTCATGTAACACGCCTCTGCGGTTTACTTATCCTCGTAAGTCATATCTCTGTCATCACTAGCTACTACTTGACTTATTATTGACAATATATGGGACTATACGACAAGGAAACCTGTTTAATTATAAAATTATCATTACAATCGGTTACTTATTGAAAAAGGCTTTGCGCTACACGCGTACATACACGTAAACAAATGTGCGCAGGCACGTACACCGCACACTCACAAAAATATATCTTCCTTTTATTTTAGTTTATTTAAATAACTAAAAAAACTATGGAAATGAAAAACTACTTTTTTAACATTGAATCTGGCGGAACTAATTCACGTAACTTCTTCCAATTTTCTGGGAAACGCAAGCTCGCTAACTCCTTGAACCTTTTCAAGTTTATTTGAAGCTCACACTGTCATTAGCCATATGTCCCTATGTATCTACTCGAATAGGTAAAAAAACGGTTATTCTTTGTACGTATACTTTTTCCTGCCTTGTCATTTTCTCCGTAGATAGTTTAATTTGTTGATTTGTAATTTTATGTTAGTCGATGAATTCTTATGATTTTTAGTAAATGATTTAATAACTTATCATAATTGTTCCTCGTAATTTATCAAATTAATCATATATAAATGCTTGTAAGGAACAATATATTGTTTGAAAATATTATTTTTCTTGTTAAAATTTTATTTCATCATCTCTCTTTTTACTTAACTAACTGAAGCAAAAGTAATATAAAAAGTTATTTCAATGATATTAGCAATATTCTAGTACAGAAAATCGATTCAAATCCGCTTGTTAAATTTGTAGACCTTTAGATATACAGTTCTCTGTGTGGTGATACTAATAAAGGGACTTAAAATAATTATAATATAATTACTAAATAAATGACTGCATTATTTTAAGGAATTGCTAAATATAAAGCGTTTGGATTTTATTTATAAATAAATATCACTAAATCTGTTGCACATAACACATATTTGTGACGTAGGGGTATCGAAACCGTATTTGTGGCATCGTGAGATGTACCACTACTATACCACCAATGCCATTATTATTTTTTATATATTTATATAAATTTGTGATATTTATCTATAAGTATTAGGAAAAAAAATAAATTCTTCCCAGTGACGCTGGAAAGAGGACGATAAAAAGATAACTTCTGCCTTATTGGTAGGCGCTAAATACTTTTTGGGCTAAAAGATATCCTATCTCCAAATGTATAACAATATCTATCTACAGGGACAACTACTTATCTATGTAAAATATATAATAGATATTAGTGAAATTCCGTAAATTATATAAACACAGATGATAAATTGTTATTATCAGAGGTCATTACAATAATAGATAACAATATCCATTATTTGCTTGTACATTACCTTGTAAGGTAGACCTCATTATTACTGTACACAAAATACTTAAAGAAGAAGTCGAGTCCACAGTTAACTAAGAAATATATTAATTTATCAACATAAAAGAACTTAATGCCCTTCTGTATTTGAAATATTACTATTGCATATCATTATAAAATTATTATCTAAAATTGAACTATATTCTTATACAGAAAATTCGCACACTGAAAGTTGACAAAATAGCAAAACAGCTAACAACAAGATTTCAGTCAGTAATCTCGTGTTTACTAACTTCCGTAAACTATAGAATGTAATAGTCAACGGAAGTAAACAACCTGGTTTAGACTCTCGAATGCTTCTCGACCAAACTATAACTGTATTATTGGAAATTCGTATTTTAAAAACTTGTATAAAATATAAGTAAACTGATACGTTAGCTGAATCCATCTGATTCAAATAAAAGACGTAATTAAAAGCAAGCTTAATCTATAGTTAAAAGTCAAAGATGACAAATTAATCAAGAAAAAGAGAGAAACAAAATGTAAATGTAGCTAATATTAAAAATATGCAATATTGAAACGATTGATTTTAATGAAAAGTATTTGTTGTTTTTAAAACGAAATTTCGATTAAGATGATATCATTCTAATTTTCTTTTCCCGGAATATCTCCTAAATTAAGGGTACATAAATAGTCACAGTACTACAGATAATTTTTTTACCGAGACTGCGGACTGTAAATAGTTTATAGTCTTAAGTCTAGATATTCAGCGCAGCACTTAGAAATGATTTTCTGAAATTGACCCTGACACGGAAAATATGATTCTGTGAAGACGATGTTACAGGAATATATTTTTTTATAGTGCTTTTATTTAAGTATTATTAAACTTAAATGCCTACTGCACCGTGAATTAATTTTTAAAATTACCTTAAATTATTTTACTACCTTGCCTACCTACGGAAAGAGAATATTAGGGGTCAATAATTTAGTTTTTTTTTATACAACTTAGAATGGCAAACAAGCTGACGGCCCACCGACCGGATGAAAAGTGGTAACCGTCGCCTATAGACATGAGCAGTACCATGGACATAACAGAGTACACTACTTCGCCCATGATACCTCTCCTCATGTGTTGCCATTCCTGTACCCTGTAAATTCACGCCATATCCCACCCTTTAAACCGAAACACAGCCATGCAAACACAACTGCTTCACGATAGAAACACGAATGGGACAGAAGTACCCAAGCAATCGACTTTTGTACAAAGTCTCCCTTAGATAAATTCAAATAGATTTATTTAATTTAGAGTGATATTTAAAATTTTCTGACTTAGGTTCAACTGATATAAAATATCTAATATTTAAACTGTATGATCTTTAATTACGTGTACATAATTTCCTTTCTTTATTATGAACTTACATATAATAAACTCTAGTTATATACCTAAGCACGCACGAGTATGTTGCTCGTCATCACAAATTGTCAATGCGATATGATGACGATATCAGCAGTTACTGTTTACTGTGGAGTATAGGCCTCCCACTATAGGGGGATTTTGCCAGGCGTTACGCTTGGCAGGAGGGTTGGCAACCTCAGTAAAGCTTTGGTGATGTTTTAATAGGGACGCTGCTGTCCATGTCTCGATAAAGAAAACTTAATTCCTTAATCGCCTCGGAAAGGAACAGGCGGTCTATTCTATGTCGGAATAATATCGCAATGCGATATACCTACGACATATTGATTAATAATGACGATGTCTCTGAAATCATCAGATTATTGATTTTTGTATTGGTATTCCGTACGTGACGCAGGTATCCACAAAATTATCTGAAATCTCCACGAGAATATAATATAACAGATTACGCACGGAGTGAGCCTCAGTGTTCTTTTCTATGTACCTTGTAATAATAGATTGTATATATGAGTATAGTATCAAATGCCAAGAGTCTTGCTTACGTGGATCTATTTAATCAGCATTATTTTATTTACCATAAGAAGTGCTCTTCTTTCTCGAAATTAAAGAAAATTTATGATTATTTATTCTGGAAGTTCAAATTCGTAAAAAAACGTTATTTTTTATCAAACATTTACGGCGATCATCCTTATATATCCTTGTATAAAGTATGTATCAATAAATACTATATTATCAGTTTGATTATAAAAAATACTATATAATGACATTTGAACGGACTGCTAAGTGGCCAGGCATAAAAAAATTTAATAAGCTCGGTATTTGACATTTGCTTATCGAGCCGAAAACAACAACTTAGGTCTACAAAGATGCATCATAATTTTACCTTGGCTCCATTAACAAAATTTAAAGCATCTACTGTGCCATGAACATTTTGAAGTTTGGGTCGCAAATTACATTCAGTTGGCCAGTAGTTCTATACTGACTTTTCATTTGAACCTGCCAAATTATCTGTACTAATTCAAAATAATTTTAAAGCCCTTAAAAAAAAGAATATATATTACTATTCCTTGAAACAATGTTTTACCACATATTGTATGAGTTTACAATAGAGTGCATTTCTATGAAATTTATCAAGGTTATTTTTGCAATTTTATACGAAATATCATTCATTGTATAAGTCTTTTGATGCAAAGTTTATAGGTAGGTAGTTAAATTACTTTGTAATTCAGGGGATTTGCCTACATATTATTATAATGAACTCCAAAAGAAGTTATAAGTCTCGCCTCTCTTAATTGAAATACATAATTTTAGTCCCCATTTCAATAAAATATATATCCGATCATTTATATTACTCAATCCACTGAAACTAATGAAATTGCATTATGTAAAATAATACAACACTGCTGGGTATAATCACAAAATAAGGAATAATGCTATAGCTACAATAATGTCATTGTCTTTAAATAATAAATTTATGACTCATTACTCGACTCCTTATTAGTGAATGAACGGAAATTTGAAGTGTGAGTAAAATAAATAAACACTGAATCGATAGTAATAAAGTGTATTGAATTTGTAAAACAATAGAAATAGTATTGAATAACACAATAATAATTCATTTCTTAGTAGGCGCGTCGGGCACGTCAAATTCGCTGACTTGCGCGTCCACCAGTTGTTTACTCCTGAGTTTTATGACAGCATGACCAGGCACATTCGGGTCTTCCATTTCAAATTCGATCAATCCTGTTTATAAATAGAATATATAGATATATTGATTTGACAGTGACATATTTAATCCGGTCTGTGACCCAGAAAATTTCAATTAATATAAATGCGATACATGTTAAAAAGTACAATATCGATTCATGAAATGTTCAGTTAGTTTGTCATAAATAAACAAAACTAATAATAAACAAATGCTACGTTTACCAAATGCTAGTGAAAGAATTGAGTCTGTGACTCGATTACCATAATTGTTATAGCGCGTTATTTAAACACGAATATAACAATAGATAGGTGGATATTATTAGACACCACATTAAATAAAGCGTGACATGTGATTAGGTACAATGTTTTATTTAGAGATAAAAATAACGGAAACCTAATGACACCTAATCCGGTTTTGTTATTTAGTAATGATAATTCATATAGATAGCGGCTACATCAATACCCGTTTAAGGTTCTTATAACCAATTAGACGACATAAAATTATGTTGACAAATCTAGGAGATCCTATACAAATATATTAAAATAGAAAAACTTGTTTGTTTGAATGTGCTAATCTTTGGCACTCCCAAAGAGATTTGCAATATTCTTTTTGCATTTGAAAGATCGTGTATTGAGACAGATTATTGGCTATTCAACATCATAATACAACCAAAGATAAAACTCCAGAATAGAGCTAGCTTTTTATAAATTTTAATACAGTACCTATTAATTCTATAAGAAAATGTAGTTAGTCTCTTGCATAAATCCTACCTAGTTCAAATAAAAAATTGAGAGTAGGCAAATAAATAATGTATAAGCTGTTCCAACTGAAGAACTTATCTACATATTTATTAAGTGCCTAATCAAAAATAAGCTTTTATTTCCAATAACATGATGATTGATGATATTCAGGAAAGAATAATAAGAAAGTGACTTTCAAATTTTAATATCCGCAAATCATTTGTAACTACTTACCTGTCAATATATATCTATGAAATAGGTATGTAAACAGATTAAGTAATTCAGCAATATAAAGTGAAATTGAGTCGTATGTAGAATTTAAAATCTATCGATTGAATAAGACAGAAACTTTATAAATAAAAAAATTACAAAAAATTTTGAAACTCTCATATTGACTTAACTGCTATACGAATTGTAGTAGTTTAAGAGACAGTTTATTTGGCATTTTTAGACCCACATTTGTTTGATGGAAATGTTCCACTTCACTAGTAAAATATTTTCTTTAAAGGACGTTAATCATTTCAATTTTATCTTGTATAATACAGCCATTATACTTTTTTTTAAAAAAACTTCAAAAAGGAGTACATTCTTCAGTTTTTTTTTTATTTGTTATCCCGGACTCTAACATTTTTAAATCGATTTCGATAATTCTTTTTTTATCTGAAGGGATATATTTTCAGATAGGTTGGTCATAATTTTTTTATAAAAATCGATTCAGTAGTTTAGATTTCAAATAACAATAATTGTTTTTTTGAAACGGCTAATTTTGTGAAATTAAATCGTAAATTACTTTATGTTTTGTAATCACAGAACTTTCTCGTTTGGAAACGGATTTACAAAATTCTTTTTTATCTGAAAGTATCTTATCTAAAAATTTATCCTTTCAGATAGAATCTGAAATGATAATATTTATCTTTTTTAATCTATTTGAATTATTAATCTACTCGTTTTGTTTCTCATTTGTTAATTTTTGGACAAATTTTAAACGTAGTTTTACAAGTAAATTTAGAAACCGTTTTAACATTAGAAAGGGGAAATATACTTAAATTATATACAACAAGCGCAATGACGCAACAAATTCCTTGCATTGTAAAGATTAATGATGCCTCTGCCTGTAAGTAAAAAGATGCCCTCAATATTTCAATCGGTAAATGAACTAAGTAATGAATAGACTGCGATTAAATTACTTAGTATTAGCGCTTTAGAATATAGGAGTCAAGCCGTATTAAGGAATTATGCAAATAAGTTATCCGATCTGAAGTGTCCGCTGAAGCTTGGAAAATTTCTATGTCGTAGGTGTCAATATGTACCTATACGTAGTCACTTTATATCATGAATACCTATAGGTCCCTAGTAGAAAGTATTTATTATTCATTATTCATGAATAAAAACATATTATATGAAAGTAATTAGGATGAGAGCAATAAGATGGTGATAATGATGATGATTTATCATTCAATAGATACACTATTATCGCACCTCTACGAATTTTAGTGCTATTACAATATAATTTTCTTACAAAAATCTTTTAATACTGATAATGGATATTAGTTAGATACCTTTTATTTTCTTGAGCAATCTGCAAAATACTTATGTGTGTATATCTTTACATTTATTAGATATTGTGCTATTCATCTCTATATATACCACATGCCATCAGATGATAGTCAAAAACCTTTTCCGTTAATATTAATGATTAATTTATAAATGGCTAAAATTCCGTGTGATTTAAAAACATTCCTATTAAAAAATTGCTGAATACTGACTACTTCTACAACTTATAGTCAGTAGATGAAAGGAGCTTTTACACCAAAAGGTTTGTAGTTATAAACTTTTTAAGTAGCTTGTATTTTCTGTAGTCATCTTAATGATAATTAAGAAACTTCATTGAATATACTTTGTAAATATTTTTTAATTAGTTTAACAAAGACAAACAAGCATAACTATGCCTGTTTGTATATTTAAAAGTAGATGCACAAGGATCAGTTGTATTTTAATCTAAATTATAATGTTATAAATAGAATTTATAGAAAAATAAAACCGGTCAAGTGTAAGTTTGATACACAGTAGAATTCAAAAATATATAATTTTTATTTTTTAGATGCATATTTATTCCTGTAATTTGTATTATATCATACTTAATTTGTGTAATTTGGTTCAAAGTTTCAGATTCATTTTAGTATTATTTGAGTATAACATACAATATATTAAATATACATACAATAACAAAGAGGAGAAGTTTTTAAGACGTATATTTTGTTAGACCCCAGTGAGGTGTAGATCAAAAGATAAATACAACATACAACAATAAAAATACATATGTATAAAAAAAACTGCTAGAAATTATCGTAGAAATAGACTTTTTGCGATAATTCCTAGCAGTTTTTTTAGCAGATAGAATAGAAATTACGATTTTATCTTTTATTTCACATAAAGAAGTTTTGTATTAGTGATTGTAACTATTTTCTACATGGATATTGTATATATATATATATATATATATATATACATAGCTTAGATCAATATACCTCAAGATCTAAAAGCGTTTTGTTTTAAAAATATGACAAAAAATAACGACAATTGGCAAACTTGGTAACACTTTTTTAATAACTATATAAAATAAAATTAAGGTAAACTACGGTAAGGTAAATAAGATATACCTGTACAGTAATTTCTAAGTACTGGTCATGCAGTTTTCTTATTTGATATACGACCAATATGCATTTGGTATCAATGAATCTTGTATAGCAAGTTACTGGCATTGATTTAGTGAATCACAAAGTAATTACTTCTGGGTAAAGACCTACCTAAACTTTATTTAGGTGGAGATATTTTAAGCAAATGTTTAACATTGAAAATAAAATTTTCAAATGAAATATAAAAAACGTAAAAATTTGAATAGAAACTTTAAGGATATTAAAATTATTACTACAGGTTATCTATAATAGTAAAACTCTCTGTGATTTTGACTTACAATTCTCATGTACCTACTTACTTTGTCGTATCTTTAACTAGCTTAAGCCATGAAAATCAATATCATTACAAAACACTGAATTTATCTACTCATACAACACTTAATTGGGATAGAATTAATGTATTAAAATATAAATTTTTCACAAAAAATATCTAAATCACAATAAAGTGTAGAAAAATTCGTTGGGTAATTTAGAAAAAATATCAGGAACAGAATAGGTGGATAAGTTTATTTTAGGCATAGTAGAGAACTGAGGTATCATGTGTAATAACTTGTGTAGTTTATAAATAAACAAACCTCCTTCAGTAACAACTTCATCCTTATAATTATCCTTCATGAACCTCGCTAGGATGTTATGGTAAAAAGACTTAGCATTGTCCTTTATTTCTGGAGTTACCTCCATCTTTGCCACCGCTTGAATCAACATGATCAATTTTTGCCTCGCTGTCAATATCAGCTTGTCAACTGTAAAATATGGAATATATTTATTGCGAACAAGCAAATAACGTTTCGTTATCGAACAGTTATTTGTATAATAACAAATTCTGTGTAGTCTTATAACTTTCACAAAATTAAACCTATACCAAATTAAGTTTTCCTCGATATTTGTTACGCGCGGATTTTGGGATAAAACATATACTGGGTTTTATATTAGATCTTCTGGAATACTACTGTTAAAACCTTATATGATTGGTGCAATAGTATTTGTCTTCTAGTAGAACAAATCTACAGGCAGACTAAATTTAAAAAACAAAAAACTTGGCTTCTTTTGCTCTTATTAGAACCATTCGTATACTCGTATATCTTCTATATACAAACATTGTCTAATTATAATTTTATTATATGTATAGATAGTTGAACCGCCTACATTGTATAGGTGTAGGTGATTAACTTTAGTCAATTTTTTATAATTATAATTAATTAATTATTATTTAGATAACTCTTACCAACCACTAATTAATTACTCGCAGAACCACATTTTGGAATGGCAAAATCTTTAATTACTATATTTTTGTATCAATAATTCCCTTTATGAAAATAGACTACTAAGATATTATGTATTATTTATTTATGTATCAATGTTTTAAGTATGTGACGTATTTTATAAAATTAGGGTATGATGAGGCTAACATATTCTTATAGGATAAAAGCCTCTAAATAAAAAAGATTAAAAAACAACCACTAATTAATGTCAAAATAAATATTACAGATACAGTCACAGTAAAATAGATAAATATAAAGTCAAAGCAATACAATCCGGAAGATCAGCAATTGCTCTTTCATAAGACACATACTCGTAATTCGAAAAATTGACAACCAAAGGAAAGAAAGTTTATCGCGTGATAACCTGACGTAGTGCAGGTAACCGCAGTGTAGGGCCACCTTCCACTATAAAAGCGACAATCTCAAATATATTACGGAGAATCACTGCGATGTAAATCAATGAGAGGCATGTTCATAGTGAATAATACACAAATGATTGAAAACGGACAATAATTATACGTATATCTATACACGAGTATGTAATTGTTATTTAGCTAAATAAATATTTAACAACTGGAAAAGGTACGGTAAAAAAAAAAGAAAAAGGAGTTTTTGGTTTGAGTTTCAATAATGTCATATATTGTCAACTTACAAATATAAATCAATATAAGAATATCATGTTTGAATCTAATTACCATTCAAAGGGTCATATGTTTTTTAAAATACTGCAGTATCAGGATCAGGATTTTCATTAGTGGCTAAAATATATTTTCCTTATAATTTTTAAATTATTTTTTTCTCTTAAGCATTTAATTTAGAATTAGCTAGCAACAGATTAATTACTTAACATATTTTTATAAGTATAAGGAGCAAATTTTGCAAAGAGTAGTCTACCACGCTGTTTCTGAATTGCTACATTATAAAATAAATAATGGTAGCTTAACAATGCGCGCTACGAACAAAGACGAAATATTTTGAATGAGATAATTGGTGTGACGATGATTAACGACAACAATATGTCAGACTCACAATCAGCCTCGAGTTCTGGAATAGGTTGTACCATTTCTTCGAGTGCGTATTGGATGGCAGGTGGGACGTTGGTGAAGGGCCTCGGTGCGTTTGGTGCTCCTGTAAAGCGATCATTACAATGTGGATACTGTACTTATATCCTCAACAGGGCAAGAAATCCGTAGCAGTGGGACCTTACTCTGTTATTATAATGCTCATATTTTTAATTGATCGATGATTGCATTATTGTGATAGGTTAGGCATTGAAACTCTTAAATTATGAATTTAAACAATTTTTTAACCACATTATATATGTATGTCAAACAATGATATTAACTACTAGATACCAATAAAGACTATTAATAAAAAGCTAGTAATTACAAATTTTTATGTTCTTTTGCAACGAAATATTGTTTTCTTTTAATTCTTAAAAGGAACTTTGCTCAGTCATGTTCTAAATTAATTTATTTGGACATGATTAATTGGTAGATAATATTTTGGTTGCTAGTAATTAAGTATTATGATTCATTATTTTTCTGTTTAATGGATATCGTAGTTAATTATTTAACAAATTACCTATAATACATATACTCAAATATTATTTATCCAATCAATATTTTAGACTATTTGATAGTTCTGATCAATTCTTACAAATGAAATTAATTAGTAATACGTACGTGCATATACCAAACATATTACACTGACCTTATTAAGATTGGAAATAAAACAATATTTTAAAAGCTAAACAACTGGGTTGTCATATGGCACTATTAAAATTTTCATGTGAAAGAATTTGAGTAACTCAGTTATTAAATTCCGTTAGTTTTAAGCGATTCCGTCTACATTTTATTTCTAAAGTTTATATTTTTGTAACATCAATTGTATTTCTATGTACATTCCAATGCTGGTCCATTCCCACTGAGTGCACATAAAGTTGCGCTTAGCCGTCCTGTAGTACTGAATTAAATATGCTGTCTGTCTTAGTTTTATGACTGCAAACTTGTTGTGTCCAGAGTATACGTCTTTCTTGGTCTTGGCATATCTATTCCCAATATACTAAGTTGGAAAGTTCTTCCGCTGTACTTAGAAACTATATATTTTATTACCGAAGTAAAATGTTCTTTGGTATAGTTATTGTGTTTCAGATAGATGTATAAACTTAAAATTTGAACTACTTCGCCCATTGAATGATAACGGGTAATGATAATTCAATAGAAAAGAAACTTTATTCTGAACAAATATACGACAGCACCCACAAAGAAATTAAAAGATAATTAAAACTAAAATTAATAATAATAAAAAACTACTCGAAATACGCAGGAGAAAAAAAAAACATAAAAGCATATTACAACATCTCAATAACAATATGTGCGTGCGTGCGGGCGTGCGTGCGTGCGTGCGTGCGTGTTGGCGTGCGTGCGTGTGTGCGTGCATGCGTGCGTGCGTGCGTGCAGTTTGCGTGCGTGCGTGCGTGCGTGCGTGCGTGTGTGTGTGTGTGTGTGTCTAAAGTAACGTAGCTCTCAATTTAGCAACTAATTATAGTATAACCTACCATACATATACATCAACCGTTTACTACTGAATATAGTCCTCCCCCATAAGAAGGGTTTAGCCAGTTATTGCCACACTTGGCAGGCGAGTTGTCAAGTTAGGCTTTGGTGATGTTTTAAGAGGAACACTGCCGGCCATACATCGACTATTAAGTTTCCTTAGTCGCCTTTTACGACACAAAAAGGAGGGGGTGGCCCATTCTATTTAGAGACCACACGGCTATAGTATTACCTAAGTAGTTGTAATTAGAAACTGACAATGTCTTACCAACGCTAGAAAGTAATTCGTTAATTTGTTGCAAAGAGGTCTTCATTTCGATTATGAGTTTTCCTTTTTCATCCAAAGATTTTGTTAGATTCCTTTCTTCACGATCTTCTGCTTCTATCTGTTCTTTGAGCTGATTTTTTTCTTGAAGGTATCTACGAAAACAACATGTAGACACATCATAATAAAAATTAGGAGCAGAACAGAAAGAGAATGCCGCCTCTACGTATTTTGTATTGATGTAAATATAATGGTAATTCTCCCTGCGCTATCGGTTTATATCAGCAAGATACTACAGAAGTCACATGTGTGTTCAATTCACTAAATTTAACCTTATGATTTCCGTGTTAAATGACGAGAGGACATGTGAATGTCGATTTGACAGGTTATATTGTTAGAAATAGAAATTACTAATTCCCTTTGCTTTCTTAGAATACATTTTTCTTTACCACCCTCTTCTTTACGTCTAGATTTTAATTTAATTGATTAAATAAACATTGTATTATTTCATAATTTATAAACAAAAATAATAAGTATGTATAATTTAAATTTAAATGTAAACCGTTATTAGGGTTACTACAAAGAAACTAATTACTACCTGTTTAACAAAATTAATTTTGTATTGGAATTAATCTACCTAAATTATTAGCATTAGGCTGCCAATACTACCATTTAAAAAGTAAAGAATCTAAAAGAGTTTAGGGTTGCCATCTACACAAAAGTAAGTATGATGATTAATAAACATTACGTTTACTCCAGTCATATACTTCCAACTACCTTATCCCTTTATTGGGTATATGGGTTTTTAAGCACACACAAAATTAAATTAATATTATAACTTTTATTTTATTAAGAATCGTAGAAAGCTAATTTATTGGAAATGGTCACTTGGTAAACGCGAAAGCTGTAGAAGTGAGATAATCAAAAATAATAGAAAGGAAGAGCCATCTCAATTGAATCTATTTGTGCTAGTATTATAAAGTAGTTACTAAACAGTACTATTTAAAAAACTACGGTTAAGTTTCTTGACCAATCATTCAGCGGAAATTTCATCCTAAATGCGCGGTAGCATCATAAAAAATAACTAATTAATATTAATAAATTAAAAAATGCTTAATAATTAAGTTCGCTTAAATAAAAATGATCTTATTCTTATAATACTGTAGTAAAATCAAAATAGTACTTTTAAAGTACCTACTTGACCGTCACTGAAAGCTTATACATCGAGAGAGGATTTCCGTTTCCGTCGATAGCCAGTCGTAAATTTGTACTTTTATACCGGAATTTCTGGCTCGGTGGTGACACCTGGCGGGGGTGCACAATTTTTACTTTTGTAAAAAGATGCCCCCTATCGTCATTGGCTCAATGTTTTACTAGGCAAAATAAAATAAAGCTTCTAGTGAGAAGTATTTTAATATACAATTTATTTCTTTTATTTTATATAAAACGCTGCTATTAAAATACTTGACCGTCACTGGAAGCTTATACATTGAGATCTGTTTGTTATTGCCTGGTAACGCCACTACTTCTTTATTTAATTAAATTTTAATGCACAAAGGTACAAAGCGGACTTAAAACTCAAGGCCTGTGATGCATTAAGTTACTGAAAGAGTTTTCCAGGTGTTGCCACCGAACCGGAAATTCCAGTGTAAAACTACGAATTTAGAACTGACTACCGACGGAAACAGAAATGCTCTCTCAAAAAATAAGCTTACAGTAAGTTAAGTATTTTTGATATGTGTTTTATTTCAGGTAAATCGCTGCTATTAGATACATTGTCATTTTCTACTATGCTAGTACTAAGAACTAAGTCGTAACATCGGTAATTTCAAGAGGAATTTCAATTAGCATCAGCGATTGCCTTATTCTAATAAATATTATTTTTCTCTTCTCATTTATATCGTTAAGGTTGTTTCGATAATAAAATGCCGTTGCGTTTATTTCACGTCACGCAATTACGAACCGTAATTTATGAAGTAGATTCACGGAATTGTTGTTCCGTCTAACGAACTCATTTATAGATAAAATAAAATCAGGAAAACATTGAGAGAAGGCATTAAAATTGAACAATCTTCTAAATTATGAATGGCTTATTATGTAAATGTATATTTCCTTGACAGTTATAAACAAATCCTTAAGTACTTATACAGTATTTTCTTTTACTTTTATTATAAAACAATTCTATTGACTTTTACACACTATATATCTTTTTTTTTCTCTTGCCATTCACTACGATTTTTAGCTTACAACTTTTTCTTTGATGTACCTGATGTAATTATGCTTTGGTCTCCCCCTTCCCCTTCTTCCTCCTATCTTACCTTCCGTTATAATGTTCATAAGTTTGTCGTGTCGTATCAAGTGTCCCAACATTTTATCCCTTCTGACCTCAATTATGTATCTAGTATCTTCATAATGTATAGATAAACAGCTGTTGTAACGTAGGTTAATTATCACTATCTATGGGTAGGGAGGATTCCCTTAGAAACATCAAGCAAATATAGTTGTGAACTATGATAAATAATAAGTAGTAAATAATATGGAAATGGAAGCTTAGAGACGATGACCTTGAGATATAGTGGCGCTGTTATAAAGAGTACTAAACAATACAAACAGAGTATGGACTCTTAAAATAAACCCAACGTCGTTTGGTGAAAAGGGTAAAACAAATACTTGTATGCGAGACATTTATGGGTGTTGAGTAACATAAATAGGCAGAGCTTTTGTTACGGGATTTAATATAGTTGTTTACATATTGAGATAGGCGGAGGTATTCTATGTAAATGGAAATAATTGGAATGGGTACCATAGCTTTTTGTGGTCTTCATCTACCCTAAAAGTGTCCTACATATATGTGTATATGTATAATAAAAATCCTAGATATAAATATAAAAAATATCAGAGATAATTGTTTATTTATTTTTATGCTTTTGTGCATTCTCATATAATATAGATAATTGGTTATAAGAAAAATATACACAGGCGGACTTATCACTATTGTTAAGACGTTTTCAACTATTACCTGTGGGTTATTACTGACCAAAAATCTCTAAACGCCACTTAGAAATATTAATTTAATTTTTTTTTTTGTTTATCCTTAGGGCCTAATGTTTTATATATTCATAGGGGTGGGCAGCAAATTCTAATGGGAAATATGTCTTTATCGCATCCTGCAAATTCATCATACTATTCATATATTTTCACTTCGCACTTCTTACTAGGCCCTTTTTCCACATTTCACCGAATAGGTTTATAGGGCGTATACTGGCTAAATAAGTCAGTGTACGCCTATTTACCGACAACTGGTGGAGAAGATTTCCTGAGTGGCGACCTCGTATGGACAAACGCAGAGTAGAACGGCCCCCTATTAGATGGAGAAACGAACTCAAATGCATTGTAGAGAGTCCGTGGATGCAGGTGGCTCAGGACCGTTCCTTAGGGTAGTCTATGGAGGAGGCCTATGTTCAGCAGTGGTCAGATAACCGTTGAGATGATAAGATGATGACGATGACGTCTCTTCTGGTCGGCCCCTACCAACATCTTTATTCGTTCAGGCTTTACCTAGGTGCCTTTTTTTATTTTCTTTCACCCATCCTTTAATGTATAAAACAACACTCGTTTCTTTTCAATCTTTATCTTAGTGATTTTTATAACTATTTTTTACTGTCACACATATAGTCAAATATCAATCGCACAATATATATATGTATATGCCTTTTTGTTTTTCTAGATTTTTGTACAAACCTATACAATACACATATATTTTTAACAATAGTCTGTTAAAATACGAATGAAACTAAGCCGTTAAGCAAAAAAGTTTGAACTACATCTTAGTTTCATGTTTGAAGTTTTAAGAGTCCTTGTGAATCAGACAGCTGACAAGTAACAACACTAAGTATGTACATAAATATTATATACCTAAAGCCATTTTAGATCAAATGCAGTTAGGAACTTTATCAGATACGCTGTAAGTAGGACAAAAAGGTTATGCTCGTACTTTAATGTACATAAATTGAATTATTGTCCCTGCATAGAATGGGCCACCCGTTCCTTTCCCGTGGATGTCATAAGAGGCGACTAAAGGAACTTAATGGTCGAGGGATGGGCTGCAGCGTCCCTTTTAAAACATCACCAAAGTCTACCTACAAAGTAACCCGCCTGCCAAGCGTGGTAACTACTGACAAATCCCACCAATACAAGAAGGCCTATGTTCAGCAGCGGACAGTTGACGGCTGATATTATATCTATTGAATTATATCCAATCGATTTCAAAAAAATGCACCTACGTAGGTTCTTGCTCCGATAATATTTTGTATATTTCAGACGAGATCTTTATTAATCCTTAATCGAATACAATGAATTTCTTTGACGTATTTGATGGATTTCTACTTATAAATTGTCTTAAATTTCCTTATTCATCAGTAAAGTTATTTGAAAATAACAATAGCTAACCTAGGGAATCTAAAGTTATTATTATTGTAATAAGATAGAAACAATATATATTTTACAGTGTACAATATAAATAATATTAAGTAAGCTAAGCACGTCAGAATTACCTCAATTTCTGTTTTCTAAAATCTAAGTTATTCAAATTGCAATGTTGCGTTCATCAGGAATTTGCCCCCGACTATCCAATAGGGACTACGACCTTGCCCTTGCAACCTTGTGGATGCGGTCTTGTAGAAGGAATTCAAATATAACTAAAACAATATAGATTTGCTATTCACATCACAAGTATCATTAATATTGTAAACATGGATAGAGCTCTTAGTGAAGTACATGCTACATATTCACCATTATTAAATGGACGCACGAACTAAAATGTACGTTTTTACCTTAAAAATTCATGACGAAACACATTCATACTAGGTAATAAATAGAAAATTCCGAGGTAAAGCGTTCCATATGAAAAGCCTCATCTAAATTCCCGGCCCATCTACTAGAACTGTAAGCTCATACAATAAGTTAAAAATATCTAAGTACCAATTAAAAAATAAATATACGTATTATACCTACTCATATTTTTCAGGAGGAGGAAGGGATTGTTGGTAATGCGGACTACTAGTCTCATTGATAGCAATATACTCTGTCTTGTCGACTACCACATGGTCTGCCCTGGAAATCACTGTGCTGAATTCCAGGTGTATTTATCACGATGGGCTAACTGACCTGCCTTTTCATTCTCACCTATCATTCCTCACTGGTGTCCCACTAGCGTATACCGTTAATGCAGGCAGAGTTTTCATTTCATTATCATCCATTAAAAAAAACTCATATTTCTTAATCTGGATATCTCAACTCTTAAGGAGACAGACATACATTATTACAGGGAGTGGCTATGTGTTTAATAAATAAGACGTATTTAAAAACTATATTTATTTGTTACCTTTTAGCGCCTACAAAGCGATCAAGAACTCAACTAATCGTCGCACAATTTGATATTTGGAACAAAGAATGGCTGCTGAGATATATTTCTCAGTAAATGAACATTATACCAGTCACGCAAATAAAACGCGTAAAAATAAGTAAATAATGAAGTGTAGTGCAAAACAATGTAGAACATTGTACGAGAATAAATCCAAGCAACAAATTAACACTACATACTCATAGAATACTAGCTAAACGCTCTAAACACTTTTATACTGAATAAAAATTTAAAAAGTATGGGAATAACGTGGGCTCGCTCTTTTGTCTAACACCAAAGTTAAATAATTTTAAAGTTTACTCATAGCTGTGATTTAGCCATTGGATCTAAGACTCGGAAATAATAGAACTTTAACTGGATTATATTATTTCAGACTTATTGTTTTTTATTTTATTCTCTATATTTAATAATGCAAATATATTCATTCATTCAACTTTTCCGTAGTGCCTTCTTTTTTTTTATTCATTTTCTCCTTGGCATATGCTATCTTTTCTGCCTATTTTACTTTCTTAGCGTTTTTCTTTTGTTAAGCTGCAAACTTGTGTCAACTATTACATAGTATCCTTTTCTTTGAAAGGGTAACAAAATCCTATTCATATATATCCGACGCACAGTTGGCAGATTTGTCTGTTAGTATTCATGAAATATCGGAACGGAATCCTAACCAAATAATTGATGAAAAAAGAGAGCAAAAAATCTGTTTTTATTACTTTGAACTGCGCATCGTATTAGCTCACATTAATTAAACAACAAAGGCATTGTTTGTTTCAATTGAATCGAATAAAGGTTACGTAAAGCCAACATTGTTTAGGATGCTTATGTAAAAAGAGATAATACATTACAAACAAATTAATAATGCAATGTTTTTAATGCAGTTAAGACGTATTTTTAATGATTATAATTAATTGAGTATATAATTATCTACTGGTTTTACTAGTTTATATAGAATGCCTTTAAAAACACGAGAGAACAATTGAACCATCTCATAAAAATACCTAATGACGTCGGTTTAACCCAGCACCACTATATAAATAATCACTGCCTACGGCAATAATACTTTTACATAGTTCACCTATTTACTCATACATTACAATAGAACGAATTAATGAAAATTAATTTTAATAATTTAGAACACTTACATACAAACACTTAGGCTGCAAGTAATCATATTATAAAGTTATGATGGTGTCAAGTAAAAAAAAATATTGCCAATACTTATAAAACGATACTGAAGTCACCGTCAATGTACCGACAACAAAATTACAGAACCTAGAACAGTTTTATTCTATCTATTCTCTTGTACAGAGGTTTTTCTAGGATATTACAACATAGTATAGCAGCATCAAAAAAGAGGTAAAGCAATTTTCTTAATGCCATCATCACGTTCGTAACGCTCCTGGTATTGTTAGTGTCCACAGGCTACAGTAACCACTCATCAGCAGGCGAATCGTATACTAGTTTGCCACCTCAGTAGTATTAAAAAAAAAAATCTCTTTCATCAACTTTAAAATGTCAATATCGCTATTAAAAGTACATTCGTAAATATATAATGTAATGAAATCTCTACGGTTGCATCATGCTTTATCTAGAATACCTATAATTAATCAATATGTGTATTTTTTATAAAAGCTCCACATGTGACCGTGACCGTTATCCTGAGCGAACGTAGGTACAATATGAATACAATCAACCCAAAAGAGAATGGTTCTCTTAACGGTGGGCGGCACTAACGACCTATGAGTACTTTTTCACGCTACGTTTATAGGATCCGGTGTTATAATTGTAGGAGAAAGGGATCATAGGCCATTCGATAATGTTATCTTATAATTAATCTTTTACTCCTTTATGCATGATGAAATACACAAACATCTAAACATTTTCCAAAATTCTTCTCTAAAATTTATTCGACATTGTTTAAATGCTTGTTTATGACATCCTCTTCTCATTAAACATAGGCCAAAGAGAGAATTTAAAATAGTGCATTACATTTTGTGACAGTACATCATATTTTGTATTTAGAATTATCCAATATATTTAAGATCTCTGTTGTTAGTTTTGGTGGAATCGGGGAATATAACATTAAAATAGAATTTGAAATATTTTTTATATAATTAATTTAAATTATAGTCAAAGCAAACGTATTGGTATATATAGTTTTATTAAAATGAGATAATTTTATTATTTATTAGCTTGCATCCCAGAAGTAGAAAACCAAATGTTATATTAAATGTTGGTATATTTCATTCTATACGGTATATCAAGATAAAACATAATCGTATACCGATTATGTTTTATCTTCAGAAATATAATTCTTCAGAAATATAACTATGAAAACCACATTCAATTTGTTCTAGTAATTTATGCGTGATACTAGAACAAATGTATATTTGTCCATCTATCTATGTAGAAATGCACACTAACATGAATTTTCAAAAATTTATTGTTTGGCTTTTATAAGAACCCTTATTTTTTTTTCTTAAATATCTCCCATATACAGACATTGTTTAGTTATGACTTTATTATATTAATAAGATAAGATATAACATCGTACATATATGTAACATCATAATAAAGGAAGATGCTACACGTGTAATCAATACAAATCAATTAGATATGCATATTGTAGATTCGCTATATACGCGTGCCACATTTCACCCATTTCATTGTCCCCGTATCAATAATGTTTAATTACAGTTTTATTATATGTATTAGTCTGATTATTTTTGGAATATGAAAGTTTTCATTGCCATCTATCCAAGGTTATCTAAACTTAAGGATGAAAAGATTAGAGATTATGTGTTAGAGGATAACATAGTAGATCGATTTAAAGTTTGTTATAAAGTTTGGAATGGGTCGACCTTCAACTACCAAAATCAAACAAGGCCAGCATAAAATGAACAAGCACGTCCTTTTTGAATTAGTAGTTAATCTGTTCCAAAGTGTATCTTCAAAGATAAATACTAAGGCTCTAAACGATAATAACCTTTGCATCTATCGCAAATGGGATGTGGGTCACAAATAATGTAGTTACATCCTTTAACAATTATAAGTTATCTCCATTTGTTTAGGAGAGTGAATTGCAAGGTTACAAAACCTCTACACCTACATAAATGTCCAAAGTGTAATTATTGCGCGATAGGTACAATTTCAAGCTTTCATAAAGTTAGTAGTAACACTAAAAAGCTTCATTGATTAATATCTATAAAATATTTAAGGCTACACGTTCTTACTTACATAAGCAACAAATATATATAGCCTACACTTTGAAAACATAACTTCTTAAAACAGACGGGGAAAAATGAGATTATATATTTTTGAGATTATGGAACTTGAAGGGTAGCAGTAGAAGAAACTCACTACCCTTGGCTGTTCTTCATTAAAACTTTGAATCAAAGCATAGCAAAAGTGTACAAATGAACGAGCAATTGTACGTGTTGTGCAGTTATTTCTTACTAAGCATTCATTTACTGGTACTGTCGACAAGTGGGCGTCAACACCCGGGGGAGGCAGTGTGTCCACATTATACAAAGTACTTCCATTTATAATTATACTGTAATTTTGCAGAATAATTACAAAATTCACATACTAGAAAATATATTATATCTGAATGACAAAGTTGTATATTTTATACCATAATTAAACACAAATGAAATCCAATGCTTTCTCGTAATTAAAGGGGTATTGTTAGTTTGTAGTGCTTTGTATGAACCATAATATTATATTGACAGTGAAGTGTTTCACTAGCTCGATCAACCGGACTAACAACTAAACTACCTACTGCTACTAGCGTGAAATAGAGTCTAAATTGAAATCTAATTTATAGAATAACTAAGCGTAACCTATGACTTTGCCCATAAGTATTAGATCTACATAGATTAGATTAAAGGAATCTTCATGTGTTTAAGGCCTATAATATATTTAATTTCTTATTTTAGAATAAAAAATCAATACATTTAAGATTGAACAAAATCCTGATTATTTTAATCAGGATTTTGTTAACAAACAAAGATTTTTAATAAAACCCGGGTATATTTGAATAAAAAATAAATTGATTTTAATTGGATTATATTATATTTTGAAGGCTTGGATTACTGCTTTTTTCGTCATCTCAATATTAAGAGGCAAAACAATCTTTTTTACAAGGTCATTGTAAATGACCTTGTAAAAAGATTGTTAAGAATGAAAAGATTATTTTGCTTCTTTATATTTGGAATTCACTCAATCAATACCAAACGTGAAGTCTTAAAAAAAGGAATGCTACTTAATCTAAGTAATCATTGTTTTAACTCAATTCAATGTAGAATAATGTATTAAGGTTAGTAGAAGAGGTATCTAGTCGACTTATAATTTATGCAATACTAACTGAGCGGTTCTCTCTTGACCAACGTTCTTTAAAGAGTCTAGCATCATTATAGCGTGCTTGCGATCTTCAATCAAAGCATTTCTCTTCGAACTGTTCAATGTTAGTTGCATCATAAGCCGCTCTGTCTGGTAGTGTTGTTCCTTTAATCTGTATAGAAAAAAGAATTCATTATTAATTTAATAATCGACACACAAATGCCGATTTAAATCTTAAAAAATACAATACATGAAGTACTTTTGAAGTCGATTTAAAATAGTGAAAAGCGCATAACATTTAGCATATGGGGGATTAATAAGTATTCGAGAGGAACAGAATAATCAAATTGACAGGTTATCGGAACAAGCCCATTTGAATATAAAAATAATATTTTTAGATTAGAGAGCAAAGTTTGAAGATAAGCACATTTAAGTACGGCCGAGCTATTGCTGCGATAAAACGATTCTGACATAGTATAGATAATTTATTGTTATATTAAAAGTTATTTTACCTAAGAATAATTTGTTCAAAAGAAGATACCAAGGTAGCCTTTTGAAGGCCCTTACAAATTGACATCACCTCCTCTAGTTCCCAGTGAACAGAGTGTTTACTGCCAACATCTTCGTCTTCATATAGATCGTCAAGATTTGTTGCTTCCTTCAACAAATATAACACATGAAGCTACTAGAAAAGGACTCGCTACCTACTCGTATATATAAATGATATAAACAGCAATAAACAATGCAAAAAATCATTATATATATCATCATCATCATATCAGTCTTTAACTGACCACTGCTCATATAAACCACTGAACTATGTTCATAAGCCGGGAGGCCTTAATTGATGGAACACCACCTGCGCTATCGATAGCCCATTCTGATGAATTCCACAAGAACTAATCACGATGGTTTCCAGGTGAAACCGCGTGGAGGTCGACTTGATAGGCTATATGGCTAGTACGAGTAGTGGAGCTGTTAAACCCCATTACTAACAATTCGTCTCTACCCGTTACAAAGAGAGTACTGCGAATCGCTTATTTATTTAAATGGGTACTTTATATGATAGTTAAATGTGTGGTGAAATACATTTTAATCCCATAACAATACTATCTTACTAGTAATCATTTCGAAAATATAAAACTTGCTTAATATATATTGGAATGAATCTCATACAAGATTAACACCTTATAACTTTTTATTTTACGTCCATGTCAAAATGGAAGCATCTCTCTGCAGAATATTATTTGAAACTCTCGAATTTCAGATAGGTGAATGTATCTACTATTTTAAAAAACCCACAGCATTTTTTAAAATACTAATATATTTACTAATTGACAAAAGTAAACACAAATGTAAAGTTTATAAAAAATAATTATTATTCTAAATGCGAAAATGAGTTTGCTTATGTTTGTCACCTCTTATCGTTATGAATTTAGATATACACATACTATATGAGATGGATCAGAACATAGGTTATTATCCAGATTAATGAGTATACCCCGTTCACGCGAACGAATCCGTGGTTAAAAGCATGTAATAAATAAATATTAATACCACAATAAAAGTAATAGTTTTTTACACAAAATCGTTTGTTTGGGCACCTCTGTCCTATTCGTGTTTCAACCGTGAAGCAGTTGTGTTTGCATGTGTGGTTTGAAGTTCCGTTTGAAGTGCGGGATATGACTGTAAATTTACAGGGCACAGAGGAATAACACCTGAGTCTTCAGAAATAGCAACGCATGGGGGGTATCATGGGCGAAACAAAATACTCTGTTACGTCCATGGTACTGGTCATGTCTATGGGCAACGGTTACCATTTTCCATTAGGTGGGCCGTAAACCTGTTTGCCGTTCTAAGTTGTATAAAAAAACAGCGCCATCTAATTCCATACTAAGTGAAGAACTGTTCAAGCGCACCTCCGCCGCCTCCGAAACCAGAAGACCGCGTAGCAGAGCATCGTGCTATATCTCAGGGTCATGTCTATGGGCGACGGTCACCACTATGCATCAGGAGGGCCGTCAGCTTGTTTGCCATTCTAAGTTGCATAAAAAACATACTCTTACTAGTACGTACGTTACGTACTACTCGTAAATAGAAATCACCCAAAATCAATACCTACGAATATATTCATGAATAAAATATTTTTATTGTGCGAGAATCGAACCAGCGACTATCGGAGCCAGTCGGATCAAGTTAAGTAGTGTCTGGACCCGTTAGACCACTAAGGTCGTATATTATTAAATATTTCTAGATGTCTCATACAGTTACAAAACTAATTTAAGGAACACTATATCCTAAATCCACTTACTTCTTTCCTTATTAAATTTGGAAATGAATCTGTCAAGTAAGCCACTTCACGTCGCACCAACTTCAGAGTTCTCTCCCTCTCCTTCATATTGGCCTTGATCTCCTTCTCCAGTTTACTAAATTCAAATTTCCTGTCATCTAGGTATTCCATTGCAAGCTGACCCATTTCAGTAGCGCCCATTAAGCATTTACCCTGTGCTCGACAGTCCAATTTCAAAGCTTCCAGTACTACTGTAAAGTATGATGAATCCTGTTAACAAACACAATAAACAATTACAGTTGGTAATGGAAATTTTCTTGTGAGAAAAATTATACTTTAATAAATAATAGAAAAAGAAAGGAATTATTTAAAAAAGTGTTTTCTATTTGTACATATCCACCAATCATCACGCCGGTCTCCTTTTAGGAAAGAAAGATAGATACTTATCTTTTAATAGAAATTAATGAAGAGTAAAAAAATTTTTGATTATTTCAGTTATCACAAAAACACTCTCTAAATTAAATAAATAATAAATCGAAACATTTGATCATTTAATCGATTTTTTTATTTTTCCTACTATTGGATATCAGCAGACAATTCTATTGAAACAAACTAAATACGTCTGTATTTACACAGATATATATTTATATATATTTATAAAAATATTTCTACATGTTTTTTTCTTGATACTTTTGGTCCTAAATTAGATATAATAAAATACATTCACAACGACTAAATTGCAATAGGTTTCCACATACAATTTATATCGGAAAGTGATTAGAAAATTAACCAACATTATTACATTACTTTAACTAATAACTAACAGGTTTGCCCAGTTTGAGAAAAAATAAGTTAAAATAAACGTTACCTTCACCTTGTCCTTTACTAGCGCAACTTATAAACCTGTATGTCAAAATTAAATTCCCATGTAACCCACCGGTAATAGTAAAACATCGTTAACAAATCCAATTAACGACGACGAGACGGAGTTACGATATTTTTGCTTCTTACCTCCACGTAACAAAATTCGAATAGATTAGATAAAGGCATTAGTCGACTATTGGCGTATGTGGAAAATTTACTTGATTATGTTTTAATATAATAATGTGTTACCTTTTTCAATATATCCAATATCTTCTTATACATGACCTTGATGGCTAAGGCGGCATTCTTTTTAATATTTGCTCGCTGTACATAATTAGCGACAGTTTGCTCTTTCTTCTCTGCTGGTAACTTTCCACCAACTTCGTATATAAGGCGATCACGCAACTCAGCTGACTCTAACTACACAAATTGTTTTTAAGACATGTTTTTAAGTCGACAAAATAGCAAATCTAAGGAAAAAAGAAAACATTGTGAATAAATAATTACTTAAATCTATGTTATATTGATTTACCTGTGTTAAACGAAACTTTTCCATTTTTTTCTTTTTTGTATATCTAATCCTGTCGAGTTGCTTACGTTTATTAAAATTCTCTTGATGAATACTTTCTAATACTATCTGCAATAATGGAAATCATAGATGCGTATCGATTCTTAATAAATAGGACTTCTTAGTGTAATTTATAATATTAGGATATAATCAATAAAAAATATTGTCTTTTGTTTATTTGAATTACAATGCAAGTACGTACTAAACACAGGGTAAAATTTTTTATAGGCTTATAGCTTTACGACTTATCTGAAGGTAACGCATTCTAGCACTACACCATATCACTACTACACAACATCTTTCTAGCCACCTTTGTCGTACAAAAAGCCTCTATAGGTACCATATAAATAGTTCTGATGCCCTCCGAAGCATGAAACATAATTCACAAAATTTATTTTTCAATTTAAATACTCAATTTAAATTCAAAGTTTCGACCTGCGATTCGAATTTGAGATCCTTGGACCGGGGTCGTCCTCAAACTTAGCTTTAACCAATAACAGAGGGAAATAAAATCGATAGAATTGAATACACTGTACAAGATCAAAAAATATTATTGTTATTGCGTTTTATTTTTAAATATATCCAAAGTCCCAAAAACATCTTGTAATCTTAATCCTTTTGTAAAGATATTACAACATTATCAATGATAATCATTATTACATCAGAATGAATTTTAATATTACTTAATGGTACAAATATTATTTGTGTTTAGGTAGGTAACCTTGTTAACCGTAACCAAACTCAAAGGAAATATCATTAAGCCATATTCCGCTTCCAAACCAGTTTCAATATATGTATGTATTGTGCCAGACTATTCCAATGTGGAGCGCAGTAGTACGAAAGTTCTAGACATGAGTTGCAGTTTTGAGATGTAAAGGAAATGTATATGTATGCATAACGAAACTGTTACTTGCAATTTATCACCTACATATCGTGTTCAACAGAAGTTTCAATAACTCATACGAACACTCATGAACTACGTAATTATTAAGTTGACTGCCAATTTTAGTGGTATGAGCCGCGCGGTTTTGATATTCTGCATGAGTTAATGAGGATATAGACCGCGCATACTTTAATCCGCATATTTGGAATTATTTTCACGCGGTTATTCTTCCGCGAATACGTGTGGTTTCATACAATTTACATACATAATATATTATTCAAAATGATGTCGAAAACGATACAGTGAAAATTTGCTGCGCAGTTATATCACGTTATAATTGGCATTTATTTCATCAAGAAAAGATTATTTTAATCAGAAAATCAATACTTCGGTTCTAAACATTGTCACTTTGTACTTTTATTAGGTGATTATTAATTTTTACTTTGTATAATTTATTTTTTCTAATGGTATTTATAGCTGTGTAGATCACGGTATAGAATAGGCCAGCCCTTCATTTCCCATGAGTGTCGTAAGAGGCGAATAAAGGAGCTTATAGTGAAGGGATAGGCAGCAGCGTCCCTCTTAAAACATTACCAAAAGCCAAACTGCAGTTGCCAACCTGCCCTCCAAGCTAGACAACTGGCAATACTCCTCTTATGGGGGAGGCTATGTTCAGCAATGGACAGTTAATGGCTGATATAACATGTTGTTTATACTAATATAATAAAGCGGAATAGTGTGTTTATTTAACGCACTAATGTCTTAAACTACCTATATTTTTTAAAAAAAAAAATATTTTCATTTCTTGAGCCCTTGCTCTTATATATTGCTCATATTATAGGCTATTCAACATCACATTACCACTAGGGCAGCCTGTGAGATGCAGCTAGCGTACAAATTTGAGTCATCAAAAAGAGTCATCTTCCAATGTATAACAAGAAACATTCTGACACATTTCAGTCCAGGAATGGATGACGGGTCGGAAATGAATAGGATGGGGATAGCAAAGACATATTAAGTAGTATACGTATCACTACTATTTGAACAAGCGTTACTAAGAATACAATCATTTTATTAAAGTTTACAAATCGTAACTAGTTTGTCGCACTTTAATTATATAAATAGAGTGTCTCCAAATAGGTGCGTCTTGAAAAGCGGGTCAACTTTTTCATACAATTTTGCGTGATAAATAATTATGAGTGATTCCTTTATAACTATGTTTTATAAATTCTATGTTTATTTTATCTTATAAATTTTGCATCTTATTAATGTATAAAAACTAATTTTATTTATTAAGTAATTAAATATAAATACGTCAAGATAAATTGTATGCGTAAGTACATAGAACAATGATAAAAAACGAGTCAGCAAGTTTGACAATTACCTAATAAAAAGTTGACCCGTTTTTAAGACTGGATGCTCTATCTATATCTAAGTATGGAACACACTTTCTAGCTTAGAAAAAATAAAACTAATGCTAATACTATATCTAGATTAAACAGCCTATAAAAATCATTTTAATCAGGAGTCGAGTCGATTTAAAGAAGAGTACCTACCAAATAGCAATCTAAATTATTCTTTAGCATTATTATTATAGCATGGTAGATGAGAGACGAAATTTGTTTATTGTCGTTCATGATGAAATATGCAACATTGTTACATGGTTTAAAATCAACATAATACATAAAGATTAGCTAGTTATCGCCTAATTAGTTGACCAACTGGCTAATTTTATAGCTGCATTTAGATAATAATGTTAGATAATAATGATAAATATGCAATTATGTCAAAATAAATAATAATAGCTATAAAAACTCTCTCACGTCAGCCTGACTATTCATATACGTAAGTTGTAATCTCTTATGTTCTTGAAAAGCGTTTCTTAAAAATTGCTTGTCTCCATAAACTGCAACACCGAGCTCTTCGCGCTTCGTGGTGATATCTTTACGAAGTTGCCGAATATCGCGTAAATATCTCTTCTTTTGTTTGGCCAAGTCTCCTTCATGGATCTTGCGGTCCCGCTCTATTATTAAAAAAATAAATATTTATTTGTCAACTCCGCGTAACTGCGAGAAACTACCGCAATCTGACAAGTTTCTATGTTACTACGCTGCATAAAAACAGTGGGCTCGTTATACACAGTCCCTGTGTGAAATACCTACATAATAATGAACTATAAAGATTATAGGCATAAATCTTTTGAATAATCATAAAATTACAAAATGCATAAAATTGATGTCTAAGTAGATTATTGTTTGCGGCGCTGATGCAATATAAGCGAAATGAAACAAGAATAAAAAAAAATCTGTGTTAAAGAGTAGCATCGAAAGTGATATTTTTCTATCCTCATAATTATACATGTAATCAGATACTTATATCCAGCTACTTGATAAATACCTAATATTAAAAAAAAAAGTATATGACCATTAGTTATGTACTATAAAAGAGAAATGCATTCAAGTAACAAGATTTTATTATAATATAATTAATACTTAATGAAATATAATAAACTATGTATATTTATAGACATCAGTGAAATGATAATCTTTGAAACAGATAAACATCACAGAATACACTGTGATGCTCATGGTATACTTTATTAAAACCCATTTCTGAGGACTAGTGTTTTATTCCCTTTGTACCCTATAATTTCGCTTTTGCATTTGACACTTCAAACCAAAACACAGCCATACTTTGAGGCAAACGGCATTACTTCAATGAATGGCTGTGTTTTGGTTTGGGACAGAAACACCCACGCAAATGGCTTTATACAAATTAATAATAATAATGATATAATTAATTATTGAATGAATAGCTAATAATACGCGTCAGGTCTCAAGATTCGACGTTAAAGAGATCTTCCAGTGTGCTATCATAAATAATCAATACTTTAATATATTTTATTCCTTGTGATCGCGGCTCCCTTTCCCGTGAGTGTCGTAAGAGGCGATTAAGGGAATTGAAACGTCGAGGGATGGACAGCAGCATCTCTCTTAAAAGATTATCAAAGCCTAACAACAGTTGCCAACCCGCCTCTCAAGCATGGCAACTATTACCTGCAGTTCTATTTTCATTATGAAGAAGACCTATGTTCAGCAGTGGACAATTAACGGCTAATATAATAAAATCTTAGATCATATATATAGAAGAAGAATAGAGTCTCAAAAACGGGTCGACGTTTTCTCAACTAATTGTCAAATTAATCGACTTGTTTTTTTTACACATAATGTATCTTGACGTCTATATTTAATTATTTAATAAATGAAATGAGTTCTCACGCATTAAAAAGATGCAAAAATTATAAAACAAAATAAATATATATAAAGGAAACACTCAAAACTATTTATCACGCAAAATGGTATGAAAAAGTTGACTCGCTTTTCTCGAAGCTTTTGTATAGAGACGCTCTAGTTATACAATCTAAGAATAAAATATATGATAAATGATATAATTAGAACATTGCATACCATACAATTTTATAAGACCCCTATATTGATTGATCTTGTCTTTTATCACCCAATTCTCATCTTGCATTCCATGAATACGAACTTTCGCAGCGGTTAACATGATTATTTAATACTTTTTAATATGATTAACTTTTTCAAAAGACCTACAAAATAATAAGATTATTTGACGTTTTTCAAGATAAATTTACAGATTTTTTTTATTTTTATTCCTTTTTGGTCAAGTTTTTTATTTAACTAAGGAGGATTATAACAAATTATTTGGCAAAGCATTATTAACTATTAAACGATAGAGGGGTTGCAGATACCTACTATTCTAAAATCTATGGCTATATTTACCAAACAAGCATAGGATAGTACGTATAAACAAGTCATGTTCGCCAATTTACATTCTATTTATCTATTTATTATATGTAAGATTAATTTGAGTTTGTATTACTTCTCTTTTTTTCGGAACTAAATTATCTATAATTTAATTAATAAAAAGGAAAATTATAAAAAGGAAGTTATGTTTAGGGCATACATTGTAATCCAGTCTATTTCCTCAATACTTATAAATGAGTACATAAGTGCGAAATCAGCTTTACCGAAATTCCATTGTAAGGTAGTGCAATGTTTATTCGTATCATGTGATGGTGGCCGAAGCGTATGCGCAGTAGAATCAGGGTCGATCACGACCGCCGAGAGCAAGACTGACTGTATCATCTTAAATGGCAAGTGATTAACATCCACTTACATTGTGGCGTATCTGACACTCGCACGCTCACACTTCTTTTCTTTTCAAATGTACTTAATAATCTAACATTCGATTATTACTATTTCTTCATTTATTTTCACAATAAGTCTCAAGACATTCAATAACCAAAAATATGTAGTTTGAATCCTCCTATTGCAATTATTTTCGTATAATTATTACGGTATTTCTAAATTATTTTTAATAATAACATGTATTCGCATGCATTATGTTTTGGCAGTATATAAATTGCACAAAGCAAAAATAAAAATCTATTTTTTAAATATAGAACAGTACTAACCTATTCAAATGCGTGGTTGTCGATGTTGACGTCGCCCGATAACGATAATCGCCACAGTTCATAGCGCAGTATGGCCATGAGACACGTTTTATCCAGGTGTAATCATTTCTCTGTCTCACATGGAGTCACTAGCTTTTACCAACAACTTTTTCTTTCATAGAGAGTTAAGCCGTTAAGGCGGTATCTTGTAACAAACAAACAAACCCGCTTTCACATTTACAATATTAGTAAGAATTACACCCTCTTTCCCTTAAGACGAATAAAACGCTCAATGATAAAATATTTATACAAAATTTATGTAATTTTGTCTGAAGACCGTCTCACGTTCTGGTAGCATATTTCAATAGTTTTTTATATCGGTTTTCGATTGTGGATTAGTCTTCGATACTAAATCCATTCGTAATAATATTCAGTAGCTAATGTTACGATTGGCATAGTATATTTGTTTTCTGAATTTTAAACTCTCTAGCGGATTTTTTATCTAAACACCTTTTTGAAACTTACTTCTTTTCCTGTTCTCTGCTATCTTTTTTTTTATACAACTTAGAATGACAAACAAGCTGACGGCCCACCTGATGGAAAGTGGTAACCGTCGCCTATGGACATGAGCAGTAACATGGACATAACAGAGTATACTGTTTCGCTCATGATACCCCCCATGCGTTGCCATTCCTGAGGACTCAGGTGTTATTCCTCTGTACCCTGTAAATTCACGCCATATCCCACCCTTCAAACCGAAACACAGCCATGCAAACACAGCTGCTTCACAGTTGAAACACGAATGGGACAGAGGTACCCAAGCAATCGTCTTTTGTACAAAGTCTCCCTCTGGTAAATATCTAATGATCTCTCATCTTCAATTCATTTTATTCTTTTCCCCTAAAAAGGATAATATTAACTTTATCTTTTTTAGCTTATTTCTGATATATCTCTCTCTCTCTCGTTAAGCATACTCGTGTGTTTAGTGGCCTCTCTTTCCGCCACAGGAATACTTTGTTCGTTTACCTGCACCCGTTTTGTTTAACCACATTCGAAAATGATATTTATTCATTGATGACTTTTCAAATGTTTGAGGGGTTTTATTTGTATTTTTATTATATGAATAGCAGTACGAGTATTATAGAACATACTGGAACGCCCACGACGCCTCTTGCTCTTTTTAGGGTACTCTACTTTATTAAAATGCAACATCTACCTGTGTTTTCATCATGATACATGTCAGCTCTCAATTCACTTTTGAAATAAATCAATCAGAAATGCTAATAATCGTATATTAAGGAACCCTTAAGTCTTAGGAGATATTTTGCCTCACTCTACGCGTTCTACCGCCTGTACAATGGATTGTGCTCAGAGAAATTGTTCAATATGATGCCTACAGCCACTTTCGATTACGGCTCGCCATCGACAGGGAGTTCATCTTCATGTCCTACAACCTCAATGGTCGCGTACTGTGCGGTTTCAGAGATGTTTCCTCCCACGAACACTCAGGTTGTGGAATAAGCTCCCTGCCGAGGTTTTCCCAAGAGACTACAGCATGGGGTTCTTCAAAAGTAAAGAGGTTTCTTCAGGGTCAGCAACGCATGCGTAATACCTCTGGTATTGCAGGTGTTCATAGACTACGGTAATCACTTACCATCAGGTGGGCCGTATGCTTGTTTCCACCTCAGTGGTATAAAAAAAATGCGCGCAGCTAAAAATATAAGATTTTTGAAAATTTACGGACAATTTAATTACTTAACATAATATGACTTCTCTTAATCTAGCATACGTATATCCAGTTAGTCTAGTAAATAAAGTTGCGAACATATAAATATCTTTATATTTAAAAATTCTCTATCATGGTACTTGTTCATGCTAATATCAGAAACCGCTCAACTGATTTTAATGATTTTTTATAATACTTAGCCGTTGTGATAACCATCCCTTTCAGATAGGGATAACACAACACTGTAATGTCTATGGTGCTCCCCATGCTTTGCTATTCCTGATGGCAGCGGTCGTTTTTAATAGGTGATAACGGAATGCTAACGTTGGAGGCTATACACTAGCAGAGCGCCAGTGAAAGGGGATAACCAGCGAGGACGAAAACTATTCAATTGGCCAATCATTAGGAATTAACTACAATGCTTTCCAGAAGAATCCTGATAGAATATATTGTTAGCAATGGGACTACTCGTATAGATTCTCATTCATCATAATCATATCAGGCTTTAACCCTTAAATACCTGAAGTTTCCAATTTGATACCGGGGTTGTAAATCGCATTGGGCGCCTACAATCGATTTTATTTTAATATTTGGCTGTTTACATGTTACCAAAGGTTTTTTTTTTAAATAAATATATAAAAATATCGTTTTGATTTTTTTTTTATTATTTTTCCCCATTAGTAAACACAGTAAAGGGTACACTTATACATTTTTTTTATTTGATTTAAAATAATCAAGCTTTTAAGGGTTAATTGTCTATTGCTGAACATAAAACTCCCCCTTGGGGTTTTGTGTTGCTAGTAGTTGCCACGCTTGGCAGGCGCATTGGCAGCCGCAGTTAAGCTTTGGAGATGTTTTAAGAGGGACGCTGTCGTCCTTCACTCGCCTTCCTTAAGTCGCTCTTACGCCCCCACGGGAAAGCAAGGGGCAACCTATTCTATGCCGGAACCACATGGAATTGTTAGTATGCAATAAATCTCATTCTTCATACTTTATAATTTCGCTGCTATAACCCATTTTTTCAAATTAAAACATAGCCAATTAAGCACAGTTAGTTCACGGCAGAAACACGACAGAAGTATCCAAACAGACGACTTTAATACATCACTTTTTTTTGCAAATTTTACTTCATCTTGAGCAATAGGACAGTTTTTAAAGCGATGTGTAAATAAAACCGTTAGCTGACAATAAGGCGCAAAACAACGTATGCTGGTTCAACTAGTTAAATATATAATTGTTGTTTAAGTTATTTTCACAACAACATAACAAATTATATTATTATTCATTGTATCTATTACTTATTTATATTGCACACATTTATTCAGTTTGTGTGTAAACACTTATCCTAGATACGTACGAGTGTATGGACAAATCAGACACTTGAACCTGTCTACATAGACGAGGTAGATATCTGTTGACCTTATTACGAGACCTCGCTGACAATGTCAGGTGCCAATGTCAACATTTCCCGATGTTCAACAACACCCCCACGGTCACGGTCATATCCAATTCACATCTACCTACTCATTTTAACAATTTATTTATCATATAATTTCCGTACTACGCAATAATATGTATGACGTTGCAAAACATTTTTTTTAATAAAATATCAAAAAGCTAGAGATTCTGAACGTGTCTGCTTTTTTTTTAGTATATGTTACTAGATATCATCAGCGGTCTTCCACCGTGCGTTTTTCAAGGCACTTTCTTCGACAACATAACCTAAAGACCGGCAGCACACCTGCAATGCCGTTGGTGTTGTGGGTGATCATGGACGGCGGTAGTCACTTACCATCAGGTGAGCCGCGTGATAAAAAACAGTACCTTTAGCGTAATATTTTTTCAACTAACTAAAGCAGTGTTTAATTTATATTTAGATATTTATATATACAACGTAAGAAATTATCAAATTTTACAAACTTTAAATTTTTTTTTTGTATAATTTGATAATAAAATTTTGAAAATAAAAATTTAGAACTTATAATTAGGTATAAACTATATAAAAATAAATAATGAAAAATCTACCTACTACCTTATACCTAATTTAAGAATTAAAAAGCTGCATTAAAATTTTCTAAAAAATTATTCATTCAAAACCTACAAAAATAATAACAAATTCAGTTAAACTTGTTATTGCCGGCTATCCGGATCACCGAGAACAGAACATAATGCGCGATGAGTTTTATCCCCACACTGAGTACCTTGAGGGCAATTAGTGCATGTGGCACCAGCCTCGTAAATGGGGAATCCATCAATATTACCCGCCGGTCCATAATTGCAAAATGTAAAAGCTATAATCTTTGGTTCTTTTCTTTTTTTAAAGTTATTAGCGTCCTCAAAAATACCACGGTGCAAGGGCGATTCTTTTACCTTAGCTTCCTTGGTCGTCGCAAAATCTTTAAAGAGCAGGTATTCCGAGGACGTCATGTATCTCGTACGTCTTAATATATTTTCACTGCTTGTCGATGTTTTTGTAGTAGTGAAATTTTCTTTACTAGCTTCTTTGTCATGGTTATGTATATATAAGTTATGAAATCTTCTTTTCTTACGGAAAAGTACACAGGAACGCTTTTTTGCAGTGCACAATGCTTGAGAACATCCCATACGCCAAGTAGATGCCCATGCAACTGCTGAATACCAATGAGCGTTACACCCACCTGGAGCACTGCAATTGCTTTGTTTAAATGACCAAACATGTTCCGGAGCTAGGACTCTAGCTCCTGAGAACCATGCACCCACAACATCTGTTAACAATTGTGCTTCAGTAACTCTCGGTAGTACTGGACGTACATCCATGTTTTGAAGAACGTTAAACCTTATGGTATTCCGACATTCATCGTGACGTTTCTGGCACTGACGGGCCCAGACTTCTGCCATTTCTTCTAATTCATAATCCCAATACATCTTACGCATATTAGCAGCAGGTGGCTGCCCTGCTTCCAAACCCATTGCTATGTTATCTCTATGACGGTTATGAAGAAGCAATATTTGGTACCTCATCCATGTTGTCATTCCTGATGCATACAACCTAGGGCTTTGTTTATTAGCTGCAATGCACATAGTATGCTGGTTTTTCATAGAACAATCCGGATGAGTACAATAATCATGTAAATTATCAGTTTCGTTTTTATTATCTGAACAAACATCTCTTAATATAAAACATGTAAAAACTAAATAAAAAATACAATACATTTCGAAATCGTAGCAAGACGAAAACTTATGCCAAAATTTGACTTTATATTCTCTACGACAAGGTACTATGCTTATCTTATCTATGTCTTTGACCTATACGCTTTCAAGTTAGATGTCACTTTTGTACGAAATTGAAATCTCTACAATGATCAGTTAATTTGTCTATTTTTATATTACCTAAACAAGATTAAGAATATTATATGTAAGGATAATAATATGTATACTTAAAATACCTGACGCAGTAAACTATATAATAAAAAAAATGGAAAAATTTGATCTTAATTAGACCTATCTGTGAGTATGACGTTGAAAGTAATGCACTTATACTAAATCAGTATTATTGTTTCCTTACTTCGAAATTGTACTAAAATAAATCTTTCAGATTTATTTTAGTACAACTAAGTAACTAATCTAATTGTTAGAACAAAAATAAAAATGTATATGTAATTCATCTATATGTAAATACTTCGAATACTTAGCAAATAAAAAAAATACTATGCACCATAAGAATTTACGATAGATTACAGTAATTTACCTTCCGTATTTTACGAATTATTATTTAAGAATAAATAATGACCTTTGTAAGTGAACCAAAGTATACAAATTTATCGACATAAGCGCAAGATGGAGCTGATATGAATATATAAATTGAAAATTTTACATAATTACACCTAACTTGCATACAATCCAGTAAGGGGAAATGGATTGTTAGTGATGGAGACTAAGAATCCCATTGCTAGCAATATACCCAACCAGGTCGACCTCCTTGCGGTTCCCCCTGGAAACTATCATGGTTAATTCCTGATGTATTCATCATGATTGGCTAACTGACCTGTTTTCATTCTCATCAATCACCCTTCACTGGTGCTCCGCTAGCGTATTCCGTTAGCGCAGGCGGGGTTACCATTCCATTTTCACCCATCAAAAAAATTCCTGCAAACAATACATACTACACCGCACATAATGAAGCTTACAAAAATTCTAGTCACTGGTAATCTATCCAGTCCCATCTAATTTTTTACATAATATTAAACATTATTATATATAGTTAGTACCTACTGGAGGGATTATTAGTAACGGTACCATTGCTAGTAAGTCTATCAAGTCCTATCTAGTCGACCTCTACGTGGTTACATATGAAAAAAAAACGTTATTAATTCTTTTTGAATTTGTCATGATAGGCTAACTGATTTCACTTCATTTTCACCTATCCTCACTGCTAGCCTTCCAGAATATTTTTATAATTCATTTTCACATGGATTTTTATTTTTAAAGAATTGTATCTCAGGTTTCGTAAACTATAATATTCCTTAAGAAATGAGCTATTTAATGCCATATAGTTATATTAATAGTTACATGTTTAATGCAAATAAAATTTCAATTAGGTAACTAATCTCATTTGCGTAAAACAGGATTCGGTGACTAGATAAGTATGTTGTATCGAATATGATTTACGCAAGAAACGCTTAAAAGCAAACATGATCAAATCTAATAAGGCACACGTATATATCCAACCTATTTGTTCCTCAATTGTAACCTCAATGTTTAATAAATTCACTTCGTAAATTACCATAACATTTCTACATAATTTTTATTTTTCCTTATAAACCACATTTAAGTTATAAAAGATAGTCTTAAATTTTGGTTACCACCTAGTACCTGTAATCAGGGGGAAAAGGATTGTTAGCAATGAAGTTTGACAGCCAAAGACTTCAAAATAAATTAGAAATACCGACACAGAGACTTAACATGTTTCAAAGAAATAGTTATTGCATGGCTATTAAAATATATAATAAATTGTCTAATAATGTTAAAAATTTGACCAACACACAGTTTAGGAGAAGATTGTTTGACTACTTAATTGATGGTTGTTTCTATTCTGTGAAAGACTTTTTGAATAGATGTAATTTGTGATACTTGACATTGTAAAGCTTATTAGTAATTGTAATTTGAATGTTAATTTGACTTATTTTGGATATTATAAAAAAAAAAAAACATTTACACACCGAAATGGTAAATATTGCTGAACAATTACTTAACAATAACTTAAGATCTGCTACTGGCAATCACCAATATTTTGTAAATAAATGATTATTATTATTATTATTATTATTAAAATTATTAAAATTATTGCTGGCGGTATCGGGTCGACCTCCACGTGGTTCCCTCTGGAAACCATCATGAACAATTCTTTTTGAATTCGTCACGATGGGCTAACTGACCCGCTTCATCTTCATCTATTATCCTTCACTGATGCCCCGCCGGTGTATACCGATAGCGCGGGTGGGGTTACTATTTCATTATCACCCATAATAAAATAAAAAGTACCTGTAATCAACATTCTATTTAAATTGTTTTTCGAAGCGATGCGACCTAATTTTATTGCTGACGTTTCGACATGGATTTCCACTCGTCATGGCATTATTTTCTTGAAATTGCGTCACGGAAGACTCGAAAGTAAATTTAGATATGAGCAAGACACGCCAAAGTTTTAAAATTTATTACATTCATTTGTCATAATTTACATATGAAGGCTATATAAAGATTTAGGTACATCTTCTTAAAGATTCGTAGCTTGGATCCATTAATGAATCCTACTAATATTATAAATATAGAAGTATATAAAGATATGTATGTTTGTTACTCAGTTATGATTAAACGGCTGAACGGAATTGAATGAAATTCGGAATGGGGTACTTTTTTTATGCAACTTAAAATGGGAAACAAGCTGACGGCCCACCTGATGGAAAGTGGTAACCGTCGCCTATAGACAGAAGCAGTATCATGGACATAACAGAGTATACTGTTTCGCCTATTATACCCCACATGCGTTGCCATTTCCGAGGACTTAGGTGTTATTTCTCTGTATCCTGTAAATTCACTGCCATATCCCACCCTTGAAACCGAAACACAACTGCCTCAAAATAGAAACACGAATGGGACAAAAGTGCCCAAACAAACAACTTTTGTGCAAAGTCTCCCTCTGGTAAATATTTATACATATAAACTGATTCATGTGGACAGTCGTGAAAAATAGCTAATAGCTATGTACAACTAAATTAACTGATCGTTCTGGCTCCACTCTGGTAGTCAAGAACTTGTCATACTTATTTCTTGAACACCAAAGCGAAGCCAGGATATTTTATCATAAAATGTAGAAATGAAATAAAGCATAAAGCGTTTTAAGTGGTAGTTTAATAAAAAAAAGAAAAAAAAATTCTTTTAAACTACTTTGAAAATTCATAAACGATCAAAGCAGTATACCTATATTCGTAAAAATACATTTTGTACGAGAAAAATATATTTTCTATGTAAAAGATTCAAAATTCATAGAATAATAATTGTTCAGTGTCATAGACAAAGTCACAAAATTGTAGAAAATACCTGTTGTATATTTTCTAAAATTTTCAAACCATATGTTGTAAATTAAAACCAGAGATGTCGGAAATCATTTGTTTCAGCCTAGACGCAATTTATTTTTGCAGATTCTTACAACATTATAAAAATAGAAAACACTGCACCGATTTTAAATACTTTTTGCAATGGCTATCCATTAGAGGAAAGAGATTTCAAAGAAGTTTTAACCTCTATAGCATTCTTCTTGACGAATTGACAAATCACTTTTATAATCGAAGTCACAAATTTTATTCAGCTGACATACTAAGTATCTATATTTTCTAATTTTATTTGTAGTTATTGTCATATTTACTTTTTATTGTTTCAAAAAACGATGTAATGATGAATAATACGAAATTATAATGACTTACAAAATGGTACAGATGTGCCTCCGTGGCATAACCTTCATAATGATGGTATTCGGTTTCTTCTGTAATACAGAGAGTCAAGAGTTAAATTCAGCAAATCAATTCATAATGTCTGGAATATATGGCGGATACATTGTGATTACACTAGGATTACTTATAGACGCTGGATTATATATGGATACGGACAGATTCGTAGAATGTTTATTTCTAAGTACCGGTATTGTTTTGAACTTTTTGTGCGCTATCTTGGTCTTTGTTGAATTTTACACTGAAACTTCATACATAAATCAAGCAATGAATAAAGGTTTGGTCTCTATTTTAAGCGCAATTCTTTATTTCATCGACATGGTTCTTACTAATTTTTAAAATTTAATTATAATATTTTTTTTATATAATTAAACATGAGGAACTGTCTGAACTTGAATATTATTTAAAATCAGAAATCATCAAATCGAAATCATAAAAACAATCTAGTCTAATTCATATTTTAATAGGCTTTCTACCTTTTGCAAAATTCAGTAATTAATAACGTATGTCAAACGTGCACCAAGTACGTAGGTGCCTATCCAAGAAGTACTCGAACTGATAATATAAATAAACAAATTATTCTATCACTCCTGTCAACTTCAAGTTTCCTAGTTTGAATTGGTATTAGTTACATATCATCATCATATCAGCCATTAAGTACCCACTGCTAAACATAGAACAATGCTCTAGTGGCGGCTACTACTATTATACACTCGACTGCTAGTTGTCAAGTGCAACTATCAGCTCACTTGTGCGATAAACTGTCGCACAAGAGCGAACCCCGGTGCATATGGGCCCGCACCCGCTATCCGCGGGTTAAACGTGAGCTCAACTGCCTAACTACAGAACGGTCGGGATGCTCGACTAACGAAATTCCTCCTGGGAAGGCATCATCTCAGGCGTCGGAGAAAACAACGTCATTTTATATATTTTTTTATTCATTTTTATATATACTTTATAACGGAATACTCCGGATCGGCCACTTCCCCGACGAGTGGAAGTTAGGTTAGGTTATATATTAGGATCATAGCCCTCCTGAATCCCAGGAAAGACATAAGACTTCCAGCTAATTATCGGTCGATAACACTGCTCCCGCACGTAGCCAAGGCCTTCGGACCGCGGGCTTCTCCGCCGACTCTACCCGCATCTCACACCGCGATTAGAAAAATCTAGATTCTGGAGCGGCCATTATACTACGCTCCAGCTTATACACGTGTTGCACCGCTTGGCCGTCGACATAACCGCGATCAATACGCAATCGATGTATTTCTCGATATTGAGAAAGCGTTCAACCACGTATACAAACTACGGCCTAGTATACAAACTATTGGTGCATACTAATATGCATTTCAGGCAGACTTTCTTGTTAATTTATACTTATTATATTTATTTATACTTTCATATTAATTTTTATTTAAATATTGTAGGAAATTTAAAAAAGATTATATTTGTCTTTAACAGTTTTTTTTTATCTCTAATAGTATTCATAGAAAAATAAAAAATCGTGTTTATGAACACGTTAAAGGACGAAGTGAGGAGACGGAGGAGATAGTATCGAGCAGAATTATATTCAACAGGGTAAAATTACCTTAGAAACTACTGGTGGCAAAGTTTAACAAAATGCGTTAGAAGCCCATTTATCCGAATTTGCCACTAGTCGAATGCGTACCAGTACGCCATCTATGGTGTTAAAATAATACCTGCATATATTTGTTCTCTGTGGAAATATGACAACAACGACAGTGACACTGACAATACCAAATTGACAAATAATTGTGACAGACGACGTATATGAAGTCAATATAAAAACAATAAGTGAATGTTCAGTGTATCTGCCATTCCTTTTTTATAATTTAGTTTCGTTGATTGTTCTAATATTTAAGACTTGCACTTATTTCTGATGACAAATAACACGGAACTGTAACATAGAAAAAAATATGAGTTTACATAAAGCAAGGTAATTTATTTTAAATATAAGACTCCCAAATTTAATGTATGTTACTTATCCTGCAATAATTTGCATTGTTTTGTACTGTTATATCTGAGCTTGACAACGCCCCATAAGATATTTATTAATATATAATATAATTTTCTGTTGATACATCCAAAATAGGTACTTTTTTGGTAGTTCCTGTATATATCTATCTATGTAAATATATATATGTATATATTTATGCTACTTTCACTCAACTTTGTATTTAAAAACATTAGCTATTTTCTGTAAATCTCTCAACTTTCGGTGTTTTAAAGTAATAAATGCAACCAGCAATTCATTTTGTTTCACAACTATTTCTACTTTAAAGCAAAAAAATATCTCTTAAGTACATCCCACAATAGTTTTCCACATAACTATTTCCAATTAATTGTATCTTGTAGTTTACTTTTTATACAAACTAATTAAATTTTTTGTTGTAGAATCAAAGCATTTGAAGAAATACTTGATCAAGAAGTAATAGACATTGTTCAACTAAGAAAACTTGCATTTAATGGTAAGCATTATATAGAAAGACATAATAATTACATATTTCCAATATACTGTTTTCTTTTTTTGTACTAATTTTCTCTTGTATATTTCATAATAATTGTTTGGTTATGTTGTGAATATTGTATTAAACTTTTTATGTATTTTTTATCTGCATTTGAGTATGTCGGCACATTATTTAAGTATAACATGACATATCAAAATAATAAGGGTCATTGAAGCAGAGGATACTTTTATTCCAGAACGTCCATAGTAAAAACTACAAAATACTATGAATAAAATATTTAGTACTCATAGGATGCATACAGTATGGTTTCAGAAGAGTTTTTTTTTTTTTATATTGTGAAATGATCTCTCTGCCGAAGTTTTTCCTAAAGACTACAGTACAGGGTTTTTTAAAGTGGTGTATTAAAATTTCTTCAGAATCAACAGTACACAAACAAGACACTCCTACCATTTACCATTAGATGAGCTGTATACTTGATTGCATAAAAAAAAATATTTCCTAAAAACAGTGAATAAATTTTATTTATGATACTTAGAATGAGAAAGAATGTGATGGTTGACCTGATGGTAACTGTCACCTTTAGACATAAACAGCGCAGTAGATATCCCAGGATACAGTGTGATATCCATGGTATCTCAAGCATTGCATGTATGAGGACTGTGGTGTTATACCTCTATATCCTATAATTTCACTGCCCTTAAAAAAAAGACATATCCCTACAGACTAAACTGCTTCACAATAGAAACAGGGATGGTACAGAATTAACCATGTAAGCAATGTTGATTCAAAGTCTCTTTGGTGAGATAAAATTGGGTCTTTTTTTATCTAAAACGATTTGCTTATAAATTGGTTGCATAGAAATTATCAAAATTGATTCAGTAGTTTAATTTTTTAATCAAAATAACTGATTTTGCCACAATTGAAGTCAGCTCTTTTTGTAGGACACTATTTTTAATTATTTAGATACATTTCTTAATTACTAATTATTTATAATAGCAAGGAAATTAATTGATGTAAAAATTTGTGCTTCATGTTTTAAAAAGATATTTCACTTGATTTCTGGATAAATAACAATACAATGTAAAATTTTTGTTTACTTAAAACATCAAACTTATGACTTTGATATAATTTCTTCTCAAGGCTTATAATTTGACCTCAACTTTTAAAGCCTCCTATATTATTATATTTATAATTACTTTTAATGAACTACATTAACTTTATACTTCAAACAGGCATCCCGGATGATAAAGGGCTACGTTCTCTTGTGTGGAAAATTTTACTACACTATTTACCACATGAGAAAAGTGCACGAGATGCAACACTTGTCAAGAAGAGGCAACTTTACAAACAATTTATTGGTAACATTATTTTAAAATAAATAAATAAAAATGTTTAAAACCCTTAATAATTTTAATGGTACGCATATTGATTAGCATCTTACATTACACCATACATACAAAAACCAGTTTAATCGCATATCAAATGTAATAGTTACCATTTTTCATCCATGATTATTTTATTTAACATTTCAAATTATATAAAAACATATTTTTTGGTGACTCATATGTCAAATTTAATAATAGGTAACTATTTTTAAGCTAGGTACCTTGGTGAATAGGCAGAGAGAAACGTTTTAATCTATATATAACCTAGTCGGACCAGGTTCACGTGTTTAATAACAAAACCTTTGTTTATTATACAACACTATAATGTTTCATAATATTATGTATTTTGTAATAATATCTTTTCTTACTTTCTTATTAATCATTAAACTATTATAGGGTTTTGATCTTTTAGTTTAACTACTCTCATTGCATTGAATTGTGGTTTAACTGCTTAGTTATTAAACCATTACAAATATATTACATTCTAAAAATGTGTAATTTATTAATCCTATTAAAATAATTTACATGTAAATGTTGTAGAGAATTTAAAGAAATTTATTGACAGTTTTCTACTGTATAACAATGTTTATTGTAAAAAATTTTAAAAATCCAAGTTAGAGACACATTTATAGGTAACGGGTGTAGTAAGGGGCGTAGAAGATGGCACAGAGCAAAATCTTTCGAGTTAATAATCCCAGTTAAATAAAAAATACCAAAATGTTTCACAAAATACCGTTAGAACTTTATTTGTTCCGATCTTTCTAGTGGTCTAAAATCATTGTGCATCTACGGCTAGTGATAATTAAAACCTTTTATTTTTTAGATGAAATTATAGTATCGCCAGGTGGTCCAAGTGACCACCCGCTGAACATCAGTCCCGATAGTTCATGGAGTACTTACTTCAAAGATAATGAGGTGTTGCTGCAAATCGATAAAGATGTCCGGAGATTGTGCCCTGATATATCATTCTTTCAATCTGCTACAGAATTCCCTTGTCCAGAGGTATTGTTTCATTCCACAATCGAGTTATTCACAACTACTAAAAGACACTTAGATTAACGTATTCAGCATAGAAAGCAGAGTTCATAGAATTTTTCTTCTATTTAATTAAAAAGAGCCAGTAGACCAATCTGTCGAGTTACTGAATAGTGAAATGTGTATATTTTGCATAGATGCCTCCATCTCATCGACTTCTGCCATAATCAGAGCAATATATGCATTGTTATGTTTTTGTCTGAAGGATAAAATAGGTAGTTTAATAAAGTAGCCACAAAATGAGACTTCCCTATGGTTGACTGGGAGAGGATGCTTTTAGCATTAAGTCCACCATGTAAACATATATGTACTAATGAATAAATAAATAAAAAAATCACATTAGTGCACGCGTTATAAGAAGTCATACTCCAATCTACATTCAAGATATAACAGATGCGAATGATTTAATTGATGTGACATCAAACGTATATATATATATATATATATATATATATATATATATATATATATATATAGATTAATTAAATTGTTTGACTAGATATTACTGGGAATTGCACCCGGCGCACTAATTCGATATCCTATATCTCAGTACTGTAAATAAACACTGCGGTTTTCCTAAAGTACTTGATATAGTTCTTGACATAGATTTTCTTACAATGTATTGGTGAACTAGATATCTAATATAGAATAATAATTTACAGATCGTTAATAGTAATGGCGTTAAACGATTACATAAGCGGGTTGAACAATCCGTATTGAAATACTCAACTTTGGAGCGAAGGGGACTTGGTGTTGCTAAGGTAATATAATAAACACATATCGACTTACCGAGTGCTGAGTTCAATTAGAACATAACGAGGTCGCGATATAAAATGTCGTTTCACCTACATATAAGTATAGAACATTAGAAGTCATAGCAATAAAACCAACTAAACTACTAAATGACAGATTAAATAATTGCTACAAAATCATAAGAAAAAAAAATTGTCTCCACTTTGTGTATTTATTCATAATAATATAATTATACTGTAGTAGATACCAATACTGAAATAATTACATTCTACTAATATTATAAATATAAAAATTTGTAAAGATGTCTCAATGTCTAGATTTTTTAATGTTTGATACTCATTATACTCCAAATATCGAATGGGCAAACCATGACTTTAGATGCTTTTTAACGTAATTATCTCCAATTTATTGTAGAATATAGAAACAATTCTATTTCAGTTGAGCAACGAAATCAAACGTTCAGACAGCATGTCTAGCGGGGACTACGCGCCGTTGAACGAAGGCTGCGAAGCGCACTGGGAGGTCGTCGAGCGAATGCTGTTCCTGTATGCAAAACTAAACCCCGGCCAGGGTTATGTACAGGGCATGAATGAAATCATCGGGCCGATATATCACACATTCGCCATAGACTCTGATAAAGAATTCCGAAGTATGTAAAAACAACTAATTTTGAGTTACAAATATACTTTTTATACAGCACCTTTATACAGAAAGAACCATAAAAATACTATGTATGGTCTCTTTACTAAATCTCTTGTTTCTTTCATACCTCGTCTCATACATGCAAGTCGGTTCCAAGTAACAAAATTTTTCAAATTATCCTTACTGGCCTATAGAAACAATGAAATGATATTATTAATACATTTTATTTAAAATTAGTCATCTATCTTGATATTTTATAATTACGAAAAACTAATGTAAGAAAAGAAAAACTTGAAATAAAAACCTATACCAGCTGTTTGTCCTATGTGGTCCTCCTCCTGTGGTTAATCCTCCTCTAAGCAGAGATTTTGTAGATATGCTTTAAAAGGCCTAAACTTCTAACCTCCTTAGTCATTAAAACATCAAATTATTTGGCTATGGACCTGCTGTCTCTATTTCTTTTAAACTAAATTCACAATTTGAAAAAAGTGGCAAAACAGTGCAATAGCTTTTTAGGTTTTAATTTTTATGAGTAAGGACGTAAATATATAACGTATGGTTTTATTTCTTTTCTACATAATACTTAAGAGGCTTGCAATAAAGATAAAGATAATAGATTATTTTTATGAAATTTCATATAGTAATAATATTTATTCCCTCATTACATTATTTGGGATCGGTCGGCGCTGTTAAAATATTCATCTAGCTACAATTCAATTTCTTTAAAGTAAACATAATTTCACAGTACACACAACGGCGTCAGTAATCCTAATCTTCGTTTGCAGAGCATGCAGAGGCAGACTGTTTCTTCTGCTTCACAAATTTGATGTCAGAGATTCGTGATTTCTTCATACGCACTTTAGACGAAACTGAAAGCGGTATCAATTATATGATGGGCAAACTGTGTGAATGTGTCAAAAAAAACGATACGGCCGTATGGAATCAGCTGGAAACTCAAGAGTTACGACCCCAATATTATAGTTTCAGGTATATTAAATCTTTTTTTATCGTTGTAATTGTATTAATATTAAATAGACATGATTCACAATTTTTAGTATGAATACATTTTGTGACAATCAAACAAGTTGTTATTGTACTTGTATTTTAAAAAACCAAACATAATGCTCAATTCAAAAACTCAATATCTGTAGACTTAAGCCAATTATGAACAATTTGTCTCTAAACCAACCCCCACCAAAAATCGAAAGCATGATCTTTTTTATGTAATGCAATCCTCTCCACCACAGCGCTATTTATTACGGTAATATACTATTATTATTTTAAACTGATATACTGCCCAAAATCGGTGCCCAAGCCAATATAGTCTCTATACCAGTATCTTTTATTTTAGGTGGCTAACACTGCTGCTCTCTCAAGAATTTTCACTGCCTGATGTCGAGAGAATTTGGGATTCTTTGTTTGCTGATAATCAGCGTTTTAATTTTCTCATATATATATGCTGTGCCATGATTCTGTAAGTATACTTTTTAAGTGCATATAATATATATTTTTATAGGATATTATAACTTCTGTCATCTAGTCATAATAATAACAATGCATTAAAATTTTTATTTTTCTAATATTGACTACGAGAGATTGCTATATAGTAGCATTAAGACCACTTTATACAAAATAAACAACTTGGTACTCCAAATTTCATAATGAAATGAATTTAATATACTGAATTGACATAATTAGGAAACATTGCTGTGATACGTTCATTTAATAAAGTAACTAATTTTATTATTATTACATTACACCACATTTTATCACAATCCATCCAGTCGTTTTTGCGTGATGTGTGCACAGATAAATTAAATTTTAAAAAAATATTATGTATTATAAATTATATATATACATACATACGACTATATATAGTTTTTCTTTTCTGCGCAGATTAGTAAGGGATAACTTGCTGAATGGTGACTTTGCATCAAATGTCAAGTTACTCCAAAATTTTCCACCGATGGACGTGTCATTAATTCTCAATAAAGCCGTAGAGATATCTAACAGATAATCTTACTATACTCTTAAAAGAACACTGGGCAACAAAATTTGAACTTTATCGCGCCACACGAACTTCACTTATATTTTTTACTATGATGGGTGACTGTTAGTGAAAATATGTAATTAAAAAATTATTGGCCAAGAATTTTATTTTATATATATAATTTAAATATTTAAAAAAAAATTGTGATTCTGATACAAAAAAAAAAGCAAAAACGTTCTATTATGAAATTCGAATTTAAGATTTGCTGGCATATTTAGTTTCTGGTTGGTCCCTTTTTATCGTCTAGCGGTATTCGGCCAAACATCCTTGGGTTCCATTTGCCCTTATAACGTTTTTCCATCTCTGAAATGTGCTAATGGAACCTTTTTACTTGCTCATCACTCACAGCACCTAAAATCTCAATAAAAATATCTAGAGCCTAAAGAACTAATCTTGAGTGACATGTTGCAACCTAAGGCTTGATAAGCCAATAACAGCTCACTAACAAACTTTCTGTAGTTGTCACTCTTATGGTTACCTAGAAAAGAATCTACTTTCTTAAAATATATCCATGCTCGCTTTTCCAGGCCATTCATTTTTTCTTCAAACACTGGATCTATTATTAACTCCCTGATTTGAGGTCTAACGAAAATACCCTTTTATTTGATCTTCGCATTACTTATTCTAGGAAATTTTTCTTTTAATTTGCCCTTTAAATATAGCCCTGATCTGAATGAATCTGAAGTCCAAGTAATAGGGCAACAATTTTGAAATTCCCAGATTTTAAAAGAATATGTACTATATTTGAGTTTTTCAAGTAAAAACCTTGTGTTTTTCTTGAAATTATTACCTTTTATATCTATAAGATAGAAATAGCAATCCGAAACGTGATATCTTGATTCGATCTAAATCATGGGTACCGCAAACGGAATATGGCGGCGACCTTTTTTCCAATCGGTTAAATTCTTAACACAAGTTATGCAACAAATATGAGGGGCCCAAGGTTTATCTTATTGAACCACAAAGAAACCAAAACACTGGCAATTACTCTCCAACACAAGTATAGTAAAATTTGGTCTTTGATTTTTGAAAGTTAATATACCACAAATATAAAAAAAATAATTAGGATCATTATTATACTTTCTCGACATATTTACACAATCTCAACAATTACTTATAGATAATGCTTACTAACACATCACAAAAAAATCTGAAGCCAGTCGAAACAAAACTACTGCAATTTATTAATGGATAGATAGATGGCTAAAACAGTATTAGCTATCAGAGTTCGTGTGGCATGATTAGTGTTGACCAGTGAAATACAAATACATTTTGTATTTTTATCTACATTTTGTAATAAGATTTTTATGAATTTGTATAGATTTTATATAGAAATCTTTATGTATTTTAGTATCTTATACAAATATAATCATCTTTTGAAACTTTTATCTCTATGTATAAGTTTATATAAATTATGATTTTACGAATTTAATTAATTTGATATATGTGTAAAGAGCGTTCATATTTTAGCTTACCTACCTAATGTATTATAACGCCAATTTTCAATAACAATTTAACATATTTCAATATTTCTAATTAATTATATTTAAAAAGTGCTATGATAGTAAACTTAAACTATAATCATAGAATACGTGTCAAATAAAACTACGGCCAAATATTACATCTTTATTTCAAAATTTCAAATACTTTATTGCCACCAAAATCCAAATATTCATTGACAGTTTAATAAGAATATTATTGCTTGTTTGACGTGTTAGTTCGTTTTATACTTGAATAAGCTAAAATACAAACGCTCTTAAATAAAATATATGTATATTCTAATTTTAATTAAATATTAACGATAAATTTCTCAATGATTAGACGTTTACGCGATCATTATTAGTTGTATGCCATTATTTAGTTTCGAAATAAATCTGAATGTTAATTTTAAAGTCTCGCATTGTTTACACATATTTTAAATACATTATCAGGACTTAACGCGATAAAACCTTTTCAGGCAAATAGTACTTACATACCGTCTTTATTGCCAACGTTTTTTTACCTGCAAAGGTTTTTCATCGCGTTAAGTCCCGATAGTGTATATAAAAATCTAAATGTGTTCTTTATATTCGAATTTAAAGTCTGACTTTAGGGCATTCCTTTATGATTTTCAAAAATATTGTATAATATAAATGGCCTAGTATATAGAAGTGTTAACTCCCATAATACGCAATTCAATTATTGTTAATTAATCATAAATAAGTGTTGCGTGAAGCAGTATCTAAAATATATAATTAAAATGTACAAACTTGCACATGTATGAAAAGCAGTTATTAAGTTCTTTGTTTAATAATATCTTAGTATATACAAATCCCATGCCACGGTGTATATTCACTCTGAAATCGTTGAACGATTATAATCAAATATTGTAAATGTGTATAATTTTCTTTTTCAGCTTGAGGGATTGTATATTTTTTAACTGAATGTGGCGGTAAAATATTTGCCGGATTAGCTAATATATATGTATTAATTATAGTTATATATATATATATATATATATATATATATATATATATATATATATATATATATATATATATATATATATATATATATATATACATAATCGTTCTATAACTTGTGTAATATGATTACGGAGAAATCTTTATTTTATGGTACAATTATTATGAAAAATGTACAAATCTTTTTACATATATTTAATTTCTTTTCCCTGAATGCTCTGTAATTGTATTATCATAGTTGACTATTAATAAATAGAATTGTAAGAATAATATATAATAAGGCGTTCACAAGACTTAATAACAATTTTAGGCAATTTTTTACGACTTCCAATAATATTATTAAAAATTAATAAATTTTTGATAATATTATGTATGAAAATATCCATAAAACCCATAAAATATAAATATGATATCGCTTACATTTTATGACATTAGCATTTTTTTAATTTTTGTTAATTATGAATAAACAGCACTGGTAAATTAATGTCGCCCACTCTTAGTCTCGTTAATCGAAAAAGAATCTCGTATTTTGTATTTAAAGGTAGTAGACGACTCGTACACATAATATTTAATAAAACTATTTTGTTAATTTTTTTACTAATTAACGAAAGTCAGAATTATATTTTCTTTGTTGTGTCAATATTTGTTACCATACAAATGCACGTTTGTAATATTATGGCTAAATTTTGATAATACAGTTAAAAAAGTTAATGGGTAATAAATGAAGACTTGCTTATTTTTTTACTAAAAATAACAACTGAAATATTAAAATTGAATAGGATACTATTTTTGAGTTACTTAATAACTATTTCTCTGTTTGGGAATTGCCATTTTATTTTATTATTAAAATAGATATATTGTTTAGTGTAAGGAACATTATTGTGTTTATATTTTCTTTGATTGATATGTAGCTATTTTTTATAATGCAATTTATTTCAATTACTAATTCCTGATTGTAATCGTAATGAGATGATATTTATTAGCTACCAGTATGCAGACTGTAGATATTAGAAGGAATACGCAGTACAACAAGGTTACCACAGAAAATTACAATCTGTACTTATTCAGATGTTTCGACTACCGGAGTCAATGGTAATATGTGAAAAAGTTATAGTAAATAAGTTGCAATAAAAAATAATGTAATTTGTCCAAATCAAAGCAATAGATAAATATAAAATAATTATAACTACGATTTCTTTGTAACTTACCCAATAAGTCTGTTATAAATACAATAATTTTCATAATAATATCTATATAATTTGATATTTTAATATATGATTGACTTTTTAATGTTTTTTTTTTTATATTTCCTACTCTAATTCGGAAAGTATGTCCCTATCACACAGTAATGTAATACATACTTAAAAAATATGAGGAATTGTGATAGCTCTAATAATAAAAATTTAGTAATGTACATTCCATTCTATCATGACAGATGAAATTCAGAAATTGTTATTGTTTCAAAAACAGGCAGATGTTTAGAAGGATTATCGTTTATTTAAATACAAATATTGTTCTCCAAAAAATAGCCATTTAAATCATGATAAAACGAACAGGGGACGACCCGCACTAGAGCAAAGCCTGTCAGTGTCAAAAAGACGGTAAGGTTGAAAAAATGGACAAGCAAGGAGACAGATTTTGTTTTCTTTCTTGAATATACGATTATCAAAATGTAACTTCACAAAAATAAAAATACAATTGGAATGATTTCGTTTTAAATACTGATTTCGTATAGCCCTACCCTAACTATTTGGCCATAAGATACTTTATACTCTGCTTGTATAAAATCAGATGCTAACGCATTCTACCGCATAAAAATGAAAACATGTAGCCATTTTGGCTCTCATGATACTCCAGTAACCATAGCTCCAGTAATTATACCATATATTATTATACCTTATAGATTTAGATAATGAGGGAGAGGAAACATTAGAAATGGGGACGTTAATCCTCATTACTGGATACCCTGTCATGTCGACCTCCACGTAGTCCTCCATCCAGGAAACCATCGTCAATAATTCTTGAATTTGTCACAATGGGCCGATCAGTTAGGCCTTGTTTCATACCCACCTATCACCACTCGTTGGTTCCCGCCAGCATATACCGATGTTACCATTTCATTATCATCCATTAAGAACTATTCAGATTATGAGGTCAGTGCGATTGTAAATATGAATAATTTTATATTGGATGTTATTATTAACAGGATCAGTTACGATTATCTTTGTGCCGGTGTTAAATTGTTTATAGATAACAATATAGAGAAAGTGTTAACGAATGTTTTCGCCTTGATGAGTATTTTTTTTTTCTACTTTTATCTACTAAGTGTTGATTAAAATTCCATTAAATATCGGCTGAGTAGTTTTTGTTAACAAGTTCACATCTATACATAAATAAATGTAATCCTTGTCAAACATAAATGAAGATTTTATTTTCTGTACATAGAAGTACCTACCTCGTCTGCGTAAGTCCTTAGTTCCAGTATAAAAGAAATTGTTCTGAAAATGAATATAATGCCGCTCCTACTACGTTGGATTCTAATATACATGGCGAAACGTGGACATGTCGGGTGTTACGTTCGCCACAACAGCAGCAGTCAACAAACGCTTCTGATTATCCCATTAGGAATTAGAATATTTATTTTTTAGGAATAGCAACAACAAGCCGCTCGCCTTTAAAGATTTAATATAAATAATTACATTATAATTGATTTGTACATATTCATTGATTGACAATAATAGAAAGTAAATATTTTATACAAATATAATGTCATTTTAGTTTGTATTACACATACAGCTAACACATTAATATTGGAAATAAGAATTTACGCCACAATTATTTTGTAATATTATATTGTGTCGAAGTATATTTTTCCTATTTTTTTTTTTAATCAAATGAAGCATAATCTTCCACCGACTGGTGGCTACGATTTAAAATATAGAACCTTAATGCCAGTATTTTACTTATAAATAAAAGACTTTATTAAGGAACATACTTTAGCTTCAATATGAATCTTAAAATGGTGTTTACAACTTTCTTTTAATTATTATACATACATAATTATTATAAACTTTACATAATTACATATAACTTTAGGAGCAATAAAAATATGGAATCAATAGTATTACTGCCTCAAGAAATACCAAAAATTGAAGCAGACAAATTATGTATTGACTTAATAATTCTCGCATTATTTTAGCTAGCACCTAATTGTATAGAAAATGATGGACCCGTAATCATGAAAATACCATATTATTATTGCTCTGATTTTATATAATAAATAGGAATTATTATGACCAAAATTTTGTGCCCAAAATCAACACACTAAAAATACTTGATATAATAAAAATAAAATTAGAAAAGTAACGTTAGACATTAACAAGCGCTATGAGTTATAGAAATATAAAAGAATGTATAATGAGATTAAAATTGTTTCATGATGATCGAATAAGAGAGTTAAACCATATCATTTCGAAATAAGAGTATTATAAAGCGAAACTGCGGTTTAACTTTCTCTATACGGATATTGGATGTTTATCTATCTAGACCACTAATTTATATTTAATAGGGATTTTAGTGTTGAACAAATATTGTAAAAGTAAACTTTTATGATGCATTTTTTTTATATTCTTATCAAAAAAGTTATCTAATAGATATATTTTATACAAGCTTAGTATGTCTGAACGAGTTTTATAACTGTTCAAAAAGAAAATTTTTAAACAGATTTATTTGTGATGTTTTCGTAATATTTATCAAATAAAGTTATAATTAACTTTGATCTATATTCTATTAGGATCTTAATATTTGAACAAGTTTCGTGATCCTGATCATTATATTAGATTTTGTAACGGTTTGGAAAATACATTTTAAAAATGTATTTTAATTGTGATGAAATTTTATTATGTGCGTAATTTAATAACCACAAGACGTACATTATCCTTTAAATGTTTTAATAGCTATTAATAATGTAATGTCTGTAACGGAATGGACGCTTCATCATTTATATATTTCATAAAGGCCTAATATCCTAGTGCACGACTATATTGTTTGTTGTTAGTGCTTACACGGAATCAACATAGCCACAAAAAACGCACTAGCAATGACTTGAGACTAAAAGCAGAGATGCAGATTTTGTGAACTTTTTACTCACAGAAATTCTACGGCAAGCCACGCTGTACTTGGACATGTAATTGGAACTACACTAGTAATTAGTATATTTAGCCTTTTTCACACTGTACAATGATAAACATTTAGAAAATCTTTTAAAGACTACTACTATTCCATTCCATCTTCCTGTTCACTAAATCCCTCGTTTAATATGACATTCAAGTCTATAGAATATTTTAAGGTAAATAGTCGTGTCACTCACATAACGCTGTTACAAATATAAAACCTAAATAATTATTCAAAAATAATTTACTTGTTAATAATAACAAAATTTATAAATCGGATATCTAACTACGCTCTGTCTAATTTCCTATCTACCTTATGAATGCTATTCTTCAGAAGGGAACATCTATCTCTTAACACTTTACACATATGACCATTATGATCATTCTGTAATCATAAAATCACTTCTATTATCATTAGCTGCATGCCTTCACAAATATAACATAACCATTATATTATCTGTGAATTATGTATGTAATAGCAGCACAATATATTATCATAATAGTTGAATTCAAGAAATAGTCCATATGTAGGTATTTAAAACAATTTATTTAACTGTATCTCAATATAATATAGAAATAATTTTGTAGACCGCTTAAAATGCTTAGTAGCATTTTAAAGCGCACAAAACTATGGATCTGCTTATTTTTATACAATATCTCATGCTAGTGCCTATTGTTACCAATCAGTTTCACATAATGCGAATTAATTATAACCATACTGCCCTTACTTACAATTTATATCGAACCCAAACAGTCTTATATTTATTTTAATAAAAATCCAGTAGGCGCTATTAAATAAATTTGCCACGTGAACCGACCGGTAACAATATCTAGATGTTGTGTGTATGCACTACCTACTGGACGCAAGCGTGAAATTATGTAGACACTACATGTAAAACTAACAACAGTAGTAACATTTATTTAGTTATAAATCTATTTTATTCTGTGGGACCACTCTCACGACGAAATTGGTCATAACAATAAATTATAAAAACACTCATGCAGTACATGCATATTTTAAAAGTAGCAATCTAGAGAGAATAATATAATTACATTCTAATATGTAATTATCAAAAAAATATTTATCCAATATCATATTCGAAAGCAGTTCCACAGATCATAATAGGTACATGTCTGATATCTCCCATTGGTAGGTTAGCCATTCTCTATGGATTAATATAATACTTTTTTTCATAAATTAAGATATAAAAATATACGTTTAAATTATGCATCATTAAATATTACTCAACATAGACTCAACTCTAAAGTAACAGGTTTCAAATGAATTATTAAGTGATATAAAAATTATGCCATTATTTCGAATGAGCAGAATTATGCTTTGTTTAATTTTAGTCACAATAATTATACATTTTACTTGATATAAAACAGCTTATCTTAACTCTCTCACTTGCTGCCAAGCTCTATGTTGATGCCGGTTCAATCTTCTTGAGATTCTTATAATATGAATTATCAAGAAATATTTTTTTTTTTTTATTTAATCAACATCACATAAAAGTACGCTTCCGCGCTTATCAAGTCCTAGAAAACTTTATAGCCTGAAGTACCATGACGTGCAAAACATATCTCTCTTTCAGACTAGCTAGATAATAAATACTTTAAGTTTGTACCCTATAAAACGTTCAATAAAAACTTAGCACATAAAATTATCAAAAACAATCTTATTATAACAGATAAAATAACTGCCATCTATGTTAATAAGATGCCGGGAAAAGGCTCAAACAGAAATGTATAAATAGGAGTACACAAAATGGTCTAGACGCGAAATGCATAAATGTAGGCATTCCATACCGTCATATAAAGTTAGATTTTGTATACCTACTCGATTCATAAACATAGGACACGTTGAAAATGAAATAGCACCGAGTATACACCATAGTTGGGAGTATGCTGGTTTGATGACAGCGTGTTACCGGTGTAAGCAGAGAGGAGATCCACATGGGGGAGTTACTGGATAACGCAACATTTGCACTTGGGCTTCTTCTTGATGGTGACGTGCTCGGGCTGCTGCGGCTCCTGCGGTGGTGAGCGCTGCACCTCAACTTGTCCCGGGCGCTGGTCCACAACCGCCGCACCGTTTTTAGTGCCGTTCATAGCCTTCGGAGTAGTTTGCTGCGCTGGACTCGCCACTTTGGTCTGAGGCGAACCTGGAGCTGCTGCCTGTACGGTAAATAACATTCAATTGTTTCGAGTACATTTCAAATAACAAGTATTCTCATGTATGTATTACTGTCAACAGAATAACAATTAAAGTACATTCATCATTTAGCAAACGTAATAAACTGAATGTAATAAATTCAATCGTGTATCGATTTTTTACAAGAGATACTATACGTTAACTATGTATGTAATCACTTTTATGTACTATGCTACAAATTTTAAACTTTTCAATAGATAATAATTAGATATTAATTTTAACTTACTTATATACTTTGATATTTCTTTATATATATGTAAGTGTATTTTTTAAACTTATTCTTTTTTTATTTAGTTTGATAAATAGAACCTAATTCAATAGAATGTTTCCTTGTCAATTTTTACTTTATTGCTGACATTTTCTGTTTTTGGCCTTTTTAGTTACTGGCATAGATTATTGTTTACATGTCATTAATCTTAAGTAGTATCATAGAAATAATTCAATTTCATATAACTTTATGCGTTCTCTGATTATTTCAACACAACATCCAAAATTTCAAGACACTTTTACCGCCTTATTTATAAAAACGTCCAACAAGCCTATTTAAGATGTAAGTGTTTTATCTTTTTCTTTTACGTTAAATTGTGAATTTTATAAGACAATTTACAAAATATTCTAATAAATAAAAAAAAATTATAAAATCATCTTATTTCAAATTTATAAATTGAGATCATTTTGTAATACACAATATAACGGATACTAACGTTAACGTTATTCGCATGGGATTTCTCCTCCTTTTCCTCGCATACGGGCAGCTGCGGCACGATAGGCGGTGTCGGTGTGATTGGCTTGCCGCCTTTGATTAGCGACACAATCTCGTCGGCTTCACGGCTCAGATCGCCGTCCGGGCGAAACGGGTTATCCCACCCGCTCTCCGTGCTGTGACAAAATATAAAAAAAAAATCTATTAGCACGTCAACTGCCTGAACATCCCTATTATATTGTCCAAAACTTCAACTAGCACAAATGGTTCATATCAAACAGCATCAGCAGATTTTGCGCTGTGAATCAAAACAGATAACAGATAGATCTCAAATCAAATTTAGGTTTCGCTTAATAATACAGGTATAGCAGTAAAATTACATAATGAGATATCACTTCACGAACGACAACGTATAAGAATACTATTATCATGATAATAGTATTGTTTCCCGTGATTTCCTTGGTCCAACTCCAAATTTTGCATTAAAAATTAAACGTGATCAAAATCGAATAAGAATTTTGTCCTGATTATATTACAAAAAAGGAAAATTTTAATATTTTTACGAGATTTTTATTGTACACACAAATAAAGAAATAATCAATAATTTTATGGCTATATTTGTGACTGATTTATTTGCGTTGCCATTCCTGAGGACTGAGGTGTTATGCCTCTGTACTCTGTAAATTCATTGCCAAATCACTATAAATTTATTTGGAATAAATCAAAAATAAAAGTTTTTCTAAAAAAATTATTCGTCTTCTTTTCATCTTTAAGAACAACAATTGGCCATCAACCTATGATTTGACGACGCGATGGAAAAAATTTGTAACCAATAATTTTTTATTCTTTACAAGCGAGAATTTGCTTGAGAAAAATTGAAGTTAATATCATACCTTCCACGTGCCCAGAACTTTGTTAAAGAGCAATAAAAACAAAAGCCTTAAGTGCTTTTTCCGCTCGTTCCGACTGCCGGGTACCGGGCTATGAAGTACCTTTTCACAAAATATAATTACCATAGCCAACGTTGAATTTACGAAAACTATCATTATATGAGCATACACTTTACCCCTTTGTGCCCCACAACGAACCTGTGGAAAAGCACTTACGGTAATCTATGTTCGCTAAACAAGGATTGCATAACATCATCATCATTTAATACTGACTGGAATGAAGCCAATATTTATCACGCATTAGCTATTACGTATTACTAATATAAAAATTGAGCGATACCATTTATAGGAGGCAGTTTCTAACGGCAAACCATACTAATACCGGATGCCGTCTGGTTGATCATGTTTTCAATCAATACGCTTGTTTGCTTACAGACAGATATAAATACAGTCATTTAATGTCATAATGACTTTTGCTAGTAACTATACAATATGGTTAAAAATCAACGAAATAAAACATGCAAATACTAAATTCCTTTATCTAACAATTACTAATAAAATCTATAGCGATAATTAAAATGATAAAAATCTTAAGAGTTAATCCAATTTTATAACTTCATTACATTCATTAGCTTTTTATTAATTTTAAAATGCCTACAGAATGTACCTTTATTTTTACAAATAGATTTCAAACACCTAAACTATACTTATACATCATATAGACAGGTGTATAAAGTGTTCATTTAGGTATAGTTCTAATATTATAAACTTAGTTTTAGTTAATGATTAGTAGATATAGTAGATTAGTAAATAATTGTTTAGAAAATCAACCAAGTACATGTTTTATTCGAAGAAACTCTAAGTCAGGTCGATAAGAGGTTGAGCATTTATAAAAATCTCTTCATCCATAGATAAAGAATTATACATACGGTCTATTTTGAACAATTTGTTTGGTTCCACTTAATCCATAATTAACAAAACAAATTGTCCACGAAACGTTGTGGAAAGGTCAAACAACTTTTTTCAACAAGAAAGTAACAGACCTACCTAGCACAATAAAACCTATAACACTGTATCAAGGTTTACTTGAAGAAACTTAAATATTGGCGATTTGTGTTTTAAAACAATATAGCGTTAAAGCTTGGGTTTTTTATTAACACGTTATTAAAAAATAAAAAGGTATGCATATTTTTAATGTACACGTAATATTATGTAATATAAATAATAATATGTGCCGCTGGACAATTGACATAGGGCTATTTAATCTCAATTTAAGCAAATCATGCACTATGGCCATAGACAATCGATAGATAACAACTAACTAACTAGACCAACCGATTACAAATTGCATACAGTAACATTTTGATAAGATGTAATAACAGACCTAAATATAGCATGCTAAATATCCACATATAATACCTACCAAAACTGAGTGACAAGATTTTATGACTCTATATGAGATACCTACTTATGACTAATCGCCGAGCAACTATCCTACTGGATTGTTCTGTATATCAGAACGGAAAACACCACAATGTATGCAATGTACTGAATAATCAATGCTCATCATTGTAATTGTACGTTTTGTAAAGATTTTATGGCGGTCTATAAAAGGCCAACGAGATTCGCCCGTTAAGCAATGTCGTCACTACTCTTTGCTCTTTGATTAACTTTACCACAAAAGAAATAAATTTATTTGTTAGATACAAATACAATACACGCATAACAACAAAAATAGATAAACATACACAAAAAAAGGAAAGAGCATAAGAAAAGTAACACAGACTGATATCGTGTGTGTAGCACAGTGACACAAAATGGTCACAATTCATTTAATTGCTTTGCCATCAAAAGGGCAAATCACAAATTTTCTGTTGTTATGTTGTAAGCAAAAGCCGGCCGCGAAATTCCACGGTAAAAATATGTGTGTTAATACAAGTATTTGCAATTAATATTAGGCGCACTAGTACCAAGCTACAACAGGCACACTCAATTTTATCATTATAAGAAGTCAATCGCCTAAACATTATCAAATACATCGGTTGTCGATAGTGATAATTTCAAGTGCATATGAAAGTAATACTTACTTACGCAACGATCAAAATGTATTTCGTCCTTCATTGAAAAAAAATCACTAGTGCGTACATAATCGCTTAGTTTCATACTGCCCAACCGCACTATCTACCTCATACGTTTAAAGGTTACAATGTATTTTACACTGTGAAATATATGTATACTCCACAAAATGGAAAAAAATCTGTTTTAACCGTAGTAATTTATTACCCTGACGTGGAGGTTTCTTAATCAATACCTACATTACACACAAGGTTTGACGCTGTACCGAATGTAAAATAAATATCGTGAGGGATTAATTTACCGGAGCGTAACTGAGTAAGAGCGGAAAAGGATTGTTAATAATAAAGTCTAGCAGCTCCATTGATATACCCTATCAGGCCGACCTAGAAACTTTAAAACTATGATGATTAATTCGTGTCGAATTTTTTACGATGGAACAACTGATCTGCTTTCATCCTCACCTATCACCTCTCACTGCTACTTCGCCAGAGTATACCGATAGCGCAGATGGGGTTATCATTTCATTTTCAGCTATAAAAAATGGTAAATAAATCCCATTCCATCATATTTCCAAAAAAGTTTATGTGGTGGACGAATGCCCTGGTTACAGAATACACACTTATTTCATTTTAAAAAATTATAGAGTTCAAAAAAAAATAATAAATAGCTATATAAAAGAAATAAACGTACAAAATATTTTTTATATTATTTCCTATATCTACATTTATATATCAGAAAACAAATTGCATAACAATAAGACAGTTCGCCCGGTCGGCAGGAAACAATAACCACGTTGACCATACATAGCGTTCGGTGGATAATAGTGAATAACATAATCACGATAGAAAGGGGTAACGGCTTAATACTTCATGAGGAGCGACTTTCTTATTATGGTAGCTATATCTACATTCGGCCAATTCAGTATTGAATGCCAATTGTTAATAACCTATAACCACTAAGACTGTTGTATTTGAAAATTTTGCTATTTTACATATTATAGGTATTGCTATATTTTTAATATTAACTTCAATTTTAACAAAAATATAGGTCTGTACAGTACAAGGATATTTCTGTAGAATAAAGAAAATGACAGAATTGGCGAATATAATGGGTAACATTTGATTATATACGCAAAAAATAGAGTCGAATTTAAAACTTCCTTTTTAAAGCGATTGAAAATAAATGCAAAACTTTAACAAATACGAAGGCCGGGGTGCATGATAGAAATACGATCACAAAACACTAGCCACGCGTATTACGCATATTTATCCACTTGACACGTGAAGGCCAAGTTTTTGATGGAAATAGTCATGTTTATTTAATGGCTAATCCAACAGTTTTTTTATCCGTAGAAACCGAGCGTGCTATTTCTACACATTCTTAATATAAATTTGTAAGTTTACCTGATCTGTCTGTTATACATCGCGTGGTCTGCCATGTCAGCGTTGGCTGCAGCAGAGAGCAAAGCTGCGTAGAGAACGTGGGAGTCCGATAGCGTTCCGGGCGGCGGAGATAAGCACTGCGGCCGCGCTCCTTGGTAGAAAGACACGCGCACTTTTGAACGCTCCGAACTGAAAGTGCAAAATTATAACATACATTTATTTATACGGAATTAAATAAACAAAATCATGTTATCAATAATAGGGTAGTCAAAATCTTTTATCGACTTTGTGATGAAAGTAACATTCGAAATGCCAATATTTCGCTAAGCATATTAAAATATATACGTACTCATTATATTTAATAAGTACTTAAAATATTGGTAAGATTATCTTTAAGTCAATATCGTCCAGCAAAATATTCAATCGCAAGAATTTCTCCAATTGTATACAAAAGTTATGTATGCAATAGTAGTATTTTGTGCCGTAATTAATTACAGTAATAGTAGTACTGACATTAATGTATTATTACTAATTAGACATAATACGAGTACATTAATATCTGTAACAAATTACAGTAAGCAGTATATGACCTAGTAAATAACCACCTACCTATTATAATGGATTCATATCAGTACTTAATTTTTATACCCAGTGGATGTCCAAAATTAACCTAAGTATGTTAGGAAGAAGATTGCCAATATTGGGGTATAATTGCCACATTGCTAGCAAATGCCCTATCAGGTCGACTTCTACGCGGTTCCCCCTGTAAACTATGGTGGTTACTTCTTGTTGAATTCGTCAGGATGTATCAACTGACTTGTTTTTATCCTTACCTATCATCTTTCACTAGAGCCCCGTCAACGTATATCAAGAACACAGACGGGGTTTCTATTCTCTTATCACCCATTAAAAAAAAAAAACATTATTAACAACCCTTCTCTTCCCAAAATACTTCTGTTTTTGTCACGTGGCCTATGGCATGTTCCATAAAAGATATTACAATACATGAAGGGCGAAATAACTTCCTAATGTTATCTCCCATATTAACACGTAATAGTTAATATAAAAAAGATATAGTAACTAGTTAAGATCAAAGAATTTATCATGTAAATCTGAAGTACACCCGTTTACTATCAACGAATGTGTTTCACATTCCACTAACCTCCCTCATAGCATGGCGATCGTGACTATGGAGTGACCATGGAACTATAAATATGGATCAAGGAATACTTTCACCACGAATATCGGAACAAATATTGAGAATGTAAGAAAACTTTTACCGTCAAAAGGGGGCTAAATGGATGTATAAAGTTACCGGATCAGATTTTTTAAATTGAAGATTCCAATAGTCGAGGCCTGTCTACAAATCATGTTGATATGAATAATTAATGTATTTCTTCTCCTGCTCATGAGGATTGTGTTAAATAGTTACTATTAAACAGATCTTGGAATTTATTAATTATATTTAAGAACTATTTAATAATACTGAGTAATTAAGAAATCCAAGTAATAAAGAAATTGTCAAAACCACTGAAATATAAATATTTGAAATATTTTTCTATTGTCCCCACATTTCATAAAATGTCTGTTTTAAAATACCGCTATATTACTATTAGCAGTTATTAATCATAATGACATTTTGATGAAGTAGTTGATAGAGAGAATAGATTTTTATAAAAATACTTTAAGATTATCATTGATCATCCCACATAAATAAAATTTATTTTAAAAATTACATTATCTGATGGCGCTAAGATAAAATTAAAACCAACTTATGACACCGCTGATAAATTGACAGAGGACATAAAAATGATTATTATTAAAAAAGTAATATCTGTATCTTGTTCCAATTACAAAAATGTAAGCAACATCAATAATGTTTATAATTTGAGAATGAAATAGAAAGATTCTTTATTGATTTGACAATTACTCAGATTAGAGACCTTAATGTCGACATTTATTATTAATAATATAGAATTAGCGTTAGCAATGTAATAAGGAGGATTTTGCCAGTAGTTGCCACGCTTGACGGGCGGTTGGCAACCGCAGTTAGGCTTTGGTGATGTTTGACGAGGGACGCTGCTGCCAATCCCTCGACTATTTCTTACTTCCCTCTTCAGGAAAGGAAGAGGTAGCTCATTCTATGCCAGGAGTACTGAGCGACTTTTAATGCTACATACGACATTTCATTGCTGATGAATTAAAAAATTGCAATTAGGCAATTCGCATGCAGGTTAAATGACAACATATGTATAACTTGTAGCGAAATCTCACTTATCGGTAAAACTATTATATTAAAGATAGAATATGAATAATTTATTTCAAAACCTTCCCAAACATCTTTTAATTTCAATTCAGATAAATTTATTAATAAAAGAAATAATAATGCAAAATACTATGAGCATAATAGAAAACAAGGTCAAGCGCAAAGTAATATACGCGATCAGTAAATTCGAGTAATTCATAGTATTTATTAATAGTAAGGAATGTCGTACAATTAAGAATGAATTCAGTCGAAGCATCAGCTGATAATGAAAATAACAAGAAAAAGTTTTCGAAGAATCTGTGTTTTATGAATATTAATTTATTAAACAAGAATATATCCTTGTTTAGACAATATTGTTTAATAGGAGATTCAGGCACATCAATATCAGTATTAAAATACAACTGATTATAGTTTGTCAATTATTAAGGTTTATAAAGGTGTTATAGTAAAATTCTACATATTTAGAAAGAATTATACATATTTAGAAAGAATTCTACATATTAAAATTTCCAAGGATTAAGGTTTCCTAAAGGAATTTAAAGGTACTATTCATAACGAATCGGGTTGCTTGCACAAGCACCACAAACCTATTAGTAGAATTCGTTTAACCTTTGATAGGAAAAAGGAATATGTAAATTATAATACTCTTTGGAATAAAAAGAAAATTGAAGCTATTTAGAAGTATTCTGTGCCTAAGTCAGCAGATGATGTCAAGTAATTTATTGCACCCGTAAATAATTAGCGTAAATATGTATAGAATTTTTCTTCTATTGTTTATCAAATGAGTCGTTTATGTAAAAAGAATGTTGTTTTTAAATAAACAAAGGAGAGTCAGGAGTCAGTCGATTTTTTAAATAATAATTAGGGAGTCTCCCTGTATTAAATTATTTCTCTTTGTACTAATTTTTCAAAAAAAAAAATACTTCTAAGCTCTAGACATAAGTTTTCAGAACCACAATTGGAGGAGTATTATAAAATGGTAATAATAAGCTAAGTAGCTTATACAAACAGACAATTAAGATAGAAAGTTTAAATTTTAACAAATAATTTTTTGTTGTGAATGTTACTGTGATGTTTATTTTAGTAAATATGTTAATACTTTCAGAAAGAGGAGATAAATATACCATAACACTCTACTTTTTCAGGGAGGGAGGGATGTGATATGGAAACGTGACACATGTCAAAATGCATAGAATGTTAAATAACTTCCTATTGTTATATCTCATATTAGCACGAAATGGTTAATATAAATGGATAATGTAACTAGTTAATAGATAGAGTATTAATCTGATATACAATTATCCTACTTTTATTTTCACCTATTATCACCCACCGGTCGCCCCCTCCTGCCCCGCCAGCGTATACCGAAAGCGCAAACGGAATTACCATTCCATTATCATCCATTAGAAAACCCTATACCCTATCACGTCGTCCTCCACGCGGTTCCCCCTGGAAACTATCGTGGTTAATTCTTGTAAAATTCAGCACAAAGAACTAACTGACCTATCCTATATACACCTATCATCTCTCACTGATGCCCCGCCGGCGTATACCAATAGCGCAGGCGGGGTTACACTCTCTCAGATCCCCTCCATACGGCCCCCCTGGAAACCATCATGATTAATTCTAAATGAATTTGTCATGATGGAGAACATGACCTGCTTTTATCCTCTCCTATTATCCTTTACTGGTATTCCAAAAGCATATACAGATAGCGCAAGTGTGGTTACCATTCCATTATAACCCATAAAAAATCCTAGATATATTAGACGTTTAAGAAAAGAACTCCCCTGAATTAATAAAAAGTTTATAAAAGTTTCAATTTAGCATCATTATCATATCAGCCATTTATTGTCCACTGCCAAACATAGGCCTCCATAACAGGGACTTCGCCCGTAGTCGCCACGTTTGTCAGGCAGGTTGGCAACCTTAGTCAGGTTTTGGTAAAGTTTTAAGAGGGACGCTGCTGCCCATCCCTCGACTATTGGTTTCCCTTCGTCGCCTTTTATGACAACCTCAGAGAAGGAAGAGACGACCCTTTAGAAATCAATAACCAATTTAGAATGCAAGAATTTTTTTTTTGTCGTTACTGCTGTACCATTGATCTCTCAAATGGTACTTAATACAATGAGGTAAATTGGAATAATAATTATTTGTACAAATGTTTCAATGTTTTCTTTTTAAATAACAACGATAATAATTAGCGATAATTTACGGGCGTGAAAATGATAATTTTTCCATCTCAAAATCATCATTAGCATATGAAATAAGAGAATATGGAGTCTATTTAGTATACTTAAACAAAGTACCTCATAGGATAAACATTGTATTTTTGTAAATGGAATAACTGAGGGCCCCCTGATGAAAAGTGGTAACCGACACGTCGTCGATCGGCAAGAATAGCATCAAAAAAATATACTGGAATATACAGATGGGCAAAGCACCGGGTTTAAACCCGGTGCTTTGGTAAAAACCCAATAAACACCCATAAACTCCCATAATCACCCAAAAAAATAGGTTTTTACGTATTTTTTTGAAAATATGTAAGTAATACCAATAAATTATTTTTATAAATTGTATTGATCAATTCTACAATATTAAATAAAACGTTAACTAAAAATATTTCAGGAAATTTTAAAAATCTATATATAATAAAATGAAAGTAATTAATTTTCAGTGTTTTCATGTTGCAGTTGATCAACATGTTGGCCTTTTGCTTCCCGTAGATACTTTAAAATTTCTTCATAACACCTCGTTCGCACACATGGCCGTATATATTTAAATTCTTGAGCCACTAACAGTCCGAAATACTCATTTCTTTTATCCTCTTCTCCATAAATTAAGCATTTAGAACAGTTTGTTTCTTCTTTCAGTAAATTTTCTTTTACTTTATCCTCGTTTTTTTTCTTTGTTGCGACGACGCTGGGTAAATCATCTGGACACTGGGTCTCACTATCGCCAAATATATTTGGAGATCGGCTTCGGCTACGGCTTGGCAGACATTTTTTTCTTTCTACAATTTTAAATTAAATTTATTAGAATAAATGCTTCGAACACACGCGATCTAAGTACCTTTTGTGTTTATTATACCTTACCTACCTAGGTATAAAAAGAGTACTTACGTAGATTTTCTTTTATTAACTGTTTTATACGAAGATCTTGATCTCTCAAATTAGCATCCATTTTACTTCCAGTGATTATCAACTAAATTAATAATCCACAAAGTATTAAATAACGTTTTTATGAAATATTTAGCACAAAAACAATACCCTTTAAATATCGATCGTCAGTAACTGTGGCTGACTTACCTATATTCTAGCAAGCAGGACTGCCAGATGTGAAGGGGAAATCCCCAATAAATTGTTGCATGTGACTGATGATGTGAGCATGTTCGTTTCATAATAAAAATGTTGCCAGGTAACCAAAAAGTCGTATGTTTTTGTGCGAATTACGATCATAATCTTTACGATCGTACATTAAAAAATAGACAAATAATAGTATGAGTACGATTTAAATCGTATATCTGTCAACCCTGCTAGCAAGACAGCGACAAAATCACGTTGCATAAAAATGTAGCCCAAGCTTATATCTTATGAAATATACGGAAGAGATACGGACTTAGAAAAAACAGAAATGTTGTTCTTTGTGGAAGTCATTGATGAAATTCTATGTATTTTAGCCCGCAAACTTTCTTCAAACAAAAACAGCGCCATCTAGTATCGAGTTCTGTAATTATCTCTTTGTTTATGGATTTGAAGTAAGACCGCCACGCATGCAATACATTATGACTGGGGATTCCCCTATTCGTCGACGCTGAATATGAGGCGACGACAATCACTGTCAAACGTGTTCACTATTACTCTGACTCTGGTAACGTGACTTCCTGGTAACGTGTTAGGTAGGAAAAGCAGTAAAAAAGTGCATATTAAGGGAGCAGATTTGAAATAATATTTATACTTAACAAGAAATAATTAAAGGTAAGTGGATTTTTGAATGATACAATTATATCATGATCACTTAACAATTTTAACTTAAAATTAGATGTATTATTACAAGCTTTTATTTAGCTTGCGTTATGTAAATAAAAGTATGTAGGTATGTTCGTATGTTGATGCAATTATCCTCAATCCTCAACCGACTGGGATAAAATTTTCCATACACGTTTATTTTGGATGATAGTGCATAGTTAGCTGAGAGTCGTCATTGGATAATAATGGTGGATAGCCTAAGATGTGTACTAGATATTTATTTTTAACATAATATGCGTAAGTACCTAATCGAATTAAAGAAGTTGCTGAGAAAAATACAGAACAATACGATAATAAACTAGCGTCTGCGTTTAATCCTCCGAGGAGATGTAATTTTACAAAGGTTTTTTGTATTTATTTATTTTTTTTAATAAATTTATTGTAAATAACAAGAAATAATCATTGTAAAAAAATAGGCACTCTATTGTTGAATTTTCGTCAGACCAACTAATCATCGTTCATTTTTTTAGGTTCAATGGGGAGACCTAAAGATTTACGCATATGGGAGCACTACCGTACTTTACCAAACAAGTCTGTTTCTTGCAAGCTTTGTAATAAGGTCTACAAATTCAGTAATGCTGCCAAAATGCTTCAACATCTTATCACTTGTCCAAAATCTCCAGAAACATTAAAAGACTCTATGAAACTTATAAAAGATAGCTCGTCCAAAACCAAAATGTCTGGACTGTCAGAGATAGAGACAAATGATTCTTTTATAAGCCCCTCGTCGTCTGCTAACACTACAATAAATGCTGAGTTTCAAGACACCGATGATCATATAAAAACAGAATTAGCGAGAGCTATATTTGTAACAGGGACGCCATTATCGATGGTGCAACATCCTTTATGGATACAATTTTTCGAAAAATTGCAACCAAAATTTAAAATACCTTCACGTAAAGCTTTAGCGACAAAATACTTAGATAAAATATATAGAGAAATGCGTTTTGAGTTAAATGAGGAACTAAATGCTTGTAGTTACTTACACCTTCAGTGCGATGGCTGGTCTAATTTAAGAAATGAAGGAATAATAAACTTTCTTATATCAAAACCTCAACCTGCATACGTTAAAAGTTTGAATACAGAAAGTAATCCTCACACTAGTGAATACCTTAGCCAAGAAGTTGAAAAAGTAATGAAAGTGTATGGAGCAAATAAGTTTCTTGTACTTATTGGCGATAACGCTAGAAATATACAAAAGGCATTCGAATTAACAAAACTCAAATATCCACATGTTGTTCCTCTCGGTTGCTGTGCACATATCCTTAACTTGTTGTGCCAAGATATTGTAAAGATACAAGAAGTAACTGTGTTTATTATGCAAGCCATAAATATAATAAAAACTGTTAAAAGGAGTCAACGATTAAGTTCCTTGTTGATAAAATCAAGGCAGGGTGAAGATTCTACACAAACACTAAAATTGCCTTGTGCTACAAGATGGGGAAGTCATGTTACTTCGTTAAAAAGTTTGAAAGCAAATAAGATAGCTTTGCAAATATTAACAGTTAGAGAAGATGTGGTAATTTCAAGAGATATTAAAGATTTAATTCTAAGTGATGATTTCTGGACGAAGACAGGGGAATGTATAAGTATTTTGGAACCAGTCACTGAAAGCATATTTTACTTAGAGAGCGACCAGAATCGTTTGCATCGCACATACATTACATTTAGAGATGTACAAGCTAAGATACGTTTTGCATTAAATGAGATTTCGACATTGAGCGAAGAAAGCAAACAGCAGATTCTAACATCAGTATCTTCAAGATGCAATATGGCAATGAGGCCAATACATTTTGCAGCATATATTCTAGACCCCAGGACTCTAGGAGTCGAACTTACTCAAGAGGAAGAACTTAAGGGTATGGAGTTTATCTACAATTTAAGCCAACACTTAAGTTTGTCAAATGTAATGGCAGATTTGGCGTGTTATAAAGCTAAAGAAAACTTTTGGGCCAGAGGATTTGTATGGAGCTCATTAGATAGCATTGAGCCCCTAATATGGTGGAAAGGTATTTGTGGTTCCACTGAGTTAAGCAAAGTAGCGATTCGTATTCTATCAGCTCCCTGTACTTCGGCAGCCACTGAGCGTTCCTTTAGTATCCAAGGCTACATACATAATAACAAAAGAAATCGACTTACAACTGAAAGAACTGAAAAAATTTCATTCATTTGTTATAACTGGAATCTTAAACATAAAGCTGAATGCGAGGACATTCAGTTTAATGAAGAAAATACCTTAGAAGCTTTCATTGAGCAAGTAAATGAACATAACAGTTTAGACGAAATAGAGCCTATCGAACCTATACAATTCATCGCTTGTAATAACTCTGAATCTGACAGTGATTGACTGTAGTTTTACATTTTACTTTCATCTCTTTCTTAATAAACTCAAAATCAAATTAAAAGTTTTTTATTCTGTAGGCTGCATAATAATATTGTCTATGTCCAGTATAGTGGACGTCTTGCGGCTGAGATGACGATGATGAAGTACAAAATCATAAACACCCAAAAATTTGGGTGTTTATGGGGTTTAAACCCAATAAACCCAAAACACCCGGTTTTTACCCACCAGACTTTAAACCCACCCAGGTGGATTGCCCATCTCTACTGGAATAGCCGTGGCTTATGAGTTGCCATTCCTAAAAATTATGATCTTATACCTCAGCACCCTGTAATTCCATTGCCGTGTCTCAGTCTTCAAATGGCAGAAATACGAGTCGGACAGAGGTACTAATGATGACTTTTGTAGTCTCCCTCAGGTATTGTACGTAAAAATCAAGATTAAAATGAAAACCAACAAAAAGAAAAAGATCAAAATTAATTAGGAATTGTTAACGATATCGCATAATACATATTGTATTTTTATCTTTTCTATGTGTCTATATATACACAAAAGATAAAAATACAATAGCATAATGAAATCCTAGTTAGTTCAAGCAACCAGACAATGAGTGAGTTCATAAAAACTACTCTAAAATATTATTTGCATACAGATGTAAATCTTAGCGCTCAGCATTACAATAATAGATAGGTGTGTTAGATATCGAAAAATATGATAATTTTAACTAATACGTATGTGCATATTTCGCTCAGCAGTAACATCTAGATCCAAGATACATTTCCAACGTTATTGTCATGTATAACACTTCACCTACATGTGTAACTTGAAGGTGATTCAATGCTAGCTCCTCTTTTATTAGTAGATGACTATATTCATCGCCTACGCGTTGTTTAGTTCTCATCATAAATATCTTGTTAGCATTTTAAATTGATAAATAAGCATAACATATGCAACATAATATAGAAGTACATAATAAAAAAAAAGAAACCTACCAATTTTGATATAATAAAAAGGCATAATATATGTTACCTTTTTATTAATAAATCAAAATAAAATACAAAAAGCTTATTGTATATTGCAAAATGCATATTCACAGTAGTAAGAAATATATTTCAGCATAATTAATTTCAAATGTTGCCATGTGGTCCCCTCATTGAATGAGCCATCCCTTCCTTTCCTGTGGACTAGGAAAAATGGTTGTGGGATGTGCAACAGCTTATGAGCTCTTAAAACATCACCAAAGCCTAACTGCAGTTGCCAACATGTCTGCCAAGCAGGATAACTACTGACTAACTCCCCCTTATTGTGGAGATCCATGTTCAGCAGTAGACAGTTAACAGCTGATATGGTATAGTAATTTTAAACTTGCTCAGTTTCTTTGCATGATAGACCGACAAAAGTGCAAAGTGACCAACAAACGTGCAAAGTGACTGACATAGCCTGAAGGATAAGAAAGCGGATGTGGCAATGGGCTGGTCAAAGCTCCAAGAACTCATCGCTGATGAAAAATAAATATTCTTGAATGGCAACTCTGTACAGGCAAATGCAGTATCAATCTAGAAAGTGACTTCAAATGCTGTGAAAAGTGCAGATGGCTTTGGGATCATTCCTTGTGACAGTCTAAGGGAAAACCTATGTTCAGCAGTGGACATTTAACAACTAATATAATAATAATAATAAAAAATAATAATAATAATATTTATTTATGATGTGCTCAAAAAACATATACCAAATAATATAAAAAATACACAAAAAATAAATTATGAAGTGTATATTTGAGAAAATAGAGCAACACCCACATACCATAAAGACTTATTGTCACCAATCATCGCGAATAACAAACTTAGTAAAAATCTGATGTCAGTGTAGCTCCTTTAACGAGACATGATTCAACAACTGAGCAAAAATAGACAAATAACATCGCATAGCATAATTGACATGGTTCCAAGGTCACAAACATTGTTGGATAGCTTCATAACAGATGTGTTGAGTAAATAATGGTTTCAACAATGGAGTCAGATTGAACAAACATGCACAAATTAATTACTAATACTTTTGTTATAACAGTACTGATACAAGTAATAAATACAATTATCATTAAAAGTATATTTTTAATAATAAAATAGCATGATAATCATAGCATGCTTTCTAAAAGTACTAACTTTAATTATTGTTTTAAATTATACTTTTGATCATTATTTCAAATTATACATACATACATATCTGTCACGCCTGTCTCCCATTAGGGTAGGCAGAAACAATAGAACGCCAAATGCTTCGATTCAAACAAACCTCTTTCGCTTCTTCAAATTATACTTTTAATCATTATTAAAAATGATACTTTTAATGTCTAAAACAAAATAGAATATTATTCTTTACACTTCCTCAATTTTACAGGAATGCAAAAATACAATTGAAAATGAATTTATGACATTGTAATGACCATGATGATATTAAAACAAATAATTACAGATGTGTGCGTAACAATTGAAACAGATTTAATTTATATAAACATGCAATAAATAACAAGGCAGAGCATTTTATACTTGGTGATTGTGAATGTAATTTTTAAGATTTGCTGTGCATGAAAAATATAATTGAAAATTAGAATCAATTGAACACCTTATGTATATCTATTTTATAGGTGGTTAAAGATCAAACACTTTGTTTAATTATGCTCATTGTACCAAATGATCTCAATTCAGATCAGCAAATGGCCATTCTGTCACTTAATTGATTGTCATTACATAGGTTTTGTATTTATTGGGAGCAATGTAGGTCACCTCACTGCAGCCAGTTATGTAATTGGTTAGACAGGTTTCTGCAATACAACAGGGGGACCAATTGAGGTTAAAAGAATGTTTAAAGCACTCATACATAAGCCAAAATCTGTATAACCATTACAGCAGTAACAGTTACACAAACAATATTATATGGAATGTAGTTTGGTAAATATTACTTCATTTTTAACTGTTTTAATAATTAATATATTTATTATTAAATTATAAAAAACTTTTTAATATAAAAAAGTTCTAACTACTTATAATTTGTGTATTTAGTTTTTTTTTTTTTTGCCTTTCATTTTGAATTATTCGAATCAGTTGCCTTGTATCAGTTATATTGAATATACCTATTTTATGAGAGATCTGTAAAACTTATGATTAGAAAAAACAACAGTGCATACATGGTGAATTTTCAATGGAGTGGAAAATAAAGAAATGTAACATACTACACATGTTAGAGATGTTTTAAAAAAACATGTAATATTATAAGAAATATAATTTGTTTTAAAATTAGCTTAAATAATTATTTATTTTTATTCAATTTAGACAAAAAAATTAATCAAAACTATTTAATGCACTTAAACCTACTTATACTCCATGTACTTGTATTTGTAAATACAGGATTTATTCAATATGTAAGTACAGAAATAATATTTATTTATAGGATAGTATCATAATTTTATAAATAAATGTATTGGTTAAATTTATGATTAGCTGTACCATTCATTCACATGAATAATGCCAATATTTTTTTTTCTAATTATGACACTATTTATAATACAGGAAAATTATAAGGATGATCCTCGAATGACCTCGATAAAGATCGCCGGGCGGGCCACAGCACAGGGGCAGGGCGGGTCCTCAATTGGGAAAACCGATCACTGATAGTGACATTATAAATAGAGCTTTTAAAACGTTTGCCAATGTATGTTTACTACATATGCGTGCTGAGTAATGACCTTGTACTCCCGAGTGCTGGATGGAACCGAAAGTCGTTTTATGTTTATAAATCAGACTTCGTGACGTCATGGTGACCGAATTCTCTGCACAATTATTGCAAATTTATTTGACAAACAGCTACTGATAGATGTGTGAATGCTACAATAAAATCGAACTATATACAGTTTCATTGTAAATGCCAAGGATTCGCGGAACAAAACCCGGGAGGAATCCGCGAGAACAACCAATTCGCAACACAACAAGTATGACGTGATTACTGTAAATAACATACGTACCTTATAAATAATCACCGTTTACGTTTATCACTGTACACTGATCAATTATTGGCCTTTCACTATTAAAAATTATTAACAAAAGACTGAAGAAATTAAAAACATCAACGCAGTTCACATAGGGTTTGGCTCATTCGACCGATTCGACGCTACACAACAGTGTTTCCCACTAAAACATCGATCTCGGAAGTCGCGCTCGCCCGTAGCGAATGGAGCACAGCGAAGCACGCAGCGTTATTCGTGCCCGCCTAGTGATGTCACCGCGTTCACGATTGGCGATAACGTACTAACAACAATCTGCGACTATATTCACATCAGTAAATTATACTGGTATCTCTAGACTGCCTCACAAATAACGTTATTTTAATGTTATTGCCTGACATAATCCTTTTTAACGAAAAATTATTAATACGATAAAACAAGAACATAATAGAAATTAATTATAGAAGATAAGAAAAATATTATTATTATGCATATTTTTTATTAATTTAAAGACATAGAAGGAACCAATGGCACTCGATGTATACATGTTACGCCTATTTATTTTCCATTGGGGTAAGCACAAACGATGAAATGCGTTATGCACGAATTTAAAAAAAAAAACCTCTTCACTTCTTTCACATTCAGTAATTCAATCGTACATAATCAAAATTCTTGTATTTAACTTGTTCCTTTTTTAGCACGTCACCTATTTGGTCAATATACAAACATCACAAGCAAGGCTCCTACTGATATCTTTTCTCATTCATGCTCAATATAATATCACTTTCTTAATCTTTTCTTCAACCTATGTTCTTCAAACTATAAGTCCAATCCAAAACTAAATAACAATTCCGTTTTAATATTTTTCTACTACTTTTTCAATATGTAATCAATAACTAGGATTGGGAGTTAATAATTTTTTTTTAAGTAGGTAGCATTCACAGACAGCATTCAAGACTCAATAGCTGAATGTTTGTTAAAAAAATTAATTATTTTTAGAAATTTGTGGTCAATATTTTGAAATCCCAAAAAAATGTAAATACCTAACCATTTATCGATTGAATTACTATTAAAAATAGGGCCGTCTATTGTCGATGTCAACAGAGTAATAACAAAATATACTCAACGTTATTTGATAACGTTGCCGGATAACTGTTATTCATCATATTATAATAACGTTATTTAACTGTTTTTATGTGTTTATAAATATTATTAAAAGTAATATTTTCAAATATTATTTATTATCTTCAGAGCAAAATGAAACAATAATAAAGAAAATGGTATAAAAATAGTAGAATTTCGTGGATTTATCGGATACTTTATAATAGGGTTAAGGATAAATTGAAGACAAGCATCGATCTTCTTGTATGCCGATTTTATTATGAACTGTCTCATTCTCATTACCACAGGCGTCCGTGACCACACCAGAATTGTCTGTCATTTATTGACTTAATTATGTCCGTAGAAAAGTCTATAACTAAAATTTTTTAATTAAATTATTAAATCTATTAAGGAGTAAAGAAAATACTTATTTTAATATCAATATGTACCCCTATACAAGGATATTATATACCTATGACTGTTAGAATTCCTTCTGTGGTGTAACTATGGGACGATTACTGGAACGCAGTCGTCCCAGATAGCTAAAAGGATCAAATCTCGTCAAATCGAGTTAGTATCGGATTTTTTTAACCGGTTAATCCACACTAGATACTAATAATTCAGTTCTTAAAATAAATATTTCAGTGTAATATTAAATTAATATTTTAATTTTAGAGATAGGAATATGATAGAGTCAGATTTCTGCATATTAAAGAAGCGCAAATAGTTAACGATAACCAAAAATTGCGCTGCTTTTTTTTGTTAATCTTTGTTTGTATCATATTCATACTTTGTCCTCGTATTTATAAAAATTAAAACCTACAAACCTATTTTAATTATTAGACTATTTTATCACTTATTATCCAATTGGAAATTTAGCACAAAAGAAAAAGACAAAACGCTGAAATGTTTAGCATTCTTATGAATAAGGGGAGAAAAACTATTAGGGAACAAATGTTTGTGCTGCCTCTGTAGAGTGATTTAGGAACTAAAGTTATTATTATAAATTTCTTTTGCGACTTTATTCTGACCAAACATTGAAGAAATCCAAATTAGCGTATTTAAGATTATTTTCTACAGGAAGCATGGCCTCTTAAAGGAACTTTATGTATTCTCAGACATGTCTATGCATAATTTAAAACTCTGCTCACAGTCTGGGGCGGGCACTAGACATTTCAAGGGTAGGTACGCCACCCTTTAATATAATAATGTAACGCCTATGATTCCAAATCGTGCTTATTAAAAAAGTGCATTTAACTAGCGACTAGGAAGCAATCGTGCTACATAATACCATTTACCTTACAATTATCATATAATTTGCCGTTATAGGAAATTACCCCTGGTGTGTGACATAATTTCAATAGATAAGCACATAAAAAGCATTTCCAAACATTAAATACTTTATCAGCGAGAACCAAACAAATAGAAACTAAATGAAACAATGAAATAAATTAATGTGAGAATATCCAAGTTTAGAAATAATAGATCCCCTACATTGATAACGCAGTACGGAAAGCGTACACATCCAGATAGGTGCCCTATTAACTATTACGTAAAGAAAATAAAGAGGGGAGATACTCTCGCCTCTCTGTGCTATTTATCGATTCCGGAGGTAGAGGGAGGCGTTTAGATTAAGTATGCAATGCATTATAATAATATGTACATAGGCACTTATGTATTCTATGCATTATAAACTTTACAGTCGTTGGCTACGAATTATTTTTATTATATAACTGATTTAAAAAAATAGGCAATGAAGAAATAACACATGTTTTATAGTTACCTAATTATTTCATATGCGTGTTACGCGATTATTCTTTCACATTTACTACATATGATATGTGAGTATTTTTTAAATTGGATCCGGGAATCGAACCGACCAAATAACACCATTAAAAACTAACTAAGTAAAAACTAGCCAACTAATTACAATGATTGAAACGATCAATCGTAGATCAATTAATTTTAAATAACTTGTAAATAGTATGAGTCAGTAACTTAAAAAAAAGAAAACTAAAAATTCCTATAATATACGAGTAAGTTAGGTACTTTGCCATCAATATGTAACTTCATAACCTTTGAGCATGTATGCATTAATAAATGATGCATACTCTGATGTATCTTATATATGTATGTTTCTAAGCTCTATGTAATCAACCTTATTCCTACTACCCGTCCTTTTGAATTCTCTCCAAATCTTTCTATTGAAAGTTCGGCATTAAACAAAGCATTGAAGGAATTCGCATATGAAAGTGGCAATAATGAAAATCAATAATGACATACTCTAAATTAATTAAACGTACTCGTCTTCGACGGGGGTGTAAGGGAACGCTGTCTCCTGCACCTTAGGCGGCGGACTGCTCTCCGGCTCTTCCTGTAGGGGACTCTCGTATATCAGAGTCTCTACCATCGATCCCTTTGAACTGCCAAATGACACCCTGTACAGAAAAAAGAAAACAATTAGTGACAGTCAAACCAAATAGCGTCTCTTTAAACAGGGATGGCTATGTGTGATGACGCAAGTACAATCCCAGAGCATTCAAGTCTGACCCGTATTCGTTCTTACGACTGTCCGTTTGGAATATATTCAATGTGATTTCGATTTGATTCCGATTGCGTAAAAAGTAAACCTGCTGTTTGTAAGCAGTTGCCGTAGCCTGTATTGCCAAATCATAATAGCCTTCTATGTATGACATACCTGCTTAGGTACTGTCCTAACGTTATAGCGTGATGCAGGTGTCAGGATATTAAATCTATAGTAAAATGCAATGTATTTTGATTGTGATATCAGTTACAATTTTTACATTTTGACTTCGATTCGAAAAATATCACTCAATACAATTCTTTCTATAAAACTGCCAAAAATCTTAGCAGTCACTCGTACAATGCTTCAACGCACAGATAGAGTGTTTTTTTAAGTAAAACGGGTAAGAGTGAGTTGAACTCGAGCACAGTGTTCAGTGCTTAAAATAGTTTTTTGTTTGTTATGTTCACTTATTAGTTAGGTGTAGAAAAATTGATTACTATGTTTCTTGTATAAATTTGATATGAATGAAATACCGTTTTAATCTTGTATGTTTTTATACTATTATTTAACAAAACATATTGTATTATTATTACTTTTAAACAATGAGAACTTGATTTTCTTAATATTCCGTTTAGAATATAAATTTGTACCTGCTATGTACATTTCTAATTATTTATCAGTAAAGCAAATAATTGTATACGCTATTAGCTAGCAATCTGCAAAGAAGCTAAAAGGAGGTGCGCCCTGTCACGGACAAAGTGTCTATCGAAACAAATTTAAAAAACAAAGTGACCAAGCGTCTTTAATTTCAAATAGTTAAACATCTGTGCGTTTTTAAAAGACATAGGTTTCGTTTTTGACTTTGAAAAGAGAATCCTAAAACGCAAATAGGTTACACGGTCAGTGCGCAGACCGTTTTTGGAATTTCCACACAATCAATATTTTAATCTAGAATTTCACCGTCCTAATATAAGTTCTAGCATTCTAGAATATTCTCAGTACCTACCTACCAAAACTTATTAACATACTTTTTTATACGTACATATAGTACGAGTATTACCTACACGTGTCTATTATTATTTAACTAGGTATTGGTAAATATACATACACCTAATTTTATCTATAAATAAACTATGTGAATTGCTAATTTATTTTTCATCATAAATAAAATTATAGAGATGTGAATAGAACTTATATACCACTGGTTCAAATTATAATATGACAATGACATTATTATCATTAATTTGTTAATTATCTGTGTTTATTACTTATCTACTATTACTTAGTGACAGCAAAAATGGGATTCTATTTATTTAGAATACCTATTTTTTTAATGTGTTGAACTTTTGAAAAGCGAATCCAATATACAGTGCATAAGATAATATACATAAGTTACATAAGATAACCTTCTCGGTGCAGTAATTGTGAGCAGTTCTGCGTAAATGAGATGGCGGTTCTATTCCCAGTCGAATAATTTAGGTAATTAATGTTTTTTTTTTTTTTACTCCTTATTTTTTAATCGAGAGGACCACTTGCCTGCTATATTTTCTAATCTTCTTTCATTCACTTAAAACATGATGAATCAGGGAGTAAATAAAGACTGTAGAATATAATATATTAATGTAAATTTAATAAATTTACGATTCCACCCTTTTTAACTATTTCATTGCAATTCATATGTTTGTATTGAAAATTTTTTATTTATAGTTATAATGTAAGTTTATTGTATTTATTGTATTGATATAAAGAGACATGCAACCATGCTCACTAAAATACTTCATCAGAGGCTTCATCTATATATATATATATATATATATATATATATATATATATATATATATATATATATATATATATATATATATATATATATATATTAATTTTATTATGTACTCGTAACTTACACCTACTTTTTGTATTTTTATGTAATATCAATATGCAATTACCACAATAAAAAGACAGAATGAAAACATTTATTGTCATAAATAATATACTCGTAATAGGTAGTTACTGCTTCGGAGCAAATCCGAACGAACACAAGCCGACCTTCACATAAGCGTATATAATTTTGTTCTGCAATTGAATTGTTATAATCAGTCATAACATTGAACTTGTAGTTAGATTAGAGGAAAGAGTTTTATTGCATTATCGCAGAATCCGATTATCGGGCGAAATCAAGTGTTGTTACGTAATGACTACCATAGATTTGAAGACAACAGGAAATTATTACAGTACTATCTATATAACCAAGTATATTATATTATGTTACCTACGCGAAATTCAGTATTTCTATTTGCAGGAATTAAAAAAAAATTGAGTGGCTGTCTACACTTCTCAGAATCCTAGAGAATTTCACCTCTTTACCTTCTTACCTTAAACAATTACCAATAAACAAATTAAATTCGATAGATACAAACATATAAAAAAAAATATTACTAGAATGTAGAAGGTCTACTTTATATTTTAGAGGTATGGACCGTATGGATAGCAGTGTCCCTCTTAAATATCAATCAGTAAACTGCGGTTGCTAACACGCCTGCCAAGCGTGGCAACTACTGGCAAACCCCCTTTATATAGTCCTATATTCAGTAATAGACAGTTTACGGCTAATATGATGATGATTTTGACAGCAGATGATGATCCTATATTATTAAATTTTATTTAAAAAACTAATTGGTGCCGAGTTAAAATTAAAACAAATTTATAACACCGTTTATAAATTGACCGACAATATTAATCAATGGTTCTTACTGAAATAGTCAATGTCTGTATCTTATCCCAATTACAAAAATGTAAGCAAGGTAATAAGATCAATTGTATGTGTAGAGTAATTGTGATTTAGCCAAGTAGTTTTATTTTTTAATCGAACTCTTTCAAAATGAGCTGGCAAGATTATGTTGATAAACAGTTAATGGCATCAAGATGTGTTACAAAAGCAGCGATTGCCGGTCACGATGGCAATGTCTGGGCCAAGTCAGAAGGCTTCGAAATATCAAAAGATGAGGTTGGAAAGATAGTGGCCGGATTTGAGAATGAATCACTCCTAACGAGTGGCGGCGTGACGATAGCTGGCACGCGGTACATCTACCTCAGTGGCACAGAACGCATCATACGCGCAAAACTCGGCAAGGTCGGCGTACACTGCATGAAGACACAACAAGCCGTCGTAATTTCGCTTTATGAAGAGCCCATCCAACCCCAGCAAGCCGCATCTGTAGTTGAGAAGTTAGGAGACTATTTAATTACCTGTGGTTATTAGAGATCCAAGCGCGCCGTGATCTAAGAATACTATAAGATAATATTTTTTCCACAGGGAAATAAGTAACTGCATTTTGTATATTCTATAAAGTGATAAGGAACGTTCATTTGTTTTGATAATTGATAAATTATGGCGACATCAGTGTCTGATGCGTTTAGTAACTGTGTGCAGATACAATTACTTTGCGGATTCTGGACTCTTTTTATACGCTCACCGCTTCCACAGAGTAATTGATACTGTAAATGGATTAAAATTGTATTTTAAAAATTTGCTTTTATCGACCAGTAAAGCATAATCCAGCTTTGCAAGCGGGTCCCAAAGCATGATGTATAGAGATTTTTTTTAACTTTCTTTTCAAGCATCCTGATACTGATTACTTCACATTCATCTTGCGTAATGAAAAACTATACAACGTTGTTTTGAAAAATATTTTATAAATCGTCAGTAATATCTATGTAGACGAGTTTGCCCGCGTACAGATGCCTGACAAGAAATTATAATAACCGTGTAATGAAATTACTGTAACAATATTATACAACTTTATATATATATTATATAAATATATATAATTACAAATAAGCATTTGTGTAAGGGCTTGTTATGAATGAAAGACACTGTAACCCAAGTATTACAATTTTAATTTAAAATCTCTAGTCCCACTGGAACCATCGTGTGAGTAATATTCAATGAATACAACAGTGTGAAGCAAGCGGGACGATGTGAGCTCCTGTGACCCCAGTCTGTTTGCCATACTAGCGCGGGCGCGTGGTCCTTGGCCACCAGGGCCACTCGTCCCTCATTGCAAACTTCTGCTAATATGCTTTTTTTTATTGCGTCGCATTTATAATGTTTTGTAGTGAAACAATAAACATTTGCATTCTGTTTTATATCTATTAGCTGCAGAAACTAGAAGCGCTCAATTACCCTGTATCCTCAAACAAGGCTTGCAGTAAACGAAGGGTGCATATTGTTTATATTTTGATATTACTACTATAGCTTTGTACATTGTTTCTGATAAGCGATGGGAACTGTGTCTATCTAATAATAAAATGATTTGTATTATAAAAAAAAAAAAATTTTAGAACTTGGGAATAAAATAGAATAATTTGTATTAATTTAACAATTTATAACGACATTTTATTGCTAATTTTAAAAACAATTGCAACTAGGCAATTCACATACGGGTTAAATAAAAATAGTCTATTTATGTAATTTTGTTTTTTATATAGTTTATCGTGAAATCTCACATATACGAGTACATGAAGCTATTATGTTGAAGGAAGAATTTATTCCGAAGCCTTCTCAGACGTCTTTTAATTTTAATTCAAATAAATTTATTAATAAAAGAAATGATAATACAAAATACTATGACTATAATAGAAAACAAGGTCAAACGCAAAGTAATATGAGCGGTCAACAAAATCGAGTTATGCATAGTAAGTAAAGTCGTACAATTAATAATGAATTACGACGAAGCATCAGCTGATAATAAAAACAACAAGAAAAATCTTTAAAAAATTGGTGTCTTAAAAATACGGATATAAGGATTTTAACCTTCAATAAAATAATATTTTTTAAACTAGAATACATTCTTGTTTTGACAATATAATTTAATAACATATTTAGACATATCAATATTGTTATTGAAATAC